TCCCTTACGAATCCTGTCTCACCCCGTTAATATTCGTCTATCCGTATGAACCCAAATTTAGTACCAGATGGTCCCCTAGGACCTCCATCGGCAACGTACCTACTCCGGAGTAGACCCCCTCTTAGCCCATCACAGCCCGTCCTCCACCAGACCCGAAATACCCATCCTAAGAATAAGATGAAACCACCTCAAGTGCCTTCGTAGTCCCTGTCGCCAACCGCCAACCACGCGCCGTCGTTGCCGTGGACCGACTTCCATCTTCCGTACGTACATCCTACAGTAGGCAGTGTTTTCGTCACTTCATCCCCTACCAAACCACGGTGGAGTCGCCCACCACGTAAGGCCCCCCTGTTTAGTACCAAATCATCACTTCTACTCTGCAATCACACGGGTCTCGCTTGGGAGTCCAGCTCCTCAACGTGCCGACTATCAGCGCCACTTTCATTCTCCGTCGTCCGTCGACGGCCAGGTCGGCTTGTTCCGCATCAGGAGATGAATATCCATCAGCTTGCGGTATCGTCATCCAGCCCTTGAGCGGGTTCCAGCGGTTGAGGGGCTCGGTCACGACGATCGAACGAGACCTATTCGACTGGGCGCGGCCTTGCTGCGTCTTGGGATGATAAACCTCCGAAGTGCAGATTACTTACATCAACTAGTGATGGATATCCCATACAGGGCGTACTATGTACTTACTAACTATGTACTGTGGTTGATATCCCCAATCGCAGTAACGGCCAGGAAGTTAGAGTGTGTTTACTTTTTGCTCGGCATGGATTGAACCCATATGGCTCTGCGCAGGCTCAATGGCACGGTAGGCAGGGTAAGGTACCTCTGCTCATCGCCTCGTATGTGCTCCATACACCGACCGGCCAGAACCCATCGGACATGCGGTTCGACGCGGCCAGCAACGAGTCATATCATGGCCTCGCAATACACATGAAGCCAAGGTCAAAGCGGAGCCACGTCTGACCTCGTCCTTTGTTCGGCCGCGATCTAACATATGAAGTTCAGGCCATCCAAGGGAAAAAGAAATTCTAAAACCTTACGCCCGAGGTCATTATCCACTTGAAGTCACAAAGGCGATAGCGCCGCCTCTGCCTATGTATGTATGACTATGCAGGCTGCCATCCCCGAGCCATCCTGGCTATCACCATCCGTCCCAACCGCCCAGCCACGTCCTACAGGTAACCGAACCGGGATCACATTTTCCAGTCACACGCAGACCGTGGTGCTGGAGACCAGTCCGCGCTGTCTCAAAGTACCGGGTCTGACTTGGTGGCGGGTTATGACCCTTGTCGAACGGACAGCGACTCCCCAGCGCTCAGAGCAGTCCATCGCAGCACCGTGCGGCTAGTTTTATCAACAAAGGGCCGGATCCTCACTGCACAAGCGCTTCGTCCATTGTTGCCCTCGCGCGACTTGCCCTGTCTTTCTGTTTCAAGGTGTTCCAATATAGTCCGTTTGACTCTGTCAGAATGATCAGTGATGAATGGGTCAACCAGAGTCTTCGGTGTCAATGACCGATCCGATAGGTACTGGCGTCTCTACCGCTTCTTTAGCCTCGCGTGTTGGAGTACACAACAGCAGTCGTCAGCACGTCGACCTATGCTTTGACCGCTGTAATGTTTGACTGGTTACCCACGCTGCCTCGAAAAGGCCGCGATCTTTTGTTCAGTCCAAGCACATATCCCTCACCCGAGTGTAGCCCCTTCCAGCTATCGCAGTCAAGGTCCGGCCGAAAACGGCATTTCCGAGTCGGTCTTTGTGCTTCCAGGGCGTGACGTACCACGTTACCCAGCTCCAGCTAGCCCAAGAGAGCTTGATTCCAAACCCATTCCTGCCCAATTATCCCCATCACTGCAAGCCACATTGGGTCTCAGGCTTGTCAAAGGGAAGGGACCCTTTCTTCTCGGTTTCCCTCTTCTGATGGCATGAACCCGTATCTTGGTCCACAAAGTCTGATCAGAAAGTGATACAAAGAATCGACACGATTGCCTGTCTGCTCCGGGATGTGTACGCGTCCTACGGGACGAGGGGCAGATGCAACGGTGAACTGACTTGCGCACCCATCCCCAACCCAGTTGCTTGGATGTCTGCCGTCCGGCCCGGGTCGACGGTTACCAAGCTGCTGACGTCGCGTTGCGCAAGGCCTGTCTGAGCGAGATCTCAAATTCTGCGCTGTGTCGATTGGAAAGCAGGCCGGCGCTGCGCCATGCCAGAACCACTGCTGCCTCCGCTGCTGACGGAGGACAGCGCCATAACACGTCCGCCCCCCAGTTGAGTAGCCTGGGGGTTGCGATCTGGAACTCCGTCATCAACAAGCAAGGTGTCCATTTGGGACGCCCGGTGCATATCTCGACCGATGGAGCAATGTGTCGACGTCCGCAGACAAAGGTACGTGGTCGCCCTTCATCGGTTCCATCATCCGTGGTTCCCCTTAAAATCCCTCTACAACTGCGCCGCACGAGGCTACCAGCGGGGTAGCTGGGTCCTCGAAGATATAGGGAAACTACAAGCGCATATGGCGCTTCAGTGCTCGTCCTGGCGTGCGGGTATGCTACGGCGATGTCAAAGGTACCATGCGTCGGTGTTCGAGGTGGTGATTTCGATGTCGGGCGATGGCGGCGGTCTGCAGGGCAGTCGCTTCTTGCCTCGGTTCGAAATCCAGCCGAGTATACGGTGAATATGTACGGGGTGCAGATGGCCAGGACAGGGCGCACACGGGGTAACCCCCCCGGGTGTTTACCTTGGGCAATCGATGTCCAGACGCGCGGCGCAGCGCAGTACTCTGTGTCTCCGCGATGCCTGTTCTCTCGTGGATCTCTCCCCCGCAATATGTGGGGAGTTCTTGGGTCGGTCTAGAAATTGCCGTTGCGATTCCATCTGCATGATAACCTCTAGGCTGCTACATCGACCGTGGGTTGTCTCGCAGTCTGGCTGGGGTGCTGCACCTCCAGGGGCTGATTTATTTGGCAGCTTCCAGACCACTGGTGAATTCGATAAATCTATGCACCTAGCCAATCGCTCGGATCCTCTTTTCTGCGGGACGTGCTTGAAAGACATGTCCACTGTATGTGCGCTAGGCTTTGAGTGTCGCTGCTCGCGCGCCTCGTATCGGCATTCTATGACGTGCTACAGCACTGAGATACTGCTTTGTCGCTGCACGGGACTAATAGTGTCTTTGTTAGTCTGAGTGCAGCTGCAGAGGTTTCGCATCATATGGTATGTCGGTGTCGCTTAGGCACGGCTAGTTGATAGGTCATATACAGACATGGTGGATTAGAACTCGTCGGATGTATACTCCGTAGTGATCTACGTGATCTACTGTCACTTTCCAGGTCACTGTATTCTGGTGGGGTGGCCATGCAGTATTTCATCATAGAGTCCTAACCGCTGCATATCTAGAATATACTTTGATTGCGGTCCATCTTCATCGTCATCCACGACGGATGGATGGCGTCTCGTTGGGTTGTGTGCCTCAGAGGATACCCGTGAACGTAACTTGCTGGATTGGTCGCTCCAACTATCGTTACGACGTCGATAAATCAGCGTTGATCTCAAGTGATGACCATCCCATTGGTCTGTAGTGTCTATTTGTCCATTGGTCGAGTCAATGGACGCGCTATTATATATATCACGGCCTTGGGTTGACCCATACTGCAAATAGTCCAGCTACGACAACGTATAAAACCAACACTCCTTGATATATAAGCTAGGTTGGTACCGATATACAAGACTATCTCGAGACTATCTCGAGACTATCTCGAGACATAGTGGTCTGACTTGTATACCAACACGAAGGAAGGTAGTCGTAGCTAAGGATTGCCCCATGAACGTTTCCCCGTCTCAATTCTACACCACTGGGAAGCGTTTGGCAGGGACTACATGCTCCGGGGAAAAGGATGCCTTGATACTGTCTGGTGGATTCAGTCCTTGTAAACGAAGCCATACGGATTAGGGTATGGGCCCGGACAGACGGAAAAGGTACCTGCCCCATTGAGAGCGTGCACTAGTCTATAGAGGTGGCCAATGGCGATGAGAATAATGCAGTCAAGCTGTCGATTGATGAGCCATAATATACTACTACTGATCGAGGGTGAGCATAAGGAGTAACAAGACCCCGAGAATGACGCATTCTCGCACCCAAAAGGAGAGAGCAGGAAAGAAACGGGTCAAACAGGAGGAGTGGATCTGACTTCCCCGGATTCACACCGTGAGACTTCATCTACGGAGTAAGCTCTTGACATGACAGTGCCCACCAGCGATGGAGAGAAAACGGTCTAGATGCGGGTGATCCCGGCTGTTATCTCGGGAGAGACCGTAGGTTGACTCAGCACGTGCCTCGACCAGGCTCAAAATAGACAGGAATAGACTGTGGCTGCGGAGATCACGGCCTTGTTGGTGATTTCGAGGGATTTGAATACCGTGACGGGATTCGGAGGGGCGGAGTTCCAGTCGAGTCATCGGGATGGAAGGAGTCTATAAATATCAGTCATTCTTGTGCGATCTAGATCTGCTGTATACGAAAGTGTAGATAGATAGAGACTTCTCCAAATCTGAAGAACTGTTCCCCTCACGACCCCCTCACAGCCCTACCCAGCGCTTAAATTTGCTGAGCGAGGAATTTCCCCTCACCGAGCAGCCATCACACATCACATAAGCAGGAGGCGAGTTGCTTATCTTATTATTTTTTTTTTTCCCTCCGCCGGGACATCCAGACTTTGACTCCACGGCGGACACACCGATTCGCCCAAAAGAGCTAAACATTGCCTTTTTTCCTTTTCTTTTTTTCTTTTTTCAAAATTTTCCCCTCGCCCGAACATTCTCATCCATCGCCGGTGAATCACTTCATCTTCTCTTCCTTTCCCTTCCCCCTCCCTTTCCTCTTCCCTTCCACCTACCTCCATTCTTCTTTCTTCACCTCTTCCCCCTTCCCTTACCCCCGTCGCGTCATACCCACCTGTAACAAGGTCGGCAGTACGCTCGCCATTCGCTTTACAATGGCCTCCCCTTCAGTCATGCAGCTGTCGTCGCTGTCGCGCAGGTCGCTCTCGACGCGGCTTCAGTCACAGGTCGTTCGCTCTGCCCGTCCTCTGCGCGCCAACGCCTTCTCCCAGCAGTCCTTCCAGCGCATCGCGCGTCGTTCCTACGCCGACGCCGCCGCTCCCACTCCCACTCCTACCCCGAAGCCCAAGAAGCGTTTCCGCTTTCTCCGATGGACCTGGCGCTTGACTTGGCTCTCCGGTGTCGGTATGGTCGGTGCTTTGGCCTATAGCATCTACGACCAGCGCCATCCTCTGGAGCAGTTTGAGCCCGACCCGAATAAGAAGACTTTGGTGATTCTCGGTAGGTAGTTTCCGTCGCGGGTAGAATCTGCTTATCACGATCGCGAAACTGACGTGATTTCCACCCTTCAGGTACCGGTTGGGGTTCCGTTTCTCTTCTCAAGAAGCTGGACACGGAAAACTACAATGTTGTCGTCATCTCACCCCGCAACTACTTCCTTTTCACCCCCCTGCTGCCCTCTTGTACCACCGGTCTGATTGAACACCGCTCGATCATGGAGCCCATCCGCAACATCCTTCGCATGAAGAAAGCCAACGTCAAGTTCTACGAAGCCGAGGCGACCAAGATCGACTACGAGAAGCGCGTCGTCCACATCAGCGACGACTCGGAAATCAAGGGCGATATCTCTCACACCGAGGTTCCCTTCGACATGCTTGTTGTCGGTGTCGGCGCCGAGAACGCCACCTTCGGTACGTATCGACTCCCGCCCCGTCGCATGACTCATGGGCTATACTGACTCCCATCCTAGGCATCAAGGGTGTCCGCGAGCACTCTTGCTTCCTGAAGGAGGTCGGTGATGCGCAGAACATCCGCAAGCGTATCATGGATTGCGTCGAGACCGCCATGTTCAAGGATCAGACTGAGGATGAGGTCAAGCGTCTTCTCCACATGGTGGTTGTTGGTGGTGGCCCCACTGGTGTTGAATTCGCCGGTGAGCTCCAGGACTTTTTCGAGGAGGACCTGAAGAAGTGGATCCCCGATATCCAGAAGCACTTCAAGGTTACCCTCGTCGAGGCCTTGCCCAACGTGCTCCCCATGTTCTCCAAGCAGCTGATCGACTACACCGAATCGACTTTCAAGGAGGAGGCGATCAGCATCCGCGCCAAGACCATGGTCAAGAACGTTACCGATAAGTACATCGAGGCCGAAGTCACCAAGCCCGACGGAACCAAGGAGCTGGAGAAGATCCCCTACGGTCTGCTTGTGTGGGCCACCGGTAACGCCGTCCGTGGCGTCGTGCGCGACCTCATGAACCAGCTCCCCGCCCAGAAGAACTCGCGCCGTGGTCTTGCCGTCAACGAATACCTGGTCGTCAACGGTACCGAGAACGTCTGGGCCGTCGGTGACTGCGCCATCACGAACTATGCCCCCACCGCCCAGGTCGCCAGTCAGGAGGGTGCTTTCCTGGCCCGTCTCTTCAACACCATGGCGAAGACTGAGGCTATCGAGAACGAGCTGAAGGCCCTTTCCGTCGCCCAGTCGCAGGCCAAGAGCGACGAGGAGCGCAACAAGGTCTTTGACGAGATCCGCGACCTGCAGAAGCAGCTGCGGAGGACCAAGCAGATCGGCCCCTTCCAGTACTCTCACCAGGGCAGTCTGGCGTACATTGGCAAGGAGCGTGCGGTTGCAGACATCAGCTGGCTGAGCGGCAACATTGCAAGCGGTGGTACCATGACCTATCTCTTCTGGCGCAGTGCCTATCTCAGCATGTGCTTCAGCAGTAAGTATCTCACTTCACTCGTTTGTTTTGGGACGCAAGACTAACCAGTATGCCTCTAGCTCGCAACCGTGTCCTGGTCGCCGTCGACTGGATCAAGGCCAAGCTGTTCGGCCGTGACGTCTCCCGGGAGTAAATCCCAAGACGTCGTTTTCTATGTCCATGACTTTTTGAGCGAGATTCCCTTCTTCTACGCTTCTATTCCTTCGATTCTCTTCTGACGGCGCTTACATGACCTCGATCTTTTCCCTCTCTCTTGTTTCTTTTTCCTTACCTGCATTGCCACCGAAAGGGCCAACCCCACCCCTATCGGAGTGCGTTTTGACTATCAACATCGGTGCATCATATCTCCCATGCATCTACCTGCCGTGTTTGCTCTGCTCTGCCCATCCATATGAAGAGTATTGAGTCCAAGGGACAAAAGCGCTAATACCGTTTTTCATGTTTTATGTGTATCATTAGATAGACCGGGTGTGGGATCATTGTTTAGACTTTTAGAATTGGCCATTTTCCTTTTCATTTGTTTTTCTTCTCTCTTTCCTTTATTTCTTCCCTTGAATTATTAATCTTTCCATCTAATAACTCCGGCATCGAGTGCTCTAGATCACCTGTACACCACCTGTTTCAATATGAGCCACTGCTTAATTGGCATTCTGAATCTCTTCAATTATGACTATATATCTACTTCAATGGACTGTGCTCAAGCTACCTTACCAACAATATTAAAAAGCACCCGCTGTGCGCCTGACCTAGGTATTCTTAAGCTATAAACAACTGATTTAGGTGGTATACAGAAAGGAGAAGGGAAAGCATAGGAACTGGGGAATAGGGATTCATGAACGCCAGAAGTGTAGAAGGCCCAAACGACAACGATCTAGAAGATATTCCACCCACGGCTCCTCTGCTCTTTCGAGGGCAATGGACGGTCCGAGTTCCGCTTGCTGCGCCCGTCGAGTTGACGGATACTTTCGATCTTCTGGAGCGCCAGCTCCAGCAGCTCCTTCTTCCGAATGACGTCGAGGTGCTTGCGGACGCGGGGGTCCTCGCGGGCGAACCGCTCGACCTCTGCGTCGGAGAGATGTCGGCCGAGTCGCATGTCGAGCTCGCGCGGGAAGTTGTAGTAGAATTCGGAGAGGAGCTCGACGTTGAGAAAGAGCACGGCCGTCGAGGTGAGCTTGTCGGCGACAACGTCGAGGAAGACTTCCGGGCAGTAGTATTTGTTTTTCTTGGAGGCGCACTGTTTCGAGCGCACTGCAAGCAGTCTCATCTTGATGAGGTCGGCGCGGTCGCGGAGGAACACGCTTTCTCGGCCTGGTCAAAGGTTAGCTTTGGAACATCGATCGGGTGAGACTGGGGACGTGGCATACCTTTGGCGAGCAGGGCAGAGCTGAAACCGCCTGCTCCGCCGGCGCCGTCGCCCTCGAGGACTACGTCCCCCTTTCGGACTCGGTCTACAAACGACATCACGTCCTTGAGCTTCCGCTTCCCGACGGATTCTTCGACTCGTTTGTAGGCTGCCTCGCATGCGCGAAGCTCTTCCTTGAGCACTTTGCTCACGTTTTCCCGCCCCTTTGCCCATTCGGGGTCTTCGACCTCAATCTCGAACTTGTAAGGCTTGATGCAGTTCTCGACCTGATCGCTAGTGCTGAAGAATCGATCGTTCAGGATGCTAGTGTAGGCATCCTCTATTTGTTTCTGAGCGTAAGGATGGGTAGCGAATGTGGAATTGGCCAACAATCGGTCGACGTGGCTTTGTATTGCATTCGCAACCACTGTCGTGGCGAGCCGGCCGATACCCAGTTTAGTCAACGCGGAGGTCGAAGCATCCAGTTTGCGTCGCCAGTACTGCGAGTCTGCATCGGCCTTTGGAAGGTCGCTGAGAGGGTCCGGCTCGACCATCGGCGGTGTCAGGTCCTCCACCGGTTTATTCCAGTATCTCTGCGCGAGGATATCCATCACCCGCTGGTCCAGCTCATGCTTCAGCATTTCGCGGACTTGAGGTCGGCCAAAACTCTCCGCAAACGCCTTGAATGAATGTTTGAAGCTGTCTAGGCTTTCGGCAAGATATGACTCCGCACTCAAAGGACGGTCATTGTACTGAACTTTGAACTCGTAGGTCGCTTCTTCCAGTTCTTGGCTGATAGCATCCCTAGTACCTGCTAGGCTTGATGCCATTGTCTGCTCAAGGACGTGCATAAGCTTGTCCCTCAAGGTGTTGACGCCAACGGAAACGCCTGACTGGGGGCCAAACTCAGAGGGATGAGCAGAAAAGTATGCGTTCTCATTCCTGAGGATTGCGCTGGTGATGTTCCCGCTGCCCCTAGAGAACAGGGCGGTCGTTTGTGGGATTCGCGAGACTACCCCGACGTAGCCTAAACGCAGCGGGTACTTCTTGTCCGACAGGATGCTATAGCCCCGATCCGGATCAACAAGGTCCATCTTTGTGATAACACCGATCGTTCTCTCCCCCCGAGGGTCTACGCGGCGACTGGCACGAAGCGCTGTGGAGTTGGCCAAATCGACATCGGCAGCGGAGATAGCCAGGATCACATTGGGCGCTTGGATGTACTTGTCGCAAAGATCCGAGATCTTCTGTTTCAACTCCGCCGGTTGGTCATGTCCAGCAACCTGGATGTATCCCGGAAGATCGATGAGGGAGAGATCAGGTACGTTCGGTGAATAGATTGAAAGTTGGATCGGGTCGTCGCTGACGCAGTCTTTCTCGGGAACTGCAAGATTGAGGTCGGTGAGCGTCCGCTGGATCTGGGAGAAGTCGGTGATTTTTCCGAGGCCAAGAGCTGGGAACTCGCCGTATTCAGCCTGTCCGTTCGGTGTGTTGACGAGGGTCAGCTCGATGGGCCGTCGGGTGACCATATTCGAGCCTTTGGGAAGGAATTCGTGTCCGACGATAGCCTCCAGGACGGAGCTTTTGCCCGAAGACTGCGATCCAATCACCACAATAGATGGCAGGGTGAGGGTGTTGGATTGTCCCACTGTCTGGAGGATGTTTCTGATCTCGATCATCTTCCGAGTAAGAAGCATCATCTGGTCGTTCTCCGCCATGTCCCTCTTCAGACGTTGGTCCTCCTCATCCGACTGCTCATACCCGAGTACTGAGCCGGCGGCAGCACCAGCGGCGGTGCTCGCACCAACCCGACTTTCATTCGGTTGTTGACCCCCTCCGGACGAACCACCACCCCCCGACTGAGCGGCCTCATCCATGCGGAGGATTTTCTGTAACCATTCCGGAACTTCGATGTCTTCTGTCGTTTTCTGCCAGCCGCGTTGTGTCTGCTCCGCCACACCCTGAATTTCGCTGAATAACGTCGAAGCGGCGCCGCCGGCGGTCTCACCCGCGCGTCGCAATACATCCATCGCGTAGTTTCCCGCCTCTGCAGAGAGATTTGTTAGTTTACATGATCCGGTCATGCCACTGCACCCTAAAAGGAATACATACGAGTCGCTTGGTACTGAAAGTAAGCCAGGCCGGCAACCGTAGCCCCTCCAAGCATGGCGGGCACGCGCACCAGCTTCAACGCCAACTTAGGAAGCATTCTCGAGAAAGAGATGGCCCGCACAGCAGGAACATTGTGTATAGCGTTTGCGCCGACGGGCCATGAGCGGCCTCGAAGGGCGGCGCCCCCATCTGCGCGAAGTAGGCCTCCGGTTCTCGCGCCGGCGTTGTGCATATGGCGGGCAAGGTTCCCCGTCCGCAGGAGCGGAACGAGACGGTGGGAGAGGATTCTCCCGCTCATGGTTCTTGGAATCTCATACACGTCACGAAGAGAAAGGATGGGAAAGCTGTCATCTCCAGGCTGGAAGCCAGGCGAATCAAGCAGGGTCTGCTGGACTGTTGGAGCGACAGAAGAAACATGCAAACAGACCAAGTCCAACGACGTCGTCGATCCCGCCCCGTGACCTGCGCGGGTGGCCGCTTCGTCTCCCGTAAAAAGTCGGTGTGAGTCACGTGGGACCCGAATGGCGACATATCATTACTCTACACCGACCGTTGTTCTTTATATAATTTATTTGTGGTTCGTTGTTTTTTGTCCAGGTTAAAAAGCCCGTCGCTCTGTCAATCGGTCTTCGTGAAATTGAGCAGTGTGCTATACATAAGGCGACTTCGTGTAGAGTGGATGCTTCACCTCCCTGTGGCCTAAACAGGTATTGAAGGGAGCTCGATAGGAGCTGCTATAGTTCAGTCATGTGTCGGTTCCTGGTAAGTCCAACACCCCAAAGCTCTTCACTCAATCTGACCCTTCCCAGGTATACAAAGGCAGACATGAGATCCGTCTCAGCAAGCTAGTCACGGAGCCAAGTCACTCCATTCTGACTCAATCATACGACTCTCGTCTAAGACTGGTACGTCGACATCGCAACCCGGCGCCCGCACCCAGACTAACCACGGCAAACGCAGGACAACCGCCGCCCAGTCAACGGCGATGGCTTCGGTGTCGGCTTCTACACAGACCCCAAGCTGGGTCCGGAGCCGTGCATCTTCACCTCCACATTGCCAGCGTGGAACTGCGAGAACCTGGAGCGTCTCGCGTCGAAGACGTGCTCCAACCTGATCTTTGCCCACGTGCGCGCCACGACAGAAGGCGCGCTCTCCGACAATAACTGCCACCCGTTCCAGCACCAGACGCTGATGTGGATGCACAACGGCAACGTCGGCGGGTGGCACTACATCAAGCGCACGCTGGCCGATTCCCTCGCCGACAAGTGGTTCCTGGGCGTGAAGGGCGGCACCGACAGCGAGTGGGCGTTCGCGCTCTTCCTCGACCTCCTCGAGAAGGAGGGTGTGGACCCCAGCTCCGATCCTGGCCCGGAGGGGTTCGGCCAGGCCCTGCTGCGGCGTGTGATGGTCAAGACCATCGCCAAGATCAATGAGTTCATCCGCGACATCCCGAAGCGGCATAACGTCTCCGGCGTGGAGACCCGCAGTCTGCTCAATTTTGCCGTCACCGACGGCCACACTGTCGTGTGTACGCGGTATATCAGTAGCAAGACGGATGAACCGGCAAGCTTGTACTTCTCCTCTGGAACCAAGTGGAAGGAAGGCCGCGATAAGGGCCATTTCAAGATGGAGCGCCATGACAAGGGCGCGGATATCGTGCTGGTGGCGAGTGAGCCGATTACGTTTGAGAGATGTAAGTTGGCTATTTTCAGTCGTTTCGTTTGAAAGCACTAATGGGGATAGATAACTGGGTTTCTGTCCCTGCCAACTCGATCGTCACGATACACAAACAAACCGTCATGCTGCACCCGATCGTGGATGAATTCTACAGCGAGGATCTGAACCATGACCGGTCATCATGCTATGCGGTTTCGAAGGGTCTTGTGAGTACGGCGCCAGGAACGACCGTTCCACCCCAGAGTGCAGTAGAGCTTGGCAGAGCCGAGCCGAAAACACTGGGTGTCAGTGATGCCGGGGTCGAATCTATAAGTAAGGGCCTGGCTCAACACCAAATAGAATGCGCCAATAAATGCGCGTTGTCTCATTGAGCGCGAGTTTTGGAGTTATTGGAGTCAAGGGTATGGGTGTTAATGTTTGTTTGGGTAGAACATACTGCTTTGTTTGGACAATTCCTTGCGCGATTAGAATGATCTATTATGAATTAACCTTGGCTTGAGAGACCCGTTAAACTAGTATACATGCACCAGTGTAGGGCAGTCATATGTCTTCCCCAGATATGTTGGCATGCTTGAAGTACTTCATCCCGACCCACGCGATAATAACCCACACCCACGACATGACAGCCGTCAGAATGATCAGAGCAGGATAATACCCAACAATAGGCAGAGTAGGGTCATCCTCCAGCTCCGGCGGTGCATATGGAGTCTCCCCAACATCCCACGCCCAACTCCACACCCCGAAGCAGCTGCCCATGCCGACCACGAAGACAAGCCAGGTCACAATCAGGATAATCCACCCCCACCACTCCGTCTCCGAATAGTCCCACGCCATGTCCTGGCTACTCGCCATGTCCGCCGCCAGACTCGTCTTGGTCCGATGCATAGCCCTGTACGTCGAATCCGGCTGGAGGGCAAAGTACGAGTCTGAGCTCGACGATGCTGCTGGTATGTGCAGGCCCGCGGCAGCCGCAACAGCAGCGTTGCTGTTCTTGACTCGGGGGAACGTTACGACGTCTTCGTCGTCGGTTGTGACCTCGCTCAGCTGTCGATGATCCGGGACAGATCCATCCAAAGAACCGTCCATCAAGCCCCACGCCGTTGTTGTATCATCGTGTCTTTTAGGACTATGCTGTTTGTGGGGGCTGAGGCCAACGTCAGGAGAGAGGTCGGGCAGGGGTTGCACATCCGAGCTCGAAGGTAGCGGTTGTTGCTGGGGATGTAGTTGGTGTTGGTGTTGTTGTTTTTCAGTAAACTCTCCCCCGCGCAGTACGTCGATTGCAGCCCTGGTGGGCTTCTTATCGCGAAAGTCGAGTCGTGTACCTAGCAAGGCCGTCTTCCGAAGCGACCCCCGCCTGCGTCGTGTTCTTCGGTGTTGTAGCGCACTCGACATGGCCCGTCCTCCGCGCAAACCGGCGCCAAAATCACCGCCATCATCTCTGCCAATTCCCGAGTGTCCCCTGTCCGGTGGAGTATGGTCCGCTTGTATCATGCGTAGGAATGAGAGTCGGGAGAGTAACGAGCCGGAGGAGCTGCGTTTGTGTCCACTGCTTGCGCTTCCCGCGCGCGCTCGCCCCGAGAGGTCTCCATCCGTACCCAGCGACAGTGCCACGTTCTTATCGTCGCTTGCATCTTCCATTGGCGCAAGCTGGGCACACACAGCTCAGCTGGCCATTAGAATGCACACATTTAACTCGTCGGTTGTTCAAAGGCGGCCGCTAACGGGTGTTTGAGGCGAAAGTCCATCGGGGAGACGGGCGGGCGGTTCGAGTGGGTGACACGCCGAGCCAAGCTTTCCCGTTTTAAGGTATTTACCTGCCCCATCTCCCCCACCAACAGTCCCGTCATTCCTACGGAGTACTCCGTGCTACAGAGTACAAGTATGGAGTGGGCTATCCATGTTGTCTGGTTTGGAGATGTCGACTGACCACTTTCCATTGTAATAGACTAACAACGCCCGTGGTAAAGAGCGGGAAGCTGGGTACAGCGGGCATGCACCATCCAAAAAACGCCAGAGGCATCATGAGTTGTAAGGTAAGCGCAAAAGACGACGGCAGAAAGAGGTTTGGTATCATAGGCGAGAAAATACTAAGAAGATGGAGGAATAGCACGGCATCGCTAGAGGCCAAAAAGAAGACACTTTGAGTTTGTTGGCCAAGGCATTTGTCGCAGTCCAGAAAAGCCATTGAATCAATGCGAAAACCAAGCCGCTATCAGATAAGAAATTTGCGCCAGAAAATAAATGACAGACCAGATCTTGGAAGACCAAGCATACATATTCAAACGGAGAGGGTAAAGAAACGTACGATACAAGTCAGAAGGCAATTTATCAAAATGTTGAAAAACTGAAGACGAAAGGAAACAAAAAGAGGTGAGTACTTTTGGGTGTATTCCGCAGAACGCTTCGGAAGTCCAAGGAGCTCTTGATCAAACTGGTGCGCATGGGGAAGCAAAGAGAGAATATGGATTTGATGCAACAAAGTGGACTTGGGGTATTGGTGTACGATAACACACAAAATTTCATTTCGAAAGGAAGAAGTTGAAAAAGGATGCGCTTAGAATCCACTGAGTATGGGTAAATCATGAATGTTAAGTGTCCAAAAGAATAAAGAAGAGATATAGTGCTGAAGATTGTGCAAAGAGGAGAGGGGTAGAAAGAGACGGAAAGTAAAGTAACGGAAGCCGGCGTCTCATCACTCTTACTGCCCCGGGCAGCTGAGGTGGTTCAGCTTTCACTTGAGAGAGGGATGGCGAGCGTCAGGATCTGGGTTGTTGACATCGATCAGCGGCTACGCTTGGTAACCTCCGAAGCCATTCCCGAAATTGGCGTTGTTTGCCTGGTTCCAGCCAGAGGCAGGGGTAGCTTGCCCTCGCCCATAGCCAGCATTGCCAGGGACCTGGCCGTAGGCCTGGCCGGCCATTCCGCTCTGATCCCAGCCGCGTCCAGCCGGATTAGGTCCTACATGATGCTGTTTAGCCATATTCCGTAAGCAGGTTGATTTGTGGATAGAGCTTTACCTTGAGGAGTCATGGGGCCCCCGGGGCCGCTGTACTGGGGGAAGAACGGGGTAGGGCTGGAGTTGAAAGGGGAGTTACCCTGCTGGCCGGGGAAATTGTCGAACTGGCCGGTAGGAGGCCGGTCCTTGCCCCACTGCAACGGCTGTTAGTAGGATGATAACCAGGAGGAACGATAATACATACACTGCACTTCAAGGGGCGTCCGTTAACGTTGTATCCATTGAGTTGGCAAATGGCCATGGCTGCATTCTCGTGCGAGTCCATCTTGATGAAGGCGAACCCACGGTCGGCCTGGAGACGGGTCTCAAGGACAAAGCCAAAGTTCTGGAAGAGTGGAACAAGATCATTCTGCGAGGTGTAAGGGGTCAAGTTACCCACATAGCACGTGGTCTGCCACTGTGGAGTTTGCTGGACGACCATGTCGTAACTCTGCATGCCATGGGTAGGGAAATGGTGGTGGCCGAACGGCGTCGTAGGCGTCATGCCCATAGCCGCCATTGCCTGCTGCTGGGAGATCGAAGGCTGTCCCTTCTGGTTGGCCCAGTTGCAACGAATTGCACGAGATCCAAGCCATTCGCCATCCATCGAGCTCAATGCTTTCTCGGCGTCCGAACGCTCGCGGAAGGCAACAAATCCATATCCGCGAGAGCGACCTGTCTTCATGTCCCACATGACACGAGCCTCCGATACCGAGCCGAAGGCTGAGAATGCCTGGAGCAAAATCTCATCGTTTACTTCGTTGCTCAAATCACCGACGAAGATGTGGAAATGGTTCGAAGTATCCTCCTTGTTGGTATTGTTCGATTGATACGCCCAGTTGACTCGAATTTCCTGCGACCTGGTTAGAAACAATGCATCCGACAGGATGTTGGGCGGGACGATCACGCATACCGACTGGTGGATTCGGCGGCCGTTGAGAGTCTGCATGGCTCTTTCAGCGGCACCAGGGTCATCGAACTCAACGAAGCCATAGTTATATCCTTTGCTATTGAACTTCTGAAGGTGTCAGTTCGGTAGTGACTCAGAAACCTCCGCTCTGTCAACCACATGGGCGCTCGGGCCCGACTTACGTTCTTGTCTGGAATGATCTTCACGCTGACAACGTGACCAGTAGTTTCGAAGATTTGTTTCAGAATGTCCTCGGTCACTCTCGGGTCGAGACCACCAACGTAGAGCGCTCTTTTGTTCGGTTCGGGGGCCGCGCGACGCACGTATCCACCGGCGCTGGAGGGAGACATCATGTTGCCCGACATAGGGGAGGTGATGGCAGTGGGGATCGGGTTGGTATTCTGGGGGATCACCACAGGAGGCCGAGGTGGGGGAGGCATATGGGATGGATTCGCCTGGCCATTGCCCTGGGAGGCATCATACTGTTGACCCGATGCAGCAGTCGACGCTTGAGGCGCAGGAGGGAGAGTCGAAGCGGTCGAGGCGGCGGCGTTGTCAGCCATGGTCGATATGGGCAGAGGAAGCGATATGGAAACGAAATAAATAACTGCAAAACAAAAGAATGCGCTTGTTAATAAAAATTCCTGAAGGCGCTTGACGACGATGGGAATTGTGGAATGCCGCTGATATGGGCGTTGTTTGGGAAGAAAAACGCCCCGAACGATAGGTAGTCCACCAAAGCTGGCTTTTGGCGGGAAGCGGGAAGCCGACACGCGGGGGACGCCCAACGATCGATCGTCGTGCCAGAGGGGACGGGGAGAGCGAGAGAGAAGGGAAGATAGGGAGAAAGCAAGAACAAATTAGAGCATACAGTTAGATAAGGATACCTTCGAGAAAGAAGAACGGCGAGAAATGGCCGTCAAGAAAGCAATAGAGATGACCAAAAGGTCAGGGGAATGAATAATAGTACGGTACGGTAGGTAGCTTGGTATCGGGGACCAAAGAAAAGGCGCTAGGATCCGGAGAACTCAGACACAGACGGCTTTCTCTCAACCACGGGTGGACGAGAGAGAAGCTAGAAGGAAAGGTGAAAAAAATGGATAGCACAACAAAGAGGTGAAAGAGAAGAGGTGAAAAGAGGAAAAAGAAGAAAAACACTGGAGGTCCTGACAACCCACCCAGAAAAAAAGTACGATGCGAGACGGCGCGAGCGATGAAACGAAACTCAAAGGAAGAGAAGAAAAAAAGGAAAACCCGCAAAGCCAGCGGCGCAAGAGAGACGAGAGAGCGAGAAAGACGAAAAGAAGAGAAGAAGAAGAGACAGCGGTAGCGCTTGCGGATGATGATCTGGATGGAATAATAAAGGTAATGGATGGATGGAACGAGGAGTTTGGATGGTCAAGAGCCGCTCCGAGTGGGGAGCCCGGCACTAGCCCCTTTTCCGTTAGCCCCGCCCTGGCCCATTCATCGTCCCTTCGACCACCGCCCATCACATCGGTTTATTCATCGTTATCATTATTTCGGGAGCCTCTCAAAGAATCATCCCCCTTTCGCATACCCTCCTACCACTCATTTCTCTTCATCCTGTGGGATCATCCCCTCACTCCGAACACAACTTAAGCGCTGGCTGTCTCACTGGGTGTGACTCTCTGCCGTGTCTTTTTCAATTGGCCGTCGATTAGGTCCTGTATCCCGCGCATTAGTGTCACCAGCCTGGCGCCTCTTTGTTCTTCGGTCCTCTCGCCTTCTTCCCTTCAGGCCTGCTTTCCAATCCAATCCATAGCTTGAAGCGCCTGTTACGGCAATCCCTCCTTCGCGTGCCTCACCATGGCCTCTCCAGTTTATGCCGACCCGCAATCTCTCAATATCCTTACCGAAACATTGAACCAAACAGTAAGCCTTATGCGCTGAATTGCCGCTCAATTACTCTCAGGGATTATCTAACGACCAATAGTTCATCGAGACCGGTCGATTCTTTCGGTCAGGCGGCGGGGGCGCCTCCAAAACTCAACTTAAACGGTCTCTCCCTCGGGCCCAGGAGCAGTTCCAGAGCGCCTTAGACGAATTGTCGGAACACATTGTATGCAAGATGAGTGTCAACGTACGTGGCTGGATAGTATCCGACTAACCAGATTAATAGTTCATCGCCAAGGCGTTCCTAGAACGAGATTATGCTGCTCTCCAGGCCAAAAAGGCAGCACTGAAGCCAGCAGAAGATGTTGTCATGGGCGAGTCCGATATCAAGCAAGAGCCCGAGACTCAGCCTCAGCCAGAACTCCCGACCAATACATCCCAGCCTGCGTCAAAGCCCGCAGAGGAAGCTGTCGGCGCGAGCCCCCTCCAAGCCAACGGGGAATCCACGGTACCGCAACAGGAGGTCAAGGCGGAACAAATCGAGGACACTTCCAATCCAGGCAATCAACCACTCTCTGGAACTGGAGAACTCAATTTCAACCAGGCAGCAAATGATGCCAGCGCGCCAAATGAATTTGACTTGAATCTCGACTTTGGGGACGATAACATTGGAAACGAGAACTTCCTCTCCGGGTCGAATTTCGGTAACATCGACCAAAGTGGACACAACGAACAAGACAAGAGTAACGACACCCCCACAAACATAGCTTCGAATGCGCATGGTGATACAGGTCAAGACACGAATGTCCAAGCAGGCGGCGACGCATTCGATCTGGAATTGCAAAAAGCGGGCGTCTTTACTGAACAGCAGCCGGAGGGCCAATCAACCAACAACAATAGCAACAACAACGGCAATAATGGCAACAGTGAAGATGCCATGGCCCTGGGGCAGTCCAGCTTCGATGAACTGTTCATGGAAAGCGAGAATTTCGGAGGAGAAGGCATGGGGGATCCCAATCTCCTGGAAGGGGACGGGTTGATGAATATCAATGAACTCGACGATAGTTGGTTTACTTAGCTATGTTGCCGGCCCTGGAGGCGCCACCAAATGATATATACGGACAAGGGACCTTTTTCAAAAGTGAGACGCATCGTGAGATGTATTGGACGACTTACAGTTTCTATAGCTAATCCAAGCAGCGGGCATGGCTATTTTGTCTGACTGTCCAGGAAAGTCTTCGATATCTTATTCAGCACCTCCAACAACAGGAAAGGAAGCGATCTTCGCAAACTAACATCTGCAAACGCCATGCGGCTCGTCTCCAATCGTTCAGATGGCCAATGCTTACGGCATGGAGAAGGTTTAAGCAAGGGGACAGACGCACGTTGGGATACGTAATGACGCAAGGACGTTGGCGAACGTTCGACTTTAACCTACCTAGACTAGTGGGGGAGATGTGAGATCTCCAAATGGTAGGCGACGAGGCAAACGATACAGTTACCGGCCGTGTGGACGGCTTCGGTGGGGACAATCATACTGCGTACAGGAATCTCGAAATCTTATCTCAGCATGCTTCTAGAAAGTATAAAACGTGGCTGTGTTCATAACGGGGGATGTCCGCGTGGTAAGAAAGCCATGTTCAGGGCTGGGAGTTCCTTACCCAGGTAGGTGGTTAACCGCCCACTGAGTACGAGGTAAAGTGCTCTGGGTGGATTCAAGATGAAGAACGATCGATGAGGTCATTGGCTTAAGCCCGAACGGACAAATCTCGGCATGACGTAGTCGGGCGCGATTGACACCAGAGATAGGGCACCTTATTTAGGTATATACGGAGTTCGACACCAGGAGGTGGAATAGCAAATGGATATCAATACAACCCGGTCTCGCTACTGTTGCTTACACCCAGACTAGACATTGCCTGGCCGAGTTATCAGTTGTCACAGCCTCTGCCGAGAGGCATCACCGTTGTGGCTGATATCCACTGACGTGAGATCTAGACCTTTAAACCCTTGGTCGGTTCATTTGCCGGAAACCCAGCGATCATTGGGTTTGGTCACCCCACTGACTTTGGCGCACCTAATGTACATATACTAATCCATGAATTTTAATTGCTCTTCCAGGCAACGCGCACATGGGCCAAAATTCCTCTTATGGAGACGGAGAGGAAGACAGATTGTCTTGAAGAATTCACGTGTGATGAGCTGATGGGTCAAAGCCGTCGATGATATCACCACCCCCGAGGATTTACACTGGGACAAGGCTAGGAAGACGATCCTCCCCGCACCTAGTAAATTGGAGTACAGAACAGAAAAACCTGGGCGTGATCTGGGCGATCCGTTCACCGGGGAGAGCCCGTGATCCCTCCCAGCCCAGGAGAGCTCGTCTACATGGCCTGACCACTCTGTCGGCTTAACCTTTTGGCTTTGGTTAAGTTGCTGGAACGGCGTTGTGGCAGTGACCCAGGGAGAGTGTTGCCGTGGTGCCGGGATATCCGCATCGGGACATCATCCTCCTCTCCACTTCTCGGCCACCAGGGGGGTCTTCTTGAGGACTAGACGACTAGAGCTGGCGGAGGACTCGGGCCCCTCGGAGTAAGTAGTGAAATGCGAAAGGAACCCTGTCGAGAGGGTGCATGCACCGCCATCACATGGATTGTCATTGCAGAGGAAGACTTTTGATGCACATACTCTGGAGTAGTTTATTGTACTCTTTTGTGATGCAGATCAAGAGCGATAGCGCGACTTGACTTGTTTGTGATCCAACCTGGTAATCCAATATCTTATTAGAAATGCAGGATTGATCTGCGAAAAAGAAAAGAAAAGAAATGTGAAAAAAAAATTTTTTTTGACTAGTAGAATCAGCAGGAAAAAGCAAAACGGGCCTAACCACGGATCGCCGGATGTGACCAACTGGAAGAACCCTATGGGCTCCGACTCCGCGTCATCATCAGTTCACCAGTCCCTCAATTTGATGTTAGTCCTTGGAAGAGGATGACTGACGGTTCCGACCTCGGGAGTTTCTACCTCTAGGTAAGGTATATACTACCCAAAACGTATCCGCTCGAATGGGAGATGTAGAGTTGGTATGATTCTGTTCCCTTAGTCCTCTAATCCCCTAAATCCCCACAGTCCATCGACCCTTCTGGACTTTCTCGCGGGTGTCATCTTTTTCTGCCGACTGCGACAAGGCAACATTCAGTGACTTCTGCACTCTCTGGCTGTTTTCCCATTTCCCCCACAGGACAAGACCTGTGTGTTCCTCCTTGCGTTGACCTCCGGCGATCATCCGCCCAAGAAGGACTAGCAACAGGCAAACTGCAAAATAAAATCGTTTATTATTATTTTTAATTTTCTTGGGTAGGTACATTTTGCATGGGGACGGAAATGGATTTGCACATCATCTGAATCCCTACTGACGGTAGTCTTCGTGTCTACGACAGGTAAACCCTACCCTACCTTTACTACCTTACCTCACTTCAGACACCTTATAATTCCTTTTCGTGCCGCTCTTTTGCAGGTAAGTGCGTTGCTCTTTTTTTTTAAATTAGATTTTTTTATTTTTTACTTCTTTCTTCAGTTGTCCTTTGTTTCTATTCTACTTTACCTTTATTTTTTTTTTTCTGTCTGAGCTGCTGGGTTTCTTGTTTCTTCTGCTTGGTTTCTGTCGCAACCCTGCTTTCTCTCCCAAAGCTCCCTAGTATTTGTCTCTTCCACTTCAGGTATCAAACCTCTTCCTGGTGTCACTACATCGTGAGGAAGAGATCCATGATCAGAATAGTCCTCTCTGCATATCAAGAACGAAACAAGAGAAACGCGAAGAATGCTTTACGCATGTCACCATGACCACCGCTCACGTTTCCCTTTTGCAGCAGGACCTGTCTGGGTCGGCGACACCGGGCGCTCAAATTCCCTCCGCCGCTGAACATCATTTCCCCCTCCTCTCCAGCATTCTCAGCTCCCGGTCAGAACGTCGACGGTCATTGGGGACATCCATCGTTGGTACTGGCACGGCCAATTTCGCGTCCGAGGAATTCCCCAAGCAGCACCATCGCCGCGGCTCGTTACTGAGAAAACTGGCGGGTCCACGGGAGAACGCAAAGCGGTTCCTCCGCCTGGGGACCCCCGTCCATCCGCCTTCGACGCCACCCGCCGCTCGCCCAATGTATCGCGCTCGCCGCCCTCGTCCGGTCTCTGAAATCGTCCTCTCTCCTGACGATGCCCAAATGCTCGCCTCACACAGTCTAGGCGTCGGTCGAATGCGATCCCACTCATCGTCGACATCCTCGGCGTCCCGGCCCTCCGCCGGGGTCGCTCCTCAGCCTTCGGATCCGGCGGTTCCATTTCCGACTCTTCGCAACGAGAGAATTGTGGCTACAGGAAGCGGCATCAGTGTTGGCATCGCTCTAACGGAGCCCGTACTCTATCTCCAGGGATATGATCATAACGATCCCAGTACCAAGAAGTCGGCCATTCTCCGAGGACAATTACACCTGAAAGTCACCAAGAGCGTCAAAATCAAGAAGATCTCGATTTGCTTCCGTGGACATGCGCAGACGGATTGGCCTGATGGTACGATCCTCATGATCAGATTGTCTTCCGAGAAGATTGTATAGAGATATTTGTGCTGACCTCTGGCGTCATTTAGGAATTCCCCCCAAGAAGCTTCACCACACCGATAAGAAAGACCTCGTCACTCATGGCGTGATGTACTTCAACCACGGTGATCCGGTATTGATCCAGAACGATTATGGTGCCCACTTCTACCAGCATGCCAAACCTGTCACATCCACGGTAGGCAAGGATGGCCCAACGACAATCACCCGTGAGCTCTTTTCGAAGACTGGCTCCAATACGTCGCTCCATAACAGCCACATGACCGGCAAGGATCTCAAGCGCCTGTCCCTGCAGGCCAACCATCAGCACTCCCGCAGCTTCGGGAAGAACGACTCGTCTCCCGGCGCTCCCGCTCACCCTCAGCGCAACTATCGAATGTTTCCCGTGGGCGACTACCTGTATAGCTTCGAGTTTCCCATCGATGGATCCCTTCCAGAGACGATAAAAACAGACCTTGGATTCGTTCGGTATGACCTCGAAGCGATCGTGGAGCGGTCGGGTGCCTTTCGGCCCAATCTGCTCGGCACTCTAGAGGTCCCTGTGATTCGCACCCCAGCCGAGGGTTCGTTGGAACAGGTCGAGCCGATTGCCATTTCTCGGAATTGGGAAGACCAGTTACACTATGACATCGTAATCTCAGGAAAATCATTTCCTCTTGGGAGTCAGGTCCCCATCGCGTTCAAACTGACGCCGCTCGCCAAAGTCGAGTGCCATAGGATCAAAGTATACGTGACGGAGAATATCCAGCATTGGACGGTCGACAAGAGCGTCCATCGCTTTCAACCAGCGAAGAAGGTCCTTCTGTTCGAGAAACGGGCCGATTCTGCCAGTACGAGTGCGTATCCCGGTAGCTCAATGCGTGTTACAGCAGGCGGCGGTATTGGCTATGATCAACGTGCGGCCGCTGCGAGAGGGCAAGAGTTCGTCGATCGCAACCGTACGAATCTATTGGGAGATCTTGGTAGAGATGCTGGAGTTGGTCCAACCGAGATGGAATTCAATGTGCAGCTCCCGAGCTGCCATGAAATGAAAAACCGCGATGAATCTCAACGGCTACACTTTGATACGACGTATGAAAACATCCAGATCAATCATTGGATTAAGGTATGTCACCTATCGTTCATCCCACCCTGTGGCATGCCGAAAGGCTAATCGAAATGATCGTCAGATCGTCCTGAGACTTTCCAAGGTCGACGAGAGAGATCCCAATAAGCGGAGACACTTTGAGATTTCGATAGACTCACCTTTCCATCTCCTCTCCTGCAAGGCTACACAGGCAAACATCTACCTCCCCGCATATACCTCCCCCAACTCGGACCCTGTCCCGCCTGCGCAGGAGTATGAATGCGGTTGTCCGGGAGCGGCCGTCATCCCCAGACCTGCCCCAGTCAGGCGGGTGTCGCCCCCAACTGACCCTGAGGATTCGCCAGGAGGAGGCCATGTCTCGAGGAGCTTCACTAATGGCTCAGGCGGCTTGACTCGACCACCGCCAGTGCATCTAGCGCAAGAAGCGCATGAACGGCCAAACGATCCGGCGCCACGCCCCATGCATCTCCTCCGAGCGCCATCCTTTGCCCCGCCTGCTTTTGAGGACGTGCCGCCGCCACCACCACTCGTTACACCTCCGCCAGAGTACACCTCAATCGTGGGTGATAATGACCGGGAGGCCGTTCTCGAGGACTACTTCTCTCGGCTGTCATGTTACGAGGAACATGCAGATGACGCACGGGGTCGTGGACGGGTCGACGTTCCTCTCACCCCCGGTGGGCGGGTGAACCGCAGCATGGATGTTCCCCGCGAATGGGTTCGTCTGGAGGAGTCGGCCGTCTGATCGGCTGGTATTCATGCTTTACGGCGATAATGGGAATTTACGACGTTACGAATGGTTGGGGTTCCTCGGGAAATATCGGCGTCGGCCATCAGGTTGGGGTGACGCGTTCACGATTTCTGGATTTGTCTTGCCTTTTCCCTTCTGGACATGTCAAAGCATATATATTCTAATGTTTTTATTTCGGTTTAACCTATATATGGCGCGGGAGGGCAAAAGACGACGGGCGCTGGGATCCTGCATGTACAGGCATGAGCGTCTGAATTTCTTTATACTATATATACTGCACTTACTATACATATTGGTGCGGAGCCCATGAGGACCCCGTGGATGTATACATTCGCACTGATGTACTTGAGGGGTCCAGTCACGATAAAGATGGAGACAATCTATTGTTGGTCTATGCTTGATTCCCACTGACCTTGTGACAATGGAAAGCTCTCAACCAGGGATTGTGTTGCCAAAAGCGGCGCGCCTGGTTTACCCGGAAGGGAGTCGAACAGTCGACCTTGGTTTCCGGCCCACGAAATCATGTAACTCTATTCATAGCTTCAACAACTCAGATTCCATATACACAGACTGATGACGACCGATGATGTATTCAACAGCCCTAACCTGCCTCTTGTTATATAGAGCAGTTTCGCCCCAGCTGTGGACCGGACTCAGCCTGTCGAGAAGCTCCTCGCTCCAACTACCATTCAACAAGCCTCAAGGCATCATTCACTGAAGCGAAATGCATAACTTAGTAAGTTGATGACGGACCTCCGGCGGCCCCGACTGATACTAACCGGACAGACCGCAAGCATCCGGTTCGAAAGCGAACGGGCATGGGAGGACTTTGCCCAGGACGACGATGAGAAGACGTGGGTGTATCTCCTATACGAATCCTCAAGAACAGAGTCGACGATGTTAACGCCTCGGCAGCGTGGAAGAGATCTTCCGTGGTAAGGACGTCACCATCATGAAGCCGATCAGTGCCACCCGTCACACGCCCCCGGTTCTCGAGGTAACGTAAGTGGATTGACGCTTGTGTTATCGGCTTGCCCGTTTACTCACTTTTTCTTGGGATAGTCTCGAGGCGGCGGATGATGTCGAGGCTGAGGATATACAGCGGGCTAAATACCCGGACGGTGTCCTGGTGCACGTGGAGGAGGACTGAATCGGGGGATGTAATGCGACCCAAGCTACTGCTTGGATACCATATGTGAATGTTATCAGCCTTAGGAAAATGAATCAAAGCTGGTCTTAGGAAGCGAGTTACAACTGTAGGGACCGTTAAAATAGTTGGTATTAAGATCCTAGATCTCTTCATTGTACACGGTCAAGCGCAGGGTGTATATACGAGCTCTATTCGTAGATTGACGTGACAAACATCAACACCGTCATCAACCCAACTCGACGGCTCAAAGCTTCGATCTGCCCGCGAACCCAGCAACAAACCCTCCCCTCTGCATCTGCGGAGGCTGCGCAAGACAAGGCCCAATGGCCTTGGAAAAGGCCTTGAACTCTGGAGTCGATGCATGCGCCTTGAGGTTCTCCGTATCGGTGTATCTGAGCGAAGATAGTCAGAAAAACACGCAGTTACCCCGATCGAAATGTAAGGTACTGACTTTTCAACGATCACCAGCTCTTCAGTGTTGTACGGCTGGACGGCATAGTAGATCTGCGTCTTGGGTTCATTGGCCTCGACGTATTTGCTTAGGGTTTTGAACGCCTCAACGACCTGGACAGCGTTAGTGTTGAGTTGTTTGGATTGTTGGATTCCTTGAAAGGGAGAATTTCATACCTCGTTGAACTTCCCGGGCTTTGGCACCAGCTTCACGATATTGTAAAATTCTCCGGAACTCATTGTTGCGATGTGTTTCGAGAACGTGTAGACAGAGTGAATATATGACAGGATATGATTATGATCAATCAATGGTTATACACGGAATCGTGGAGCATGTGAGGAGAGGAATGGTTGATTTATATCTTGAAGAATCATAACGAGTCGGTCTCGGGTTATCGATCCAGGTGGAGAAGCGGAGATGCCGAGGATATGGAGTACAAAAAGGATCACCTTAAAGATCAAGATTACCTCATCATCATTCCCTGAAGAGTTGGATTTCAGATAAGTTCATCTATGTGTCCTTTTTTACTTATTGATAAGGCATTCTTACCTTTGTCTACCTGTACCTATAACCAGTTGTAACTATAGGGAGTAAACTGCCGAAGATCACAAGGGGCAATAGCAATATATAGTTATACACTTGCATAATTACTCATATAGGCAGTTCTCTCTTCCGACATACCAGAATTGAACATCAGATTTCATTTTGATATTCACAGACTGTCCTCTGTATCTTTGGAGTATTCCAACCTATAAGAAAATACTAGATCTATATCGCTGTTTAAGCTAGATGCCGGTCTAGAATCAGACGTCAAGCATACTAGCCTCTCTATTAGGGTTATATTCTTTTGGAGCGTCGGCGATGGGACTACCAGATCGATTTTATTCAGTCCGGCTGACCTTCTTTGCTTTGTAGCTTTTCTGTACACTGCACACCGCCTTTTCAGGATATCTCACCTGCCATCCATCCAAGGGTTCCTTTCTCTTATGACCAAGCCATTTTCAATAGGTCGTTTGACTACCATACAATGACTTTCAGGTAAGAACTACATTGATTTGGTTGCGATGCATTGCGCTGACACACGGATATAGCAAGCCTTCTCTCCCAATCGAAGTATCGGTCTCAAAGTTGGACCCGGATACATATCAGATGGGCTCAAAGATTCTGTGCAAGAAGGCCACGAGCGGGATTCCCAAGGCCGCAGTTGCTACCTGGAGCAATGGCGATAGCCACTACTATCTTGTTGAGGCTACCAGTGCCAATTCGCCGGGAAAGGCAGCTGATGGCCTTATTCATCAGGCTGGCTTTTCATCATGGAAAGAGAAAGCAATACTCTTGCTTTTGTTGCGACAACGTTCCGCACATTCCAATTCCTAAGGTAATTTATTCGTGGGTCGATGAGCAGCTCAGCAGGACTTTCCTGATCTTACGACGGGTCCAAGGGCAAACGCTAGCAAGTGCCTGGCCGTCTCTTAGTTTAGATCAGAGAGCGGATGTGGCTCTTAGTGTTGCACAATACTGTCGCGACCTTACCGAAGTAACCTCTGAGAAGCTACAGTCTGCAACAGGCTGTGGAGTTCTTGAACCTTTCCTGACGGTGGATTCAGAAGCGTCATACCCGTTGTGGAAACCTAAGCCGTTAGGCCCATTCTCTCGCATTGCTGCTCAGAAGTATTTCCAGAGGATATCTACTCTATCGCCACCCTCTATTGGCGAAAGGTTCCACTTCTATCATGCTGGTCTTAGTCCAACCAATATTATCCTCTCAGACGGCGGCACAGTTGAGGCAATTTTAGACTGGGAGTCAGCTGGATACTACCCGAAATTCTGGATATCTCTTAAGCCGTACCGCAGCAGTGGATTTAACCTGGATGCCCCAGATGATTCTCGATACGCTTGGACAAATCTTCTAGAGTCAAAACTCTCCGACCTAGGATTTACTCTCAGCCGCAAGGACATCGAGTGGCAAAAGACTTTGAATTTTACTTTCTTTGATTTGGACGGATTTCGTGAAGCTACTCTGTGATATTTCATTTAATCCGCGTTCTTCAGCTATTCAAAGAGAATGCCAATCATTGCCCACTTCCGAGTAACACATCCGATACCCATGGAGGCATATCTCCAGAGATGCGACATAGTGAGTTGTTTTACTTGAGTGAGCCTGTGCCATTCCGTGTTTTCGCATTAACACACGAAGACGCCCGTGCTGTTGTCTTGTTAAATCAAATATCTGGAGCGGGTTGGATGCTAGGAGGTAGAGTAGATGGAGGAATCCACGATATGAGAGATATAGATCTCCAGGGGGGAAGACCAGTAGACACGTGACGTCACGGCTGCGGTAGCTTAATAATTACCTGCGAGGCCGGGGTAGCTAACAAGATGTTGTGGTGTGGTGGAGATGATCGTCTTTCTTCCTTCACCGTCGCGAACATGAACTCCCAGTTCCAGCCTGCTGACGCAACATGAAGAAGACGCTTTTCCTTGTGTTTATCCATGGCTTCAAGGTATGCCGATCGCTCCCCGCAGAAAATCTCCGTCGAGCCCACCCACCCACATGCTCTAGACTGACGGCTCTGACACTCGTAGGGCGACGATGCAACCTTCGGTGCCTTTCCGGATCATCTGCGCACTCTGATCCGCCGTTCTCTCCCCGCCGTCAAGGTCATCACTGCTGTATATCCCAAGTACGAGACGCGAGGCGACTTGACTGAATGCGTGAGCCGGTTCCGCGAATGGTTTGTGTCTACCCCGATGTATAACTATACCTATCTTTATGTCTCTAGCCTGACCTTCCCTCCGCAGGCTACAAAATCAAGTTATCGATTTAGAGGTCGCCAACCAAACTGCCTCGCCGACCGTTGACCCCTCCGTCCATGTCTTCCTGATCGGTCACTCGATGGGCGGGATTGTCGCCGCAGAAACGCTATTGTTGCTTGCGTCCGAGCAGCCCATCCCCCCGAAACAGTCCGGCAACAGAAACACGGAACGCGAACAGGGGCCGGCGGGGCATGGCCAGCCGCATGTCGTGGAACCTGGAACGTTCATGTTCCCACACATCCAAGGCGTCCTCGCGTTCGACACGCCATATCTCGGCATAGCACCAGGGGTAGTCTCGTACGGCGCCGAGGGCCATTACAGAAACGTCACCACCGCGTACTCTGCATTGTCGGAAGTTGCTGGGCTGTTCGGTCTGGGAGGAAACGACAACACGTCGACCAAGACGACGGTTGCCAGCAATGAGAGAACCACGCCGGAGACACGGTCATCGCAGTCAACAAGCGGGTCGGCAACCACGGCGGATGCAGCCGCAACGCCCTCTTGGCAACGATGGGGCCGGTACGCCATGTTTGCCGGCGCAGCAGGGGCCGTGGCTGCCGGCGGCGCGGCCGCAATGTATTCGCAGCGTCAGCGACTGACAGATGGCTGGGGCTGGGTGTCGTCCCATCTCTCCTTTGTCGGCTGTCTGGCTCGTCCGGCGGATCTGCGGCAACGGCTCAGTCTCCTGTCCGACGTGCACCGAGACCGAGGCATCGCTTGCACCAACTTCTTCACCTGTCTGGGCAAAGGCGCCACATCGCTGGTCGAGACCACCAACCAAGGCAGCACCTCATTCAGTCAGAAGATCATTCGCTCCAAATACCGCACATTCTGCACGCTCCCCCCGGAGCTGGAGGGTCCCAATCCTCAGCCCACCGCGGAAGCTGGACTCCGGTGGGTCAGGGCCGTCAACGATAAGGCAAAGGACGAAATTAAGGCGCATATCAGCATGTTCCTGCCGAAAGAAAATCCTGCGTTTTATGACCTCGTCGGTGAAGCGGGCAAGGTCCTGGTCAGATCCATTGACAGGGGCTGGTATAACACGGCGACTGGGCCAATCGATGAAGTCGACGAGCAATTGCCGCGGACCGAGCCCGGCAGACCGGAGACGGAGATTCATAGTGGGCTCATGGATGGAGACGACGTGGTGGTTGTGGACTGATACAATCCAAAATCATTTAGTTCGCGGGCGTCGGATATGACTGTTTCGAAATACGCCGATGCCGTGGATACCACGTTTAGCGCTCCTTGCATCGGGACTGCTTGATTGATTGACTGGCAGCGGTTGACCGGTTATCATTGCGCCATTTAGACTTGGCCTAACTCGCGCCGTCGGTGTGCTATGCATGACAATAGCGCCTGTCGATCGTTCCTCGCATTCCGAGGTTACATTACCCCGTCTGGCCAACAAGCAGACGGACGGCATGGCCTTCTTTGCGGCTTTGATGGGTCAACATGGGTCCGACCACCTCGAGCCGAAGGAGGTGTGGAGATCCCTTCCGACGATATCGTTCTCTGGTGGTTGAACATGTACGCATCGCATTGCTGCACGCTCCAGGAAGGGAAGCAGTAGCCGGACATGGAGGTTTTCCACATTGGTTTTATCGGAGATTCTAGACGCAGTCTACTCCACCGGAGTGGACAGGGGCGGAAACATTTTCCTTCGCGAGTTAGCAGCCACGGCGGAATCCTTATTGTCCGAGCGTCCGTGCGGTCTGGACGGAATACGGAGTAGGTGTCACGCATAGCGGAATCCGACCGAGGAACCAATATGATTATCTATTATTATTATACGAAATGGGTCTTTGCTTTGATCTCCCAGAGTTAAGGAAAGTTAGTGTCAACCTGCCCTTTCCGGACGACTCGACATATCTCCCTCCTTGGATGCTCGTGTCACTTACTTACTCCGTATGTCGGGGACGACAGACTATGAACTACGGAGCACAAAGTGGCTGGGGAAAGCTTAATTGGAATGCCGGAAAAGTTTCCCGCATAGGATGGACGACTTTCAGGGATAAATATTTACACCAAGACACAACTCAAAAATGCACGCATCAATGCTAATGTCGGATGATAAAGCAAATTGTACAAATCGCTGTAGGACCAGATGCATCACAGGGACAGCAACGCAAACAAGAAACGTAAACCACAAACTCAAAAACTCCCAAAGTCAGATAATGTCGTACATGTATAGTAAATCCACACAGGAGCGTCTAACATCGACGAATGTCAGGAAATAGCTCGTTGGGCATCAAGGACATACGGAGCGTCCAGGCGAAAAGGAGGGGAAGAAAGTGTTGGGAGACCATAGTCGCAGGGAGTACAGACCGACTATGGCCGAGAACATGCATATTAATAATTGTGGCCGTTATATGTCGATGGTCGGTGGTGATACATGCTCCCGGCATATTCCGAGTTCGTATCCTGATAGACTGTTGCGCGACGGTCCTCCTCTGGGAGAAGCTCTTTCACTTCCCAGGTGTTGGGTTTGATACCCACTGAGAACTCGAGATCTTCCTTGGTGATATAATCCCAGAACTAAAGTTGACGAGGGCATTAGCAATCATATTTTAGGGGACAGATTCCTTCGAGGGATGTAGCGAACCTTGTAGACCATCATAACAGCCAAGAGATTGCAAACAGTCGCAAAGAACAGACCGTCCAAGTAATGTTGGACGTTGTCGCAAATGGTGTCACTGAAGCCGTATAGAAGGACTTGTCCGCAAATGAAAACGAGCAAGCCGAACGCAATATGACCCAGAGGCCACCGGTCCTCGAGGGTGTTCATAACGAGTAAGAGCTGCATGACCAGATACACCGCTATGCAGATCGCGTTGAGGATGTACAGGACCACGAACATGCCCACGGTATTGGTTGGACTGAGGCCGCCCCATGACTTGAACGTCAGGAGGGAGATCAGGAAAGAGACCGCAAACATGACGGTGGAAGTGATTCGAAGCAGCCAGACCGACAGAGCTGTTCCATCTTCGTAAAGCTGGAACCCCACGAAGCCATTGACGAGGAGAGAGGTACACAACGCGGAAGCCAATCCATTCTGCACGGCGACAAAGTAGGGAAACGGGTCACTTCTCGGGGGAACGACGCCAGCATCAATGACCAAGGAACACATGGTGAGAAGCATATAGATATAAAAGAAGGTGATCACCTCTTTGCGGCCTGTTATGATGGTATATCCTCGGTCAGTGATAAGGATCAGTGTATACGTCAAGAAGAAGACGTACCGACAGCAGTGAACTTGGATCTGATATGGAGAATCATAATAACCGTCATTCCCAGGGCCATGATGTGTACAAATGAGGCAGCGCCTTCAAAGATGATCGTGTTGGCGAGTTCGATGTTTCGCGCATAACAATTCGGGATGATACCGGTTGACCCTGAGATGGAGGAGGCCGGGCCAACGAGGGAACAGAGAGGCAGCGCTGCCTTTCGGCATATCGAGTCAAAGTCACCGAATCCCATGCTTCCGGTTGTCGATAACGAGTGTACGGATGCCCGTCTGATGAGTGAGCGGTGGGATAGATGAGATGGAGTTGAGCGGATCCAAGGCCGTCTCCACAACGACGGATGGAGAACTGGGTTTCCTGAGCCAAACAGAACCCCCTCCCGTTCCTGTCACGGAGAAAAAGCCCGCAGGAAGTGCAGTGGTCTGTAGATGTACCGATGGGCGAGACCAAACGGCGGTAACAGAGGTCAGTGCCTCGTGGAAGTCGATATCGCAGGCGCAATCACCGTCTGACGAGGGGTTTTGCGCTCTGTTTTTTGGTCTGATGCGAGATCGAGGATCACGGGATGCGCTAGGTCCGATTGGGGCTGGTACCATCTAGCCTTTTTGGGGCTAGTGGGGGTGCCCCGGACGTAAACGAAGCGCTAAGCCTGATGTGGTATGCTGTTTATCTCGACACTGATTACGGGACACTTAGACCTTTCCGATCCTTCAGGAGGAAAAATTGGCTGGCGGCTGTCAAAAATTCCGGTATACCTAGAGACACGAGCTAACACAACAGTTTTGTCAAGCTAGCCCAAAGAAGGCAATCAAGATGTCCCTGGTTTATTGGTCGGCTCCAGCCGCGCTCCAGCTGGTTCTCGACCCCCTCTTGTCGGGAAGGATTCTTGAAGACGAATCTTCAAAATTCAACATAGGGACAGTGGTGGGTGGAGTGGTCAACCCACTGAGACCGTCGGACCCTGGTAGTGGAGTACCTGACGAAACCCTGCATGTAGGTATATCAAGCATTGTATATGTTAGTTGGAGAACACAAAGTACTGTATACTCCGGTATAGATCCTATGTATGTCATAACGCTCACAGACCCTTATCAGTACAAAACTCCAATTTCCACTGCGTTAAAGATTTCCCCGCCACATAATAATATATATATCCCGGTGAACTCCATGTCGTCAACAATGACGATCTTATCAACATCCTGGAGGATGTGTAAATGACAGCTAACTCATGATTGCACCACCTACGGCAAGGATCGCGGGGTCATCAATATACGGAGTACACGATTAGTTTCGTCGACCAGTGACTTCTGAGGATGGCTTAGCTATTGCACAACCACCCTATCAATGAAGACTAATTTGTCGATGGCCTAAAACAGCCCTAGTGGACACGTCTCGCCATGGGATTTGATTGATTTAAGTTTGAACGGAAAGAAAAAGAGAAAAAAAAAATATCTTCATCGAGCTCTTGGCACCCTAATTGTTTCCCCTAGTCGAATTGTACCTGTAGCTTACGTATGCGATATCAATTGGAAACGGGATAACAGTCTTCTCCGGTTTTTTCTCTGGTGGATACCTTATTGTCTGGGTTTTAAATCCACTTTTTGGTGGAAGCAAGCAAGACAATGTCATTGCATGCCAGCGGATACGGGAAATGTTCCAGAAGACCGAAACAGAGTTCCATAGTTCAGCAGTCGGAGCCCGATGGTGGATCCGAAAGTTGAATGCTCAGGAACGGAGAAAACTACCGCACTCCGGACGATTCCTGAAAACCCTAAACCCGAGGCCAAATTCACTGGGTCGTCTTCTCTGGCTTCGAGGTCGGTAGGCGATGTGGTTAGCTTTGGGCTAAGAAAATTAAACCCAGGGATCTTCCATTATTGCAGCTCTGGCCCCTTGATAATTAAAATGACCGTTGGTTCCAACATCCTCCCATCGCCTCTCCCACCGTTGTCTCCATCCTGGTTCAGACTGAGGGAGGAGACAACCCAATCATCCGACGTAACGCCCTTTAATTACGTCTGCGGTCTGCTCCCCTGTGGGTTCATCGCCGACTAAACGAGAGTCGGAGCGTCAAAGGATTGTGACATGGGAGGAGGCAGAGGAGGTGGCTTGAACACACCACCACCCCCGTCACCCCCCAGGGCTGTCCAATGGTAGGCGCTGCGTCTGTAACCCGCCGAGACTAGCAAACTTACGACTTCCCCCATATCTGATCTTGACTCTGAATGCCTCCGTCCTTTGTCTAATCTGCCCCGGCCGATTCAGATGGTGTGAGTCTAGTTAACCAATGGGCTCTACCTCTACCCGGCCTGGTTCCGAGGCTGTTGTCTCTGTCGCTGTGTATTCCGTATTCCGTACATCCTCCACGACCACCTCCATCACCCACCGTTGCTGGGTACCTATACTGAATTATCTTCGAGTACATCTCCTGACGGGGACAATATAATTTCGTTTCCGCTGTGATATCAGCATACCTCCATGCATGAAGATCCTGGCTAGCGCCACGTGCAAGTCTACCATCAACGGCTGCGAGGGACCGTGTCGATCTCCCATTGACCCGATCTGTTTCAAGATACCCCAACTGGGGCTGTTCAGGATAGTGGGACGCTGCTCCTGCAAACTTAGCAACCGCGGCATTAATCGTTTAGGCTGTTGCACTTCCGACGCTGCTCCATGACGCCGGACCCGCATTTCGACCGGTACAAGGGGGGCCTTCTTTTCTTTTTATGTTCTTTTTTTAATTTTTAATTTTTATTGTAATTCTTCCCCCCTTCTCCCAGGGTGGGCGCGCATTTCTTGCTACCAGGGTGGGAGGATACCGAATGGCTACGGTTCGTGGAGCGATGTCCTCCATTTTTCTCATTATGATTTTTATTTTTATTTTTTCACATTTAATACCACTTGTTATTTGTTTCTTCTGATTTTTTTTGTTTTCCCTTTAATTTATTCTTCTCATTTTCCTCCCATTAATTACATTGCAATCCCCTGTCTAACCCAGGTGCATTAATCGGCTTGTGATTATCACCTACCTACCATGGTGAATGCAAACACGTTTCTGTAACGGGCCGGCATGGGGAGCATAAAGTATATTATCCTCCTTCAGATTTAACTTGTCTGGTGTTGCCATTTATTGACATCACGCTTCTTTATCTCTCTCTCTCTCTCCCTCTCTCTTTCTCTCTGTCGCGAATTCGAAAGAACCCTCTATCCCATACATCTACCGAATACCTTCTACCTCGCATACACGCCTGGGCCTTCTATCTCCCAGAGATCATTTAGAAGATCAATCCCAATATCTTTGCCGTCCTGATCTCCGAAGCCGACATCAGCGTTCATGCGGCAAACCATGTGCAACTATTTCAAAAATTACTATATCTACAGCACCTGCCGGCAGCCCAGTGTCCACATCATCCGCACGTCGATAGACAACGGAGACGGGGCCAAAACCAATCGATGCGCCGAAAGTCCCCATGATCGGTTTATCGTGGTGGTAGGGACATGTCGTCTCTGTTGTTGAGGGCATGTCCCGGACATCTACCTCGGACTGGAAAACCTTCTTGCGGCCTGGACCGACAGTCGACTCCGGTCTGGGCATACCATCTTAAAGACGACAATCGTTACGAACTCGAAACGACCATCTGTTCTATTCCCGCGGGCCTTCTTGGATTGATCCATATGTTATATACACCTTGATGTTTGGAAGCCTGGGAGTTCTATTCCCTTCTTGAGTGTCTTATTATTGTCCTCACCTGTTAGCCCTGTCATTTATTATACTCCTGTACACGTTGGTTGTGTTGCGCATCATTCGATTATTTTTTTTCACTGGTCTATGGAAATTGAAAATAGAAACAGACCGGAAACTCTGGATTTTTGGATATCATGTACGCATGGCGTGGAATGGAGCCACCAGAAGAGCGGATTCCCCTAGACCAATTCCACCAACAGATGTCTGTTCTACGGAGTACATTGGATCTCCGAAACAAACAGATATGAGGGGAGAGCCCTACCGTCGCCGCCCCTCATCAACGCATCTGTTGCCTGTGCCCAAGGCTCTAGACTCGCGCATCGCACCACCACCTGGCTCTGCGCTATTGCCAGCAACATCATCATCACATGCCAATTGTGTCGACGTTCTGTCTGCGGACAACTCGCACGGAATGACTGGCAATGAAGCGCGTACGTCTGGAACCGGCAAATAACCGGGGTGGACCTCAAGGCCAGAAAGGCTACACAGAACGCCATGGCCCCTTTGGCGCGTTCGCTGGTAATTATGCTAAAGACCGTGGGTCACATCCTCCGAGAGGGCGTGCTATCGAACGTGAGCTCGATCCGCTTGACATTATCATGACCTCGAGGACCGTTGCCTGCCAAGCGGATATTGTCCTGCATCTACGGGGGCCCAGATGACGTCTGTGCTCCTACACCGCCGGCCGAAAAAGTGGCAGGGAACGATGATGCATCGTCGTGGTGGTGGTGGAGATGATTGGATCCGCGCCGAGTGCTTTTCCCTCCTCGCAGGTTGCATGGGGGCCGCACGGATATTATGTATTGACAAGCTTGAGGTCTGAGCAAGGGTTATCTGATCGGACCTCTTCTTTTTTTCATTCTTGGCCTTTTTAACCCCCTCTGGACGTACCGGAGAGCATTGAGATGCCAGTTATCCTGCATTCTTTGGATCACAAGCCTGTCGTCGGTGGTTTATTTGCTCATCTATCTTTTACAATGACTCATGCGATGGTCAAAGTCGCGTTCTGTCTGGGGCGACAGCAGATGCCGCGACAAGCCGTGGTTACACACCTCCGCTGGGGGATGCAGAAGCTGGAGATTCGACTGGACACTAGACAGGGATCTCGCACACGGGGAACACAGCGAACAAGGCCTAGGAAGTACCTACCTTACTAGCTAGTCCCTAATACTAATAGCTCACTCACTCACTCATACCTAGGTACACGGAGGAATCCACTTGCTTTAGGTGGAGATCCGTTTGGGATCGGATGACGGGCCACTCATTCCCCCGTGACAGACGAAAATAAATGAATAATCCATCCTCGTCTCCTTCCATCCCCTGCCGCTTGCCGTCAACACAAATCAATTACCGTCGGCTTTTGATGGCTTCTCCTCTGGCTCAGCCCACCTTCGGCCCGAATCTGCATTGCTGCAGCCTTGAGGTTGTCGAACTCGGTGGTCCACTCCACTACTATCTTAGCACCCTCGCTAGTATCGTTGACGTCCAGGCCACACCACAGAACGGGTCGTTCCATCCCAGAGAGCCGCGGTTTGCAGCTCACGATCCTAGAATAATTTGGCGTCCCCACCATTCGTCTCCGTCCTAATTGACCGATGGGTGGAGAACGGAGGAAATTGACGACCAGGGCCTCGACACGCGGCGTATCGCGGTCACTTTTCCCATAGGTTCTTGAAATCTGGATGCGACGAGAGCCGACGGTTTAGTCGTCGATCTTCGATCCCTGCATGGCTAGGCCATTTGATCATGGTTGATGAGCACTGCGAGCCCAATCATCCGGCTATTCAAACCCTTGGCCTTCAGGATCGATTTCCCCCTCCTTCTCCCCGTTGGTCTCGGCAGTATCGCCGGTGGGAGGTCGATCACGGGATAAACGATACTTCACGACTGGTCGTCTCTCGTTTGGGCCTCAATGGCACCAATTGGAGTGGGTGCCGCGGTGGGTGCCACTGACTCAGTAACAGACCGAGTTGACTCCGGAGTATGTATACTTATACGCTAGGATTATTACCAGATGGAGCAGCTCTCAGAACGATCACTCCGCCCCTGTCGCATGGCGTGACGCTGCCGATCCCCCCAGCGACTGTCTCTATGACACCATTGTGACTTCATGCGAAACGGTCATTAGATTGCCGGCTTCGCCAACAGAAGGATCCCGGGCTTGTCTTTCACCCCCCGGCTCATTCGTCTGTTATCTCGCAGCAAACCCTTGCCAACCAGGCTGATTAAACCTGCACGGTTAAACCCGCTCCGACTTCTGCCTTTTACCCTGGCGACTAGCCCCCGAATTATCCGTCGGGTAGAACCTGTACCGTACCCAGGACCAGGGACCAAGATGCATGCGCTGTAGTTTATTTTTCGCGCAGACGCCGCTCTGCTAGGCTAGTCATGTGCAGTCTAGACTCCGCAGGGGTGACATTCATCTAGATTGTGTGCAATCTATTTCGGTGGTTCATTTCTCGGCTGCTCAGCGCCAGATTGGATGAACGTGTCATTTCTGCGCCAGGAGTACCTTACAAGTCGAGACATCCATGCTTTACCCCTGGATTGGCGCCGTTATTGGCCACGGCATGTCTTTTTTGACATTATACACTCCCTAATTGGTCGTCTCCTGGTACAATCAAAATCCCTGGTGTAATCTGGACCAGGTGTCAAAGGCACAACCACGCTGATCTCGAGCAAATCGGTGCTCACGGGTGTGACATAGAGCCTCGTATGACGTCCCAGCCGGCGTCATCGCCGAAGATCTCTGCAACATGCCCCCCGTCAATATCCTACCCTCAGATCATCGACCACTCATACGAAGCCGACTTGGTGCACGGATCAGCATGACAGCCTGCCAAACACCTGTCTGCGCCATACCGTACCTAGCTCGCATCCTAGCCCGTACTAAGTACGAACTAGGGGCGCGATCCAGGATGGCACCTAGTCCCTAGGTAACCTAACTACATAGTACCGGATTAGGGCCGGGAACCACTACCCGGGGTGGCAGGGGAGGGGGGAAAGCTCGCCCGGCTGTCCCACATGCTAATCTCCGTTGCCCGTCATGCTTGCTAGGGTTGGAACCACGGCTCCGCGGGAGACTTATGTATGTGCCGGTGTGATGGCCGTGCTTATTGGGTTCTCGGGGGGTTGTGTTTGATGAGTTCGTCTGGAGCTATCGCTATTCTCCATCTTATGTCTCAGGGATCAAGGTCCAAACTCGGCGCCGGCCTTCTATCCGACCGTTGGATACAAGGTCAATTCGCAAAGAGCGTTTCGGAGGAATTGACAAAACGAACTGTGTGAAACCGAGCTACGCGGAGCTAACCCCTCTAGCTGGTAGCTCCGGCCCCGGAGAGCCTCTTTCACAAGCTTCCGCAACAGTCCCCAGGAACATCCGACACTCCGTAATTGTCACATAATACAGGCAGGACACTAGCATGACGAATCCTGACTATCGCGATGGTGAGAACCTTGTTGCTGAAGGATCGCTCGAACGGGCCACGACCGGGTCCGATGCCGGGCTTGTCTTCCAACCAGGACAGATCTGGAACACGTCAGATCGGGTCTACGGACGGAGCGATCCCGCGGGTCGATGCCAGATCGGGAAGTTCTGGCCCGGATTGATGCCGTGATCGATTTGTACGGAGTATACGGAGTACTGTAGTTTCATCATGGTGGTAAGATGTCGGCATTCCGGAATGGATGTGCCCTTTCCTAATGGAGCAGTCAATCGGGGAGATTGTTACAGAGAGTATACACGTGCTGATAGTGGTAGGCCACGGTCCACCAGACCTGTAGGCAGTATATGACTATTATCGTATGGGAAAGTATGTATATGGACGGTGACTGCATCAACTGCATGCAGTATGACTGGCTCTATCGGTGATACTGTGAGTGGTATAATGGCTCTATCCATAACATAGACTAGTATCACGGGCTACCATTACCTATACTAAATGTCAATCCCGTCTCAATGCTTCAATCGCCAAAGGTCGTCAATAAACCTCCCACAGTAGTCCAAATAAAGTACCTAGGTACCTTTGATGGCATCCACGTGCCGGGCACTGAATCGCCATCTCATTCGTCATTAAACCCGCAGTACCTGAACAAAGCAACCTACCTCCTACCTCACTGCTTTGTCTTCGGCTCCCGCACCATGCAATACAGCTAAACAAGGTCAGCATCGTCGCCATATAATCAACAGAACCAGAGTACGCACCATACACACGTCCTCTCCATCCCTGCACTCCATCTCGCGCCTCATCGCATACCCCATCTTCTCATAGATCTGCACGTTAGGCACATTCCTCGAGCTCTCCAGATAGCACTTGACGCCCTCGGCATCCGCCCGGTCCGACACAATCTCAAACAGCTTCCGCCCGATCCCGCGTCCCTGCGCATCAGGGCTGACCGCCACGATATTGCAGAAATAGTACCCGCGCGGATCATCCCAGATCGCGCCCTGCGCCTCCTGCTGACGCTCCTTCCAGATCCAATAGCGCCGCGCGTTGAGCCCGCCCCGGCCCCAGTGGCGGAGGTTATTCAGGCCCTGCCGGAACCACAGCGCCCAGCCCTGCGCCCAGCTGTACCAGCTCTCTGGCGCGCCGGCCGGATGCGGCGGCAGCCAGCATGACACGCCGAGTACCCGCGACGAAGTGCTGCTGCCTCCTGTGGAGGGGGGCGTCTCTTTGGCGACGTAGAATAGGGCGTTGTTGATGCCCCAGAGACAGCGCGCGGCTAGAGAGTCATGGTTTCGTTGTTTGTTGAACTGAGCGCTTTCCCCCGAACGCTAATCGGACGGCCCGATTGCGTCAGAATTGCGGACACATGTTAGCTTTCTTGTTTCTTACAAGATGGTAGGTTGCCGGTAGGGCTGACCACTTGGTTTGGTCTACGCGACGGTAAACTCACCTTGGAAGAGTCAAACACCCACTTGAAATACGGGTCGTCGGCAAAGGCTTGCTGGATGACCTCGATCGCGCCGGGGATATCAGCTTCTGTCAGAGGGACGACCTCGATCGCCATGACGATTGAATGAAAGTAGCTGGAGCTGGAGCTGGAGCTGGAGCTGATGTGGAATTTGAAGACAGACGTTACCACGACGAGCTGGTCTTTTTGAGAGCGGTGAGAGGCCGGTGTTTGATTTTGTGACTCTGAGGCCCTTCGATATGGTCAGGAAAGTGCGACGATTCAGTGCAGCGCAGACCGATTTTCTCATTCTCGTCGATATGATGGAGCCGAGCGGAGAAGTCACCTGCCGCGATTGGCCCTCTTAGGAAGGTCGATGCGGTCGCTATCATGCACGATAATTTGTGCCTGGCATGAAAGGCACCTAGGTACAGTGACTATTGTTGCATCCAGGACAGTATTATATGCAGTTCTATCTCTATCTCTATACATGCCACGCTATAACTTCTCCTTCGCCTGTAGTCGCAGCATACCGTCCTGGTAGCTGGTAGCCACCATCTTCCCATCCGGACTCCACAGCCAGCTCTCATGAATGACGCGGTTCTCCCCGGACCGCGGTGTCCAAGCTTCTTGAATAAACCACCGCTTCGCCGGTTCCCCCTCGCTCTGAGCGGCCGTCTTGTCCCAATCCACCATCCGTAGCGCATCGCCATGCTCATGGAAAACCACTGTAATGGACAAGCTCGCCATCGCAGCCCACCTCGTATGTCCCAGCGCGCGCGGAATCAGCAGCAGCGAGTTCTTATCGCTGGAATACATATGCGCGCACGCATACAGGTTGTCGTACTCGCCTGACTGGTCTCGGCGCCTCAGCTCGTCCCCACGCACGGACGGATCGCTGTCCGGCGACCCCTTGAGCGAGTACTGCGTCAGCTGCCGGTACTTGGTCGGGTTCTGTTTCATGTCCGCAGACAGATTGAACCCCTTCATGTCGACTTTCCGCACATCCAGCCCCGGGAACTCGCGCTCCGTAAAGTTCCCCTGCTGCACGGCGTCGATCCACCAGTCCACGTCCACGCTCGGGCTGCGCGGCTGGTCTTCCGGACGCGTCCCCGCGAGAACCGACTTGTAGCGTTCCTGCACCGGCGCCGGCTGGTGTCCGAACGACTGCTGCTGTTCGTCGCGCTTGAACGAACACAGCGCCGAAAAGCAGATCCGCCCGGCTTGCCGCACGTCGACGGCCCGCGTGCAGTATGCATTGCCGTCCCGCAGATGACGCACGGTGTAGATGTACGGCACGTCTAATCGTCCCGGCAGGATGAACGTGCCCGTCATGCCCTGTTGTCTGACTGTCAGTGTGCGCGCTTGACTCCACGGGGACGGAGACGTACATGAATGACGAATCCTTTGGGCACCGTCTTCGAGGCTGCATATGCCGTCTGAGCGTAGACATGCCCCCCGAACGCCCTCTCACCCTCCCCCGGCGGGAAAGGCTTCGCGAGAGACCTAAACCGCTCAATCTTCTCCGGCTCGTGTGGATTGGTAGAGTTGCTGGGACTGTCGAGTTGTTTGAGACTCATCAAGTCCGCAAACGAGAGCGCAGGGCGTAGCACCTCCCCATCGGCGCCGGGTTCTTTGTGTTTAGAAGACATGATGCGTTGTGACACTCTTGGCGCAGTGGTCTCCGTAGCGGCCTGGGGTGATTAGGGACTTCCGAGGGTAAGACCGCGTATGGTCGGATCTATTTCAAGGTTCTATGTCAGCCAGGAAAGGCTGAAGGAGTCGCAAGGCAGTAATGCCGTGATATATAAGTCTCATGCGAGATTCAGCGCGCGCTGGGGAATAAATAAGCGCAGGGGCATTCGTCCCCAGAACCTCGGCTGAACGAAAGGTGGAGTCCGTCCCCGTGGCCATGGGTTCCCCAGACATTCTCATAGTGTCATTTGAAAGTACCACAGGTCATCTACATAGAACATAGAGTGGCTTCCTGGTCGTAAGTTCGTGTCACAGAGCAATAACTCGGACAACCGTGTAATCTCAAAGCACGACTCCATATCCAAGGGAAGAAGCGAATCGGTCACGTGAATAGAGAACAAAGTGACAAATTGAACAGTATATTTCAAAGGCAACAAAAGGAGTATATATGCGCCTGCGATGCTGGTATGATAGTACAATGTCATCTCCGTCCCAGAATAACCACGATAATAATGATACACGAAACCCAGAACCCAGAAAGCACCCGACAACCCTCACTATCTCATTTGGCTTGCAACAACCAACGAAATTTCGTTAAATCGAATCGGAAATGCTGCGAGTGTTGTTCCACTCGACCTTTCCGTCCACATCCTTGATCTCCTCAAGCTTGTCGCCGAGCTTCACCACCGAGAACCGAATCATCCGAGGATCGAGGCCGAGGGTTCTCCGAACAGCGGTCTGCACAGCGCCGGACGCGTCGAAGCGCATGATAAAATGTTGACCTTCTGTGTATCTGGCCTGGTGTTTCGTCGTCGGCTTGGGCAGACGGAAGGTGCCCCAATTCGTATAACCGCGGACTACGCCGCCGGACCGGAGGACCTGAATGCCGGCATTACGGGCGATTCTGCGACAGTGTTAGACCATGCCTGGCGTGGGTTTTCTGACGGCAGATTGAAGCTGGTATGTCCTCGTCGTGACGTGTGTGGGTGGAACGATGCGGAAGGAGGGACAACATACTCTCGGACCTCATGGAGGCTGCCGGGACGGACCTATGGAGGCAAATAATTAGCAACAAACCCCAGGAGAAATGCATCGAACAAGGCAAGAAACAACATACGATGGCAATCAGCTCATACAACATCGCGCATCAACGGGTGTGTGGGGTTTGAGGGCGTCGGAGAAGAGGGTGACGGGATGAAGCGATGAGATTTTCCCGACGCAAGTTGAGGCTGCGGCCGACGGAGAGCCCCAGGCGCGCTTATCAGGCTTGGCACCCGCTATCAGCTCGGCAAGTCAATGGATCTCTCCGCGGACTGCGTCCTACTTCTTCCTCTCCTCCTCCATCTCTCTTCTCTTCCTCACTTGCTTCCCCGTTCCAATTCCCTTCCTCGTCTCTCTCCACTTCCAGTCATCATGTCCGCTGTCGCCCGGTCCGTCCGCCCCTTCGCCTCGCGCGTTCTCTCCCAGAAGCTCCCTATCGCCGCCGCGCGCAGGGTTTCGCCCGTGATGGGTTTCCCGCGGGGAACCATCAGGAGCTTCTCGCAGAGCCCATTCTGTACGGATGCCCTCATTTTTGTGTGCAGAGAGCCATTGGCCCTCTGGATTGTATAGAGAAAATACTAATTATCTACTTCCACGCTGCAGGGCAGGTTAAGAAGTACACCGAGTCTCACGAATGGATCGAGCTGGCCGAGAATGGCAAGACCGGTTAGTTCTCTGCCCCAGACACACCCCAACTGCTCCTGGAAAGGGAACCTCCATGTTGACGACGGATTCTACAGCCAAGATCGGTATCACCGAGTACGCCGCCCACTCGCTCGGTGACGTCGTGTACGTCGAGCTCCCCGCCGAGGACCTCGAGGTCGGTCCTGGTGAGCCCGTCGGCGCCGTGGAATCGGTCAAGTCCGCCTCGGACGTCCTGTCCCCCGTCTCTGGAAAGGTCGTCAAGGGCAACGCTGTCCTCGAGGACAACGCCAAGTTCATCAACCAGAGCCCCGAGGGCGACGCCTGGATCGCCGAGATCGAGGTCAGCGATTCTGCTGAGCTGGACGGCCTGATGGATGCCGAGGCCTACAAGGCCACCATTGACGAGGAGTAAATAGGAATGAAACGAGTTGGATGTTTTAGTTGTCAAAATTAAAGCGCTCGGGCCTGTCTTGGACCTACTACTTGGACTGTCTGATTTATGTTCCTGCTATGACGTGTTGCAATGCTAGACTTGCGTGAAGCCCTCGGTGGCTCGGCCTTTTATTCAACAGGAAGGACTGGTTGCAAATAATATATACTACTACTTTTGCAGATTATCTGCCGATTACTCTGGAGATGACGTATGAGCCGGGGAGTCTATCTACTCGGCAGTGTACAAGGAAACTCGAATCGTCTATCGTTCACATATACCGTACATCAAAGGTCATCATAACACACTACATCTATACAGGCGGGATGGACTCTCGACAGATAGGACACTGAAGTCTCAGTCGCATCCAGCTCTCCAGACAAGTGCTGTGAAAAATGTGTCGACAGGGAGTCACCATGTACATGCGCCGACTGAGAATGCTGGAAGCTCCATCGGCCACACTGCTACCTCCCGCAGCACCAGGCGCAGAGAGAACAGGTACCTCGATTTCCTGCATGCAGATCGCACAGTCAAACACCGCTTTCTTTCTCTGGTTCGGCCGTGACTTGTCTTCATCCTTTCCGTCAGTGGAAGCATCCCTCTCATCCGCCCTGAGGGCGCCGATCGGGAGCACGCCCCCGGACTCAAGATCCTCCCCGGACCCGGTGGTATCTCTCACGATCGGATGATAGTCGTAAGCGGGAGGCGCCCAACCACGAGGGATAAAGAACCGCGGACCCAAAATGTCCTGGCTTGCCAATACCCAAACCTGGATCCAAACCCAACCCGCGAACGCGAGAGCTGTCGTCATGTCCGGCCGGATGAACAACACGTTTCCGGGTACCGTCAGAAAGTAAATGAATGGGAACAAACGGAGGAAACTTTGCCCAACCACAAAGTCCCAACGAAGGGCCTTTCGACAATTTCGCATGACGTTCCGGTAAATCTGGGGCGTCCAGAACGACAAGTAAATAAACCCAAGGGTCCGGGCGTAGATTGCCCCCATCCGATTCGGCCACAGGAAGGACCAGATGGAGACAATAAGCATCACAAACAGGATAAAGTAGAATCGTGCATACATCGCCCCAACATCATTTCTGGTTTCCCCGGCCGTCGGCGTTGTGTTGCGAGGTGGTGTCGGCTCCATCTCCTCAGCAGGAGGGTCTTGATCAGGTGTCAATATGATTGGCGTGGCACCAGTGTCCCGCAATCGTGCTGCAGTAGCGGGTAAAGGAAGGGTCTCAGGGCGCGCTGTCGCAGGATTTGTCCGACGATCTTGTTCCCTTCGCTCAGGGGCTTGAACTGCCCAGATTTCCATCATGAACTTCATACCGATATAGCTGACGGAGAGGAACGTAAGGAATGACGCAGTGGCCATTATTAAGAAGGAAACAGCCGGGTAGAGTTCCAACAGAAGGAAGACCAGAACAAAAGCATCCCCAAAGGCCATGAGTGCAATTGTGTAGAAACTGATCCGGCTTCTGGTGGACGGCGTACAAGCTTCCTTGATCTGACGCAGAAGGAGCGCAATCTGTGCCACGAAGACCCCACAAACCAAGAATATTACGCGGGCAGAAAACTTGCCAAATTCCTCTAGTTTTGGGCCGACCAGGTGCAGACCTTCACTAGGCGGGTAGTCCGGCGTCCCCTTGGACTCGAGGATATATCCGCAGTCTGGAGAGAAAACGGTGGCCGACATAACCATAAGAGGCGGAGCAGGGATCGGGGCACCAATCGGATAACGGAGCTCTTGTTCGATCTGATCGATAACCTGCCTATCTGCGAGATAGTCATTTACTGCAACCGGGTGCTGCTGCAAGTAGACGATGTGTTCGCATTTTGGCGCAGGGAACTCCACCTGCTCCGTCCCGACCAGCGAGGACCAAGGAAACAGTGTGGGAGGCCGATTGCGTTTCTCAGACACGGTGTCTGAAAGGGATTTCACAAGAAGTTGATGCGCAAGATCGTGCGAGTCCCGGGTAAGCGTCAAATGTGGCAGCGAAAAGACCCCTCCGAACTTCTCGCTTGTGGTGCTCAATACGATCCCTCCAGATTCGGGGAAATGCACCCCATAGAGCGGAATGTACCAGGTGTTCCCCCAGAGATCACCAGATTCCACCGCCAGAGTCGCGCGCATCTCCCGGACATGACCAGACCGTAGCCGCAGCTCCTCCCCGCCACCTTCACGTAGGTCGAGATAGAAGGTTCCCTCGTTACCAGTAATGTTCTGGCTGAACTCACGCGTGAAGTACTCATTTTCCAGCATGATAGCGGTGGTATTTAACGGTGGGATCTCTTTGTCGATTCGCCGGCGTACCCAGTCGCCCCGCAGCTTGCCTGTTGCATTGCGATACACAGGGAGGAGCAGTTGCGATAGGTTGAGGGCGGGGGATGCCTCTGGATCTCCGAGAGCGGGTGGAGGTACTAATCCAACGCCAGTTATAGCTGAGTGCAGCTGATAACGGACCCTCTCGTGCACATCCGAAAGAAGACTCCACGCATAGCTATCGTTCTTCCTGGTACCCGGGAATGGAAGCCACCGGTCCGCTCCGGGGTCGAAATCGCCATACTTGGACTCATTTAGCATGCGAAGGGCATTCCGCTCTCGAGCAAGCTCACGCTGGTGTTCCTGATCCTGAACAATCAACGGGGCATGCGATTGCGAACTGAGAAGAAGATAGAAAACGAGCAGGAGGAAAAAGAAGGAACCGCGCTGATCCATGGATGCCGGGGGATGCTAGGCATCGGAGATATGGGGTACCCTCCTCAAAGCAAGCCGCCTAGGTTGCGTGTCGCATCGCCAGTCCAGGATAGGACAGACGAAGCGGACATTAAAAAGGAAGACAGACTAAAGAAATAGTGACGAATTATACGCAGTATAATGTGGAGAAGATGAAAGGTCTAGAAAGAGAGGAAGACGATGAGGGGGAAGAGGCCGGAGAGACGGCGGAATCGATGATGCGACGAGTGAGTCGAGGCCTGAGGCTGCCGCGCTTCTCCCCGCCGCCTCCTTTCCGCGCTTCGTCTGCCGCATCCTCCCTCGTCCATCCTCCCTCCCATCTTCCGGGAGACAAAGTTTACTCTTTGCCCGGAGACTGGTTAGTGTAACACTGCTCAATTGGCTCCGAAATCCACCTGAACCCAACGTCAACCGGTTTCCTTCCACGGCGCGGGACGCCAATCCTCCTCCATCGGCGCAATGGCCTCAAACTTACCCATTCCTCTTCCTCCGCGCACACCCACTCCGCCCGCCGATGATCCTCTCAACGGCCCAGACCATACGGGTGGTTTTCGAGCGGCGCATCATGACCAGGATTCTCTCTCGCCCTTGGTAGACACTTTCCCTCCGCAACGGAGCCCTTTAGATACAGAGGATCGCAATCGTCTGAGCCCGACACGCGCTGCCTTCAACCTCAATCCTTCGGACACCACGGCGCAGAATGGTCCAAGCGAAAGTACGGCTTCCGGGCCGTTCAATTTCAAACCCATGACGATGGCGAAGAGCCCAGTGGTGAAGTCTGTACGTTAGGAAATCCCTTATCAGCGTGCGGTGAACGAGACTAATGATGCGCTTCAACGGCGGACCAGAACATCGGACAAAGACGAGGTCACAAATACAAGCACAGTAGTATCTCCCATCAGATATTTCTTGAGCCTCCCCCAAGGGCTCCGTTGGCGCTACCGAACTCTTTGCCTATACCCACTTTTGCCGAATGCCGCGCCAGTATGTCCAAGGACCAGAAGACTCGCTTCTGGTGGAGTGTCTGTCACATGTTTGTTGCAGCGTATACACTGTGGAGCGCGCATGGCTCCCTGGCAATGACGGCTTTATCACACTTGATCCTATTCGACTCTCTGGGGGCATTACTTTGCGTAGCCGTGGACGTACTCGGCAATTTCGAGGTGTGGAAGAGATCGAGCGTTCGGCACCCATTCGGGTTGGAACGTGCAGAAGTATTGGCCGGCTTTGCGATGTGTGTACTGTTGCTGTTCATGGGCATGGACCTCATTTCCCACAGTCTTCAGCACTTTCTTGAGTCATCTTCTGGCCATGAGCCACACCACCCACATGTCCATGAACGTGCTTCTATAGGGAGCGTGGATCTCACTGCCCTCCTGGCAATTTCGTCGACATTGGTCTCCGCAATTGGCTTGAAGAATCACGGACGTATAGGGAAAACGATCCGCTTTGGATACATCGAATCACTCCCGTCCGTGCTCAGCAACCCGTCCCATTTTCTGACACTCTCATGCTCTACTCTTCTGCTAGTACTGCCGCTGGTATCCATCCAGCTCTATAACTGGCTCGATGTCCTCTTGTCCAGTACCATCTCGATCTCGATGTGTGTGATTGGCGTGCGCCTGGTTAAGACCTTGGGTTCCATGCTTCTTATGTCGTACTCTGGCAAAGGGGTTACCGATGTTATCCGCGATATCGAGGCTGACCCGTGTGTCTTTGGCATCGATGATGCGAGGTTTTGGCAGGTTCATTACGGACTCTGTATGGCAAACTTGAAACTCCGCGTTTCAGGAACCGAAGAGAACCTTATTCGACTCCGCGAACGCATATCCAGCTTGATTAAAAACCGACTCGGCGGAGGATATGGGTCCGGTGGGCAGAAATGGGAGGTGACCTTGCAGTTCACTATAGAGAACTCATGAGTCCTGTGACATCTACCCTCGTGCCAGGATTATGTACATTTACTGGAGTGAATCATTGCCTATTCTCAATATATACGGTTCGCATATCCTCTGAATCCCACACGAGTATCGCATATGCACATGAAGGGGTTGTAGACGAATGTAGAGTTTGGATGCCACTGAATCTCCCATTAGTAAGTCATATAAACAGCCGCCTGGATGTTAGACTAGAAACTCCCGCCCTTGCTCAATTTGAAATGTAATGAGGTTGCAGCTTCTAGACGAAGCGCGAGATCGAGAAAAGAAGTACTGTATACATACTCCGGGAATATCAGGGGAAGGCGGTGGGGTTATGGGCGCCACGTGACACGATCTGTCCCGCACTTGATGCGACCCACGCCCAGCTTCAGCGTACGGCTTTCCGCGCCTGATGCGTGTCCGGGTTACAGGGGCGTAACCCTCCAGGCTAGCTTGTTTCTCTGCATGATTGCCTTTGGCGCTTCCGATCCCACTTCTTCCTTATGTGCACTCGGCCACCATGAGCCAGATATTAACCGCTAGCCAGGCAGAAGAGCTGTATGTGTTTACACTCCGCGGCCCAACGACCCGCCCACTCACTGATAAACAAAAACAAACTAGGCACAAGTCTATGGTCGCCTATCTTTCATCAATAAAGGCTTCCCAAAGTTCCAACACATTGCGCGAAGAGCTTGGGATTGGCGATAACTTCGATGAGGCCACTTGCAAGAAGTATGAAGGCTTGTTGGAGAAGAAATGGACGGGGATTGCTCGACTGCAGCGGAAGGTAGATCAATCCCCCATATTTTGCATGAGGACGGGCAATCTCTGTGGACGATGGCTAATCAATTTGCAGATATTAGATCTAGAATCCAAAATTACTAGTCTACAAGCCGAGCTTGACTCGGTCCCTTCGATGGCCCGATCAAAACAACATCAAGATCCCGACAATTGGCTTCCGGCACAGTCGTCAGCGCATACGTTCGAATCGCATAGAGATGCCATTACATCCATAGCGTTCCACCCAGTTTTCACATCACTCGCCTCCGGTTCGGAAGATTGCACGATCAAGATATGGGATTGGGAACTGGGGGAGTTGGAGCGCACCCTTAAGGGTCATATGCGAGGGGTCTCCGGACTTGATTTTGGTGGCCAAAAGGGCCATACGTTGCTAGCTTCCTGTTCTGGCGACCTAACGATCAAGCTCTGGGATCCGAGCAAGGATTACGCAAATATCCGAACGCTGCATGGTCATGATCACTCGGTCTCCGCAGTCCGCTTCTTAACGTCGACGGAGAACTTACTTGTGTCCGCCAGTCGAGACGCTTCAATCCGAATTTGGGACGTGTCGACGGGGTACTGTGTGAGAACGATTACTTCGAACAGCATCTGGTTTCTGGACGTGTCCCCTTCATTTGACGGTAAATGGCTGGTGGCGGGCGGTCGGGACCAAGCCGTGACCGTGTGGGAGGTCTCTTCGGCTGAACCCCGAGCCGCGTTATTAGGCCATGACAACGACGTTCAATGCTGCGTGTTTGCACCACCAGCAAGCTATGAATATTTGGCTACTCTTGCTGGACACAAGAAGGCGCCGCTCGCAAGTAGCTCATCTGAATTCATCGCAACCGGCTCCCGAGATAAAACGATCAAACTGTGGGAGGCCCGGGGAAGGCTAATCAAGACACTTGTTGGCCATGACAATTGGATCCGAGGTCTGGTATTCCACCCGAGTGGGAAGTATCTATTCAGCGTCTCGGACGACAAGACCATCCGTTGCTGGGATCTTTCACAAGAAGGACGACTAGTGAAGACAATCAGCAATGCCCACGGGCATTTCATTAGTTGCATTCGGTGGGCACCGCCTCCCCGCAACGCGGCCGCAGAGGCGTCTGAAACAACCAACGGAGTGTCCAAGAAAGCCCCTACAAAGCCCGCTTTCCAATGCGTGATCGCTACTGGAAGCGCGGACTCATGCGTCCGGGTGTTTAAATAGGTGTCAGGAATTCGAGCCCGGTTGAAATTCTCGAGCAGTACCCTGGTGGCACTATGATTTTGAATTGAGGTTCTTTTTCTCTTCAGGCATCTATCCAACGTTCTAATTCCATGTGACTCCCTTTCTTCTTCTATGCACGACTGTACATATTTACGCTTCCAAATCCTAGAAGATGCTTATTATGCGGTAGTACGCTCATACCGCATGTCCTTTCATGTCTTGGGCGGGTTATATCTTTCAAGAGGCTCTCAATGAACTCGTGTTGTTGTTGCTTGCCAATATGGGAATGATCAGCCTCACGCAGAGTCTGGAAATGTTTGTGGCTATATTAAAAAATTACTATCTTAAACGATATAAACCAAACTTATACTGCTAGTATCTTCGATCGTTTCCAGAAATGTGTTACGGTGGGTTATGTTGTCGGGAATTCGCCGTCTCCACAAACTTACCCCAAAGACGGAGGGGAGACTCCAACTTGCAATGATTAACCCCCAGCAAACTCCCTCCTCACGTTAAGCGAAATTGCTTAACGAGTATACAAATTACAGATAGCATGGCTCTGAACGACTACCCTTCGAGACCACACCCGCCGGCAGGCGAACTGAGAAGGTTCTATATAGGCAAGGACATTAAGGACGTACCGAAGCCAGCTGCTGTACTCGACCTTGCGATCGTTTCACGGCATTGTCAAGCAATGCTCAGTGCCGTGAATCATCTCAACGTCGGATTCCGTGCTCATATCAAGACACACAAGGTAGCGCATTCTCCTCCCTCACTTCAACATGACCGCTGACTGTCGGAGACACTGCAACTTTCAGAGTGGCAAGTCGGTACGAGACCAGGCGATGAAGCCAATTTCGTCGTATCGACGCTCGCGGAAGCCGAACTGCTGCTTCCACTGTTGAAAGTCTTGCGAAGAGACGGCCGCAAAGTCAATGTGCTCTATGGCATCCCTCTGGTGCCGTCGCAGGTTCCGCGTCTGGCCACTGTGGCCCGTGAAGTTGGGGAGAGCAGCGTCTCCGTCATGATTGACCATCCCGATCAACTAGTCTACCTGAGCCAGTTTCGTGAGATAGCGGGCTTCGCAGCTGGCGTCTTTCTGAAAGTCGACACGGGGTATCATCGAGCCGGGGTCCCGCCCGCCATGTTGAACAAGAATGGACTTCTGGAAAAGATTGCCGAAGAAGAGAAGGCCGGGCGGGTGATCTTGCTGGGTGTGTACTCTCACAGCAGCCTGAGCTATGCGGCTACGAACGCGGGAGAAGCGCTGTCGTATCTGAAGACCGAAATCGCCGGCTGCAAGGAGGCATTGCAGAAGAATTCACATCTCTTACCGACGGACAGAGGGCTTGTCATCAGCGTCGGTGCAACGCCGCAGGCTATCTCAGCGCATAACCTTCTCCAGGAGCCACTCAGTCCAGAAGCCAAAGACCTGCAGACGTTTATGCAGAGCACCGCTCAAGACACCGGGGCGCGCGTAAAGATCGAACTCCACGCGGGTGTTTATAGTGTCATGGATATGCAGCAAATGGCGACCCGCGCAAAGCATCTGGGCAACATCGAGGATGAAGTTGCTTTATCCGTGGTTGCGGAGGTGTGCAGTGTATACAACAATGGCGAGCGGGATAAACCCGAGGCTCTGGTTGCAGCAGGTACGCTTGCGCTTGGGAGAGAGCCGTGCCAGTCTTACCCAGGATGGGGTATGGTAGGCAATTTGGAGCAGCAGCCTGGGACATCTCGGCTTATTGTTGAGCGCATTAGCCAGGAGCATGGAATTGTCTCCTGGCATGGTGGTGATGGGCCGGAGATCCCTCTCCGCGTCGGACAATCTTTGAGAATCTATCCAAACCACGCCTGCATTACTGGAGCGCTATACGGATGGTACTTGATTGTCGATTCGAGTCGGGAAGGTGAAGAAACGAAGATTGTGGATGTTTGGGTGAGAGTAAGTGGATGGTAGGGAGCTCATATAACACATGCTTTATATCAAGCAACAATATGTTGAAGAAATACTCTCATGAATATCACTCAGACTATGCCTACACACCACAATTAGCCCACGATCACTCAACATGCCCTGCTTCTTTGACCTCCCTCGTTCTAGCAGAGAACGAATATACCGCCACGCCTTAGTGACGCCACGCATCTTCGTCCGTCCGTTCATCACAGTGGCCTATCACAACGACCCAAACCGCACCTCCCGCTACGGCATCCCGACCCTCTCTCCTCCGCGCCTCAAAGCAAGTCTACAACGAAGCCACGCCCATCTATCTCCGGGAGAGCACCTTTTCAATCGTGCAGGTGGATTTTCTAGCCGCTGCAAGCCGGGAATACCCACGAGTGTTGTACAATCCCCGCCAGATCCGCAAGGTAGAGGTCGTCTTCAACAGCCGCGACTACATCTATATGGCTCAGTTTCTCGCTGATGAGCTACCTGCCGTTGTCGACGTGATGGATCAACTGGCAACTACCGCGTCCGAGTATACGCCTACTGCTGTCGATGCGCTGAGAGTGGCGCATGTTGATTTTGAGTCGGAGGCGAACGACCCTGCACACGGACAGCACATCGAGAATATGAACGAGTACTTATGGGGCCGGACGTTGACATTCCTCCGTCAGACGTTCAAGCTGTCCCATCTCTACGTGGATTTAACTCGCTGTACTTGTGTTGATGGGTGTTGTCGGCTTGCGGATGAAGTGCTTGGTTGGGGATGGCTCCAGGTCTGGTTACGGGGCATGTCCGAGGTCATCCAGGTAAAGGAGACTTCGAGTCGCGACAAGACGGCTGTCGCTCGTATACTTGATTGACAGCGCCTTCATCAGGGCTTCTCGCTAGAGAATGTTGTTGACTCAGACCGGCTGACTGACGTGAGGACGCTGGGAGAGTACAATGACATGTTGCGGAAGGTTCACTTGAAATTGACCACATTTATGTCGATGGGGCAGATACTGAAGAGGCGATAGAGGCAGATGACAATGTCACCAGGGAATAGGGAAACTCAGTTGGTCGGATGCAAAATTGGACACCTCGATATACAACCCTTACGTTCGCGAAAGGAACAAGTAAAACCTGCCATTGCAATGCGACAAAAATATGCGAAACATGAATCTAAGGCCCTGCTCGCAGGCGTTGATATGACCTTCACGCCCATCACAGGAGTCGAGCGCAACCGTTCGATTTTTTGGTACAAGACCGGGCTGGCTGTTGACCACGGCCCGATTAAACAAGAAATCCCCATTCCATCGTAGAACCCCAGACAATATACACAAACAGGATTCCCTTCACGACGTCGCGGCCAGAGTACCGGCCTCTTCGACCTTGCTCAATGTGCCCTCATCCCGTCTCCGACGCTTCTCGAGGATGGCCTCCCGGCGCTGTGCGAGAATCTTGAGCTGTCTGTCCTCGACACCCTGGAGCCAGTAACCGAAGCTTCCACCCACACCGGCGAACAGGGGGTACACCCAGAGGGACTCTTTGGCGAGGATGGGACGCATTTCAATGCCGAGCTGCCACAGACGGACGGCGATACCTGTGTCGGGTCGCGTTAGCGGAATGCAAAATGACGCGGCCAATGGCATATATAGTCTCCCGAGGAAGACGGTCAAATCCAGATAACAGCAACAGGCGAGTATTGACTTCGATATACATACCGAAACCGCCCCAGAAGAGGACTTTGTGAACCATGGTGGATGAGGGGGCGCGGACGGCGCGGATTGCGGCTAGGGACGGCGGAAAAGAAAGGCGATTGCTTCGAGGAACTGTCTACTTGGAAACAGAACAGTCGTAGTGGTGATCCGAACACGATCCAGCGAGACAATGGAGTTCACACGACGAACGGCGCAGGCGGATCGAGACGATGAGGTTGGCTTTCCCACTGCTCCGTCGAATCACGGGACGGCGGTTCACAATCCGCCCGCGGATTATCATTGCGCCGACCGCCCCTTCCTTCCCGCGTCGCGATCTGCGCCTTGAACTACGGCGCTTTTTGGTCGGATCTCGCTTTGCTTGGTCTTCAATCAAACGGTTGGGACTCTGACGTGTGGGTTGGACTCTCACAGCCTTTCTGTCCTCCCGGCTCCCATCGGGACCTCTCGTCATGGCTGGTCCAGAGGAGGAGATGCCCGCTGCGGTCCAGTCCGCGGGCGTCAAGCGGTCGTCGGTTGATATCGAGAGCTTGCAACGGAAGAAGTTCAAAGCCGACGAGCTCCCCTTGACCGCGGCGCAACATGGAGCTATTGACAGTCTTCTTCACGCATTCAAGAAGAAGGGAGGATTTGATACGATTCGGAAGAAAATGTGGGCTGAATTTCATGATGGGGTATGCGGTCATTCCTCCCGGGTTTTCGTCACTACGCTGTCTCTGTTTACCGAGCTAACGCGCTGCGCGCAGGAAGGAAAGGCAGAATTTACTAAACTCCTTATTGAGCTAGCAGAGTCGGAGATCGAGCGTGAGCCCGAGCTGCTCTCTCGCGAGCGCGGAAAAGCCGCGACGTTGATCGAAGGAGCCGTGGATCGCAGCGATATCTACAAGACTGTGGAGAAATCACTCGATGCGCTGGCCTCAAACCACCTCCCCGCGATTCTAGATTCAGTCCGAGAGATACGTCGTCAGGAAGTTGGCGAGGAGATCGCCGCGCGAGAGGAGCAGGGCGGCAATAAAACCGACGAGGACTTTGCGGCACATGTCAAAACGAAACGAGACGAGCGCGAGAAAATCCACCAGGAAGAAATGCGCAAGCAGAGAGAAATTGAAGAGGAGCAAAAGCGACGCAAAGCGGAGGAAGATCGCAAACAACGCGAGCTCGAACGCAAGAAGGAAGAAGAAGAGCGCGCACGGAGAAGAGAACGAGAGGAACAGCGTCGCGCGGAACAACGACTTCTTGACGAGCAGAGGGAAAAGGAACGCCAGGAGCGATACGAACGGCGACGACGGGAAGAGCGAGAAAGATTTCGGGACTATGATCGCTATCGGGACCGTGATCGCAGCCGCACTAGAGACCGAGATTTCGACCGTTACCGTCGCGATCGGTCTCCTGGGTACCGCTCCGACCGTGCCATATCACCACGCCATCGAGAGTCGCGGAAGGAGACGTCCGAGACGCCCAAGGAGCCAACACCCGCTCCTCCCGTGGACGAGAAGTCGCTGGAGGAAGCCGCCTTGCAGATGTTGCTGAAAGAAGGCGAAGAGCTCGCAGCCAAAGCACGGCAGAAACCCGAATTCGATTTTGAAGAAGCAGAAGCTATCGAGAACGGACTGAAACCGCCGCCGAAGCCTAAGACCTCAGACTCACGCTACTCCAACACCCCAACCAAGTCGGGGAGCCCTGCTGTCGATGTCGATGCGCACAGACGACGGGGATCAACGGCAGACGATCGTCTAAAGCCTCGGAGACGCGACAGTCGCAGTCGGTCTCGAAGGAGGTCCTCGCGATACGAAGATGATCGGCGCGGCTCCCGCGAGAGGTCAGCTCGGCCGCGCGAGCGCGAGACTGACGACAGACTTCCTATTCGCGACTTCCGGCATGATCGGTATGGTGATCGGAGTTATCGACCAAGTCGCAGGAGCAGAAGTCGATCGACTACGCGAGGGTATGATCGTGACAGGGACCGTGACCACGACCGGAATCGTTCTCGAGGTCGGTACCGCGATAGAAGCCCAGACCGCCACAGGGAACGGGAGTATGACTCGTACCGGGGCGACCGAAGTCGAGACCGAGACAGGAGGGAGCGGGACAGAGACAGAGATGTCGACAGGGATAGGGAGAGGGAGAGGGACCGTGACCGTGATCGCGAGCGAGAAGATTACCGCCGCCGTCGCAGCCGGTCTCGTCCCCGGTATCGTTCACGTTCTCGTCGCCGATCACGCTCTCGTTCTCGGCGTCGGGAGAGAGATCGGGAAAGGGAGCGTGATCGTTCTCGTGACCATGGTAGAGATCGTGACAGGGACAGAGACAGAGAAAAGGAGAGGGAAAGAGACAGTGAGCCAGGCCGAACCCGAGAGCGAGAAAGATCCGCCTCGCGTGCTTCTGCATCCTCTCGCAGACGATCTCGCTCGCGGCGCCGCTCTCGATCGCGACGACGATCCCCAAGTCTTCTTGATATCGACCGCTACGTACCACCGACCAGCAACCGAAGCCGGTCTCCTCGGCGACGGGTCCGTTCCCCAGAGCGCGCCGAGCGTGAGCGAGAGCGGGAACGAGAGCGTGAACGAGACGACCGGCCACGCTTTGTAGAGATCGACCGGTATATTCCTGGTGGACAGCGGGATCAGGAGCGCGAAAAGGAGGCGGAACGATCCCACGACGCGGATGATCGCAGGGCTCGAAGGTCAAGTCCCAGTCGACGCAGGAGTCGCAGTCGTTAAACGAGTTATTTGTTATTTGTATCGATAGAGCCTATGCTGTGACGTGTACATTAGAAACGAGATGTATCAGTATTCATAATTAATATATCCCTTAGGTGGTGCTGAGGTTCCAGCTGAACGATATCACGGCTACGGCCTACAGGTAGGCCACACAATGCACACTACGGCCCAAATCTTCCAACGAAGTCTCGCGAATATTTGAAGACATCTATATACCCATCAGGTATCGGAGGCCGTCTTGACAGCCTCATGGTACCCGTCATTATCCTCGTGGCGTTTGTAGAAGTATGAATTAGCCCCCGGCCCAGCAGGCCGTAGCTCTGGGGACAAACGGTCCAGAATGGTCTGCTCCAGGGCTTTGATAGAGCGTTCATTATCGCCCAGTTTATTCCAGACGGAGATCATATGGGAATTGAAACGGACCGAGGTCGAGACGCCGAGGACGTGATCGTGCTCTGCCGCATACAAGTCAGACATGCGCAAGAAGCTGAAGCGCGCGCGCGCGCACTACCAACGTACGTACCCTTTTCCAGCACAGCCTGGAACTCATTCGCCATGCACAGAATGGCAATCTCATGGAAGAAGGCTTGCGCCTTGCTCTTGGGCACGCGGAAGCGCCAACAACCGCCCTTTCGATTCTGCGGGTCCTCCCACACGGGGCGCACGCCTTTGCGGAAGATATGCACGCTGTCGCGCAGGCGGATCTTGTCCCAGGGGTAGTTGTTGTAAACGCGGTAGAAGGTCGCGATGTCGGCGACGTCTTCGTGGAGGATGAACAGCCGGTCGTCGTAGGCGGCCGTGTCCGAGTGCTTGTCGTACCAGACTGTCCAGTGATACTGGAAGGGCAGCGGGCGAAGCTTGCCGAAGATGTTTTGGTGGAGGGTTTTGCGGGTCGTGGGCGTTTGTTGGCTTGTCTCGGGGGTGTCTTCGGAGATGGCCTCGTCTGAGACGGGGCTTTGATCGTTGATGTGGAGTCGGGGGAGAGCCATTGTGCCGGTGTTCTTGGTTAGACCCAGGGGGTGTGATGTTGCGAGTTGGATCTAGGGTATATATATCACAGTATACTATCTGTAGGGATTAGCCATGTCTGGGGAAGTATTAGGTGATGGAATGGCCATATCGGTCTGGGATAGTGTAGGGAGTATACAGTGGGGTCAACAGCCGCAGGAGCATCGTGAAGCAGCACATACTGGCAGGAAAAATGGTGATAGATCACAAAACCACAGCTATGGCTCGTGATGTACTCTGTATATCTGCTCGAATATGGAGAGCCTTGAGGAGATCGCATCCAGCCTGCAGAAGCCCAGGCTGACCGATTTCAGGATCGAATCGCCATCCGGGGAGGAGAGTGTCGAATATAATAGAACACCGGGAAGAACGGAGGTAAGCCTAATATGGGATAATATAGGACGGAGTTTCATGAAGAAAATCCATCTCCGATAATGGATGCTTTGATCCCTGTTGCTGCAGCTCTTCTTCACGGCCGGCCGATCCATCCATCCATTTCCACCCGCTTTCTCCAACGCCGCAACGGCCATTTTTCACCTCCCCACCATTCAATCCTCTCTCCCTCCCAGTCCTCCCTCACCCTCTCTGACCCTCCTGCACTCCTGTCATCTTATCTCCCCCTGAAACAATCCAGTCAAGCCCCGCGCTCCCCCACCACCCGCGACACGAGGGAGGGGAAGACCGCAGACTCCGATTCTTCATTGGCACGCGCCTCCAAATCCACCATGGCAGATGCGCACCGCAAGCGCCCGCAACCCGACGATCCCCAACCGTCGACCACCTCGCGCCCAAACATGACGACGTCTCTGTCGCATCGGTCGCGACCATGCCCGGGCCAACAGAGCGACAGGAACGAATTTTCGCACCCCTCCGCGGACGCAGTCGCCGCCGGGAATACCAGCGACGACGACGACGATTTCACGTCGTCCTCGGGAAGTGACAGCAGCGACGAGGAAAGCGATGACGACGGCGAGGAGGGGCAGAGCGGTGATGAGCACGATCAGGTGAAGAGTGACGATGGGCGCGACCAGGCCTTGCCGCGCATACCTGCGCGACAGAAACCGCGCATCCAGCACGTGGAGAGGGATGGGAATCTGCTCGCCCGCATTTCCGCATTCCTGCCTCAGATGAAGAACGCCAATGATGAGCTTCAGCGGGAGATCGAGGCCGGTAGGGCCAAGGAGATTCGGTTGGATGAAGTGGATGACCAGAACGAGGGGCAGTATATTGAGATGGTACGCTGACCTCCGTCTGCTATTTACTCTACATACCACTGGCTGTGGCTGACGCAAATTGTTGACAGAATCTTGGTCTCGGCGTCTTGGAAGAAAAGCGACAGGGCGACGATAGTAGCGACAATGCCTCGGACGAGGATCACGCAAAGAATACTTCTGCAGAGACGAACGCCGACTCGCGAACGGATTCAAATGTCTTGGGCAAACTGATGGGGCAGGAAGACGCCTCATCTTCGAACAAGCCCACGATCGAAGAAATGAAGGAGTGACATTTCGTTGTGTTCTTTTTGGGATAGACAAAATTGGATTGCATGGCTGGCGCTGCTTCGGATTGGGTCGGTTCAGTACATTTGGTATACGCATCTTCCTTATTACGATCTATCTTCTGAATAACGGAATACTAAGACTGACTGTCAAAGACATCACTTGCATTTAGTCATAGCGTACAGAGGACGCAGTATAGTCTAGTTAGTGATAATAGAAAGCTAATAAAACAGTAGTAAACAAGGGTCTAGCCGTATTTGCATGAAGAGAAACATAGTATGCACACCATCTCGCAATTAAATACCTTATTCATTCATCCATATCGCCACGTCTCGTCATCTCTACGAGATCTCCTTCACGCGGCAAGTCCAGCCCGACTCTTGGCTGAGTAGAGGCAAGCTAATATACAAGTCAGTATGCGGTTATTTCAAAGGAAACAGACTGTCTTACCTTGCACCCAAGCACCAGCCAAGTTCGTTGTTCTTGATCTTCTTGGCAATCTTCACCTCACGAGACAGAGGCATTTCGTAGCCGGTGTGCAGGAGACCAAGCATGAAGTTCAGGTCCAGACACCATTCAGGACGGTCGCGGAGCTCATCCAGGGCACCTTCAATGCCCTCGAAGACCGACCAGTTCGACTCACCCGCACAGACATTCGCCGTGAGTTGGTGCAGTTCGTCCAGCGTGAAGGAATCCGGCATGCCCAGCGGCTTGGTGCGGTCAAAGAAGTATGAGAAGATGTATACATCCTCGCGGGAGAAAGTCTTCTCCAGCGACGGCTGGTGGACACCATTGAAAGAGCAAGGGGCAAGCTTGCATTCGGCATCCTTATTCAGGATCTTCTCCGCGAGACCGCGGCATTGTACGGCGGCGGAGAGGCCTTCCTTCGGGCCAACCATCTTGAAAGTAACCGGGCCGGGGCCGAGCGGGTGCTCAGTCGGGAACTCCAGCTTCACATCGCGCTCCATGCCAGGTCCAATGCAAGGGTTCGAAATAGGCTGGTTGACCCAACTCGTGTCTTTCGGATTCGCAGCAAGCTTCGCCTCAACCACAGCCTTGTGGACGGTGTCGCGAGCGGCCATCAGTCCATATCCAAGGTGGGAATGCTGGTACAACTCAAAGTGCCGTCCGCCAAACTCCAGGTCGTACTTGTGATCGCCAGGGGCGAGATGCTCTGGCATACCACCCGACTTGCTGTTTTCGAAAGTAGGCTGGAAGACAATCTGGGTAGAACCGCCACCGAGATCGAAAACGGCGGCAGTAGGAGTCTCATCAGGACCGCCAATCTTTCCGAGGAGGTAGTTCGTCGTGATCCACGCGTATACGCCCTCATCCGAGCCATCCATGATCTCAACGCCGCCCTTCTCGCGAGACACGACCGGGAAGGGGTAAACAGTCTCCAGACGGGTTCTAACAGCTTGGAGGATGTTCTCACTCAACTCAGGACCAAGCATCCGCAAACCGGCGGTGGCCTTGACGGCGACCGGAGAGCAGGACTTGTACTCGTCGGGGACAGTGCGCATCGCCACCTGCATGAGAGGATCGAGACTGCGCGCGGCACCCTCCGCATCTTCCTTGTAGGAGCTCAAGCCCGAAGAACCACCCCCAGGTCGCTTCTCGGTCTGTGCAAATTCCTCATGCTCCAGTTCGGGGGTGGGGCCGCAGTTGTTGAAACGGTACACGTGGATGCGGGAACCCTGGCTACCAGCGTCGATCATCAGAGCATACTGAATCAGGGGTTTGGACGGGTCGTGAGGCTTGGAGCATCGGTCGGTTAAGGGAGTAGCGTTGGCGGGAGGTTTTCCTACCATCTCGTCAGCAACTGTTTCAGGGGGAGGTTAGATGACAACGTACCGTATCCGCCAAAGTGGGATGGTCTCGAAGGAGACAGCCAGAAGATCATCATAAGCAGAGCGCCAATGATGGCACCCGTCTTCAGGTATCGCGATCTCTGAGTCTGTGCCATGATTGTTCCTGTAGACAATGGACTACGCGGTGGTGTCACCGACAAAGTATCCGACCAATCGATGGGACTGTTCGCGGTTTCGGAAGCCCGCGAATTCGAACGTTTACTTGCTCTCGAGGCCGGATGCGAGTATGATGAGCTTGTCTGTAATGGTCGACTGTCAAGTCCAGTCGACATACGAGTCCCGAATTTTGTCAGATAATGAGTAGCGTCTCTTCCGGGAGAAACGCGCTCTTTTTTGTCTTGTTGAGGTCGACCGAGTTGGGGCAAAAAACGACTGAGGATCGGTCGAAAGACTCAAAAACGAACCAAAAACACCCAGGGACCCTCCGGACCAGCCCAAAAAGGATCGTGGGTGGTAGAATGCTTCCAAAGAAAAAGGAGAAAAGATAGAGACAGAGATGTCAGGAGAAGAACGGGGGAGGGGGGGAGAGAGTGAGGAGAGAGAGAAAGATGGAGAGGAAAGGAGAGCCGCAGGGCCCTTAATCGGACGGGACCCATAATAATTCGACCCTCCATCAATCAAGCAGGAGTCTGCTGTCCTGAAACGGTCTGGATCCGCTGGGGTCCGTGTGGCGTAGAAGTGGCGGCGAGAATGTGGCTGTTACCACCGCATGCATCCGTCTATGTCACTTCCACTTCCACTCCCAATTCCATTGTCACCTCTCTCGTTACATCTGCCCACAATCTTCCGCAGTCGCAGCTCTGATTGAATCCCTCTCCCCGCCTCTCCTTTACTGGTCAGGGCAGGTTCCTTTGGCCCCATCATGAAGCATATCCGTGGTCTCCTCTCAACAACACAAGCCCTCCGCTATACCTTTCTCTCTCCGGCAGTATCCTCCTCTCCGGCTCGTTGTTTTCAATACACCCCAACCCCGCTCCTCACGCAGTCCCGACTTCTCTCCACCCGTCGTCGCCTGGCTCCCGGAAATGCTCAGTTACTCGCGCGGTTAAAACAAGTGAAGGATGAAGAGATCCGGTCGGAATACGTACGCATTGTCAATGAGGGAGGTGGCTTAGATCCCCCTATCAAGCTTCGAGACGCCTTAAATGGGATTGATCGCTCGGAGAACTTTCTTCTCCAGGTGTCGCCGGGTTCTCGTGATCAGCCGCCCGTTTGCAAGGTCGTGAGCCGGGTCGCGATCAAAGAGCAGGAGAAAGCGAAAGCCAAGGCCACGCATGCTGCCAAAACCGCTGTGAAGCAAATTGAGCTGAATTGGGCGATCGATGCGCATGATCTGGCACACCGACTCAAACAGTTGACCACCTTCCTGGAGAAGGGTCGGAAAGTGGAGGTTGTCCTCACCCGGAAGAAAGGAAAGAGAGCGCCTACGGTGGAAGAAGTGAAGAACGTGATGGACAGTGTTATGCAGACCACGAGGGAAGCCGATGCTATCCAAGTTCGGCCTATGGAGGGCGAACCAGGGAAACATGTTATCCTGGTGGTAAAGAAGAGGGACTGATTTGGGTGCAAGGAACCAACCGGCCGACATGTAAAATATGCATATGGATATCCACGCTGTGGACTGACATTTATAATGTATATTTCTGATATTCTTCTGCATGAGGAAACCCATAATTCAACAAATAAATGCTTAGATGCTTTTTCCTCTTACTACGCCGTATGTCTCGTGCTTTGGGAGTACCTGAAGTCTCCGCAATTCCACCACGCTGATTGGCCGTGGCCATGACTAAGCCGCCTCCCCTAAATTTTTCGGGTCTTTGCGCATCTCCAGCTCTCGTCCTTCTTCCCTCTCCCCATCGCGTTGTCTTTGGTCGTCTTTCGTCGGTCATTCCTACTTTCAGGGCAGTCATCATGTCGAGCATCTCCCGAACCGCCAACCTCTTCCTGCGCACCAGCAGATCCTCTCTGCTGCGGCCCCGTGCTGTCAACCCTGTTCAGCATGTTTTCCTCAAAGACAGAGTGGCTGCCCGTGGTCTGGCCACGGCGTTCGAGCGTACCAAGCCTCACGTCAACATCGGTATGCAGGCTTTTCCTGATGCAATGCATCTCACACATCGCTAACCACCTTGTAGGTACCATTGGTCACGTCGATCACGGCAAGGTAAGTCGCAATTCTCTCGCTACACCCCCGGCTTGTATCCGAAATAGTCCGGAATGCTAACAGGGCCCTCCCAGACCACTCTGACTGCCGCCATCACCAAGCACCAGGCCTCCAAGGGCCTCGCGACCTTCCTCGAGTATGGTGCCATCGACAAGGCTCCTGAAGAGCGTAAGCGTGGTATCACCATCTCCACTGCTCACATCGAGTTCTCCACCGACGACCGTCACTACGCCCACGTCGACTGCCCCGGTCACGCCGATTACATCAAGAACATGATTACTGGTGCCGCCAACATGGATGGTGCTATTGTTGTCGTTGCCGCTTCCGATGGTCAGATGTACGCTCAAGCCCCAGTTTCCATATAAACATAAACGATCTATCATCAGCACAACGCTGACTTCTTCGCTTCCAGGCCCCAGACCCGTGAGCACTTGCTGTTGGCCCGTCAGGTCGGTGTCCAGAAGATCGTGGTCTTCGTCAACAAGGTCGATGCCGTTGATGACCCGGAGATGTTGGAGCTCGTTGAGCTGGAAATGCGCGAGCTCCTGACCAGCTACGGATTTGAGGGTGAAGAGACCCCCATCATCTTCGGTTCTGCTCTCTGCGCTCTTGAGGGCCGCCGTCCTGAGATTGGTACTGAGAAGATTGACGAGCTGATGCACGCCGTCGACACCTGGATCCCCACCCCCCAGCGTGACCTCGACAAGCCCTTCCTGATGTCCGTCGAGGAAGTCTTCTCCATTGCTGGTCGTGGTACCGTCGCTTCCGGCCGTGTCGAGCGTGGTATTCTGAAGAAGGATAGCGAAGTCGAGATCATCGGTGGTGCTTTCGACGCCACGAAGACCAAGGTCACTGACATCGAGACCTTCAAGAAGTCTTGCGACGAGTCTCGCGCTGGTGACAACTCTGGTCTCCTCCTCCGTGGTATCCGTCGTGAGGATGTTCGGCGTGGTATGGTCATTGCTGCTCCTGGCAGCACCAAGGCCCACGACAAGTTCCTTGTCTCTATGTACGTCCTCACTGAGGCTGAGGGTGGCCGTCGTACCGGATTCGGTACCAACTACCGCCCCCAGGTCTTCATCCGTACTGCCGGTAAGTGTTCCTGGAAGAGGCTTTGAGCCTATATAGGATCTCGGATAATTTACTAATCCACCATATAGATGAGGCCGCTGACCTCAGCTTCCCCGACAACGATGACTCCCGCCGTGTCATGCCCGGTGACAACGTTGAGATGGTCCTGAAGACCCACCGCCCCGTGGCTGCTGAGGCTGGTCAGCGCTTCAACATCCGTGAGGGCGGCCGTACCGTCGCCACTGGTCTCGTCACCCGTGTGATGGACTAAACTTCCAGTCTATCCCTAATCGGCTGGTCTGTACTATGAAACTAAAATCTCTTTGGGTCATCTTTTGGGTTTATGTTTGCACGTTCTTGCAGCGCGGGAATCAGCGAGGGGATCCGGGAGCCGTTGATACACCCAGACGGTGGCTTACTCCGGAGTTCTTGAGTCATGTCGATGCACCTGTATTGTATTCCAACATGTAGACTTGTGTTTACTCGTCTCCCCTCTTCTATATTTCTATGTATGTCGTTAAATATGAAACGAATGATTGTAATAAGATACGGTGCCTGAAGAGTAAAATCTAGGTGTATTGATAATCGATTCGAGTATTCACCAACACTCATGTCGAAGCTGAACGACGAGACACAAAGAACATCACGGGGACACTAAGCCGAATGGGGCAGAGCCTAGGCCTGGGTGGCCTGAATGCTCAGGCGACGGGGGCTGCCCCGGACAACCAAACAACTCCTGGCCACAAGATCCCATCCGACCTCGGGCTTGATCACTGGAGACCGTGTGCGCCAGTCTTGTGATTTCCGTCTCTTCTCCCGATCTTCTGCCGTTCTTTTCACCCTCACTACATGTAGTGTCCTCCGTGGCCGCTCAACAACCCATCATCCCGCATCCCTCCTTCCCCCTCTCGCCACTCCCTCTGACGTTATCCCTCCGTGTCCTGTGCGACTCGTGTACATTCCACACCCCTCGAAACCTCTCAGCCACGGCTCTCCCCCAGAGGCCATTACCACCTGTCACAGACTGGTAGTAACCAGGCGACCCTTTTCGTCATGGCTACCAATGGACATTTCGCCTCCTTAGGGGGCGATAGCAGCGATAAGACCGCTTATGAGCACGGTGTACAAGTGATCGATGAAAACAAGGAATTTAAGTATGCTTTTCCTCTCTGCTCCGCGGCTCTGCACAGTGGTTGTATGCGGTGCAGAGTCCGCGATGCACCCTGGCGCGAGAGTAAATACCAGGTGATTAGAGTAGGGGGCTTTAGGGCTAACATTGACCGCGCAGTCCCAACCTGTCCAAGTACCTCAGTATCGAAGATGTTACGCCAGCTGGATTCAACTACCACCTCATCTCCGTGTTCGGCTCCCAGTCAACAGGCAAATCCACCCTCCTGAACCATCTCTTCGGCACCCGTTTCTCCGTCATGTCCGAGTTGGAGCGGCGCCAGACCACCAAGGGAATCTGGATGTCCAAGAACAAGAACACCGAAGGCTCTATGGCTAGCAATATACTCGTAATGGATGTTGAAGGTACGGACGGCCGTGAGAGAGGTGAAGATCAGGACTTTGAGCGCAAAAGCGCTCTTTTCGCGCTAGCGACGAGTGAGGTCCTCATTGTCAACATTTGGGAACACCAGGTGGGGTTGTACCAGGGTGCAAACATGGGCCTGCTGAAGACCGTGTTTGAGGTCAACCTGCAATTGTTCCTGAAGGACAAGAACACCACCCACCGATCACTACTGTTCTTCGTCATTCGTGACTTTGTCGGTATGACGCCCCTCAAAAACCTCCAGAAGACGTTGATGGAGGATATGTCTCGCCTGTGGGATTCGATTTCCAAACCCGCCGGTTTGGAGAAGTCTACTGTGCACGATTATTTCGACTTCCAGTTCTACGGCCTCCCTCATAAAGGCTACCAGCCGGAGCAATTTGTCGCTGAAACGAAAAAGCTTAGTCTTCGATTCCGTGAAGGCCACAAGGACCCCAGTCTGGACGCGCAGAAGGGAGAATTTTCAGATGGGGGTGTTTTCCTACCTGAGTACCACCGACGCATCCCGGCGGACGGATTTTCCAGATATGCTGAAGGGATCTGGGACCAGATTGTGAACAACAAAGATCTGGACCTGCCGACCCAGCAGGAGCTTCTGGCACAGTTCCGCTGCGATGAGATCCTGCGTGAAGTGATGGTCGCTTTCGACGAGGCCATTGTTCCTTTCGAGGATAAACAGTCTCAGGCGGCCCGTCTGGGTGAGCCAGAGATCCTCGGCGGCTTGGGTGCAGCCATGAGAACGGCGAGGGCCAAGGCTGTCAAGAGCTTCGAAACGGAAGCAAGCCGGTACCACAAGGGTGTCTACCAACGCAAGCGGGCTGAGCTTGAAAGCAAAATCGATACCCGTCTTAAGGCCCTGTTTCAGGGTCAGCTTAACGCCACCCACAAGTCCGGAATCAACGAATTTAGCGATGCAGTTACTACTGCAGTCAAGTCTGGTCAGAAGAAAGGCACTGGGTATGATTTCGCTGAAATTGTGAGCGAAGAGGTGAAAAAGGCCATGGAGAAATTCGAGGAAGTCGCCCGCACGACCACGGTGGAGGGCACGTCCTGGAGCGATTATTCGCAAGAGTTGGCGTTGTATGAGAAAGAGCTTGCCGAGGTCAGTGCAAGGCTGAGAAGGGATGAAATGCGTCGTCTCGCTACTCGGGTCGAGCGATGGGTGCAATCTCGCCTGGGCGAATCCGTTGGGCTCGAGTTCAATGCTCTTGGATCCGGCCGGGCTGGAGGTGGTGCTCCGGAAACCGGTGACAAGCCGACTGAGAAGAAGTTCTGGGACCGGGTGTGGAACGTTTTTGTTGAGACCGTCCTTGACGCCGAGAGGCGGTTTACCGACCGTGCCAGCAGCTTCGATGCCAGCCTGGAAGAGGTGGACGTCGGCCTTTGGCGACTCCGACGGAAGTCCTGGGGCGTTCTCCGAGCCAAGATTGACGAAGAAATGATCGAGGGCAACCTTCTGCTGAAGCTACGGGAGAATTTCGAGGACAAGTTCCGCTACGACGATGCTGGCGTTCCCCGGATTTGGCGGCCTACCGACGACATTGAAGGCGTGTACACCCGTGCTCGCGAATCCACCTTGACACTGATCCCTCTTTTGTCCAAATTCAAGCTGTCGGAAACTTCGGCTCCCCCGCCTCTGGACCGCTGGGTTGGACATACGCCTAGCTCTGCAACGGCCGCAGACGAGGAAGACCTGCCTCCGATTGGCGGGGTGGATGAAGAGGAAGGCAAGAGTTTGGAGGAAGAGATGACGATCCTCAGCGACTCCAAGCGGCAGGAACTGATTGTTCGATTCAAGAAGGCCGCCGACGGGGTGTATGTCGAAGCCAAGCGGAGTGCTATCGGCGGCATGACCCAGGTGCCTCTGTATTTCTATGGTATTCTCCTTGCGCTTGGCTGGAACGAGATTATTGCAGGTGAGTGCCTTTGCGTAGCATGACTGTGCACGGCGCATTCAGGAAACACAACTAACTGCTGTCTTAGTCCTTCGGAACCCTGCATATTTCTTCCTGCTGTTTGTATGCGCCGTGGCAGCCTATGTGACCTACCAGCTTAACCTGTGGGGTCCCATCTTGAAGATGACCGAGGCTGCTTCCAACCAGGCGTTAGCGGAGGGGAAGAAGCGACTACGCGAGTTCCTTGAGTCGTCGGACACTGGCAGACAGGCCATCGCCATGTCTGCTTCTGGCTCGGAACAACACGAGATGTCCCGCCTGAACAAACAGGGGAAAGCAGCGGCAAGCGATGAAGACGGGGACGACTTGTAAGCTGGTAGATGCGTCTGTGTACCTTAGTGTTTTGCATGTTATATGTACTGTCATGGCCCGAATACATACACCCGGGTAAGAAAGATAGAAAGAATTCGTATACTACTCCAGTTACCTATATTGTGATGGCGCATGGGTCGCGCACTACTCCGACGGACTTGGTCCGATGCATTTTTCTTCCCCGCCTTTCACACGACATAAATAAGTACACCCCGCAATACTACTAGTCTATCTACAATCTACATCACATCCAGACACAGCCATGTCTGCACTCAAGGACTTGCCCGCGACATACGACGATCTGCCCGACAAACGACGGTACTGGCCAGCCGCCGCAGGCTCTCGTGAGGAGGGTCTGGGTATGCTGCGCCTGCTCACACCAGATGTCGTGGCCGACGCAGCACGAACGCAAATTGTGACCGGCGAGCGTGTCTGTTTGAACTGGGATCTTCAGAAGCTGAATCCACCAGGTGCGCGCAGTGACATGACTCCATACAGACACATGAATATCACATACTCACCCAGTTCTTCTAGGGTTCGGTCGCAAACCGTTTGAACACCGCATCAAATGGGTCGCGGAGCCGATTGCATTCGACGATGAGTACCACTTTAACCCGCAACAATCGTCCCAGTGGGACGGGTTCCGGCACCACAACGCACCCGCGCCGACGCCCGAGGACAAGGACCGGCGGCTGTTCTACGGCGGGACGACCGCGGAGGAGATCCAGGACCCGAATTCGCACCGGATCGGCGTCGGCCACTGGGCGTCGAAGGGGATAGCCGGTCGCGGCGTGTTAATCGACTACCTCTCCTGGGCGGAAAAACGCGGCATCCAGGTCGACGGGCTGAGCCAGCAAGCCGTCTCCCTGGACGATGTACAGGCGATCGCGCGGGAGTGCAAGATCGACTTCCAGCCCGGCGATATCTTCTTCCTCCGCGTCGGTCTGACCAAGACCTGGGATGCGATGGACGATGCGCAGAAGGCGGCGTATAGCCAGCAGTCCATGCCAAAGCATGCGGGTATCGAGCAGAGCGAGCGCGTGCTCCGCTTCATGTGGGATAACCACTTTGCAGCGGTGGCGTCCGACGCGGTCAGCTTTGAGGTGTTTCCGCCGCTGAACCCGGAGTTTGATCTGCATCACCACCTGCTGGCGGGGTGGGGAGTGCCCATCGGGGAGATGTTCGACTTGGAGGAGCTGGCCGAGACATGTCAGCGGTTGGGGCGGTGGACGTTCTTCGTGTCGAGTAGTCCACTGAACTGTGCGAGGGGAGTGTCGAGTCCGCCCAACTGCATGGCCATCTTTTGATGGAGTTGGAGTAAGTATATACTTTCATTGTTGTGATGTTATGCACGCATTAGATAAGATATCAGCACGTGAAGCGGAGCTGCGGAGGTGAGAGCCTGATAGCCTCGGTTCTCCATCCCCAACACTTTCGCGTCTTCAACATTTCCACTCGCTTCCGTCTTATTGCGTCGTCCAGAGGCATTCCCCCGCCCTCGATCTCCCTCCGTATGGGCCTCCGTGGGGTCGCATGGTAGCCACTCCTTGGGGCAGTTGCCTGTATCTTCATCCGTGTCTGAACGTGTCACAACCGTACTCCGAACCTCTCGGAAGACAGACCTCTCCTTATCCGCCTATACTTGTCTTCTTCTCGTTCCCTTCGTGAACGCTAATATAACATCCATATATTTGGCTTCATGCGCTCCTTTATCGCCTTTGTTCCCCTAAGATAATCGCATTGTAAGACTGTTCTGAACGACCATGACCCTCACCGATTCCCTGCGCATGGAGACTCTGCGCGAGCTGCTGTCAGCCGCATCGTCAGTCCTGTCGTGGAAAGGCTTGGCCATCTTGCTGGCAATCATCAACCTCAAGAACCTTCCTTTCGTCTGGCACGTAAGTTCCCCATGGCCACGGTAGACGTGATACTCCAAGACACGAGAATAACGACAAACAGCTGCGCCTCTTCCACCATTTCGTCTGGAACATCCGATGGAAACCCAATTACCCGTACTTCCCCAAGGGCAAGCCCCTGGTCACTCATACAGGCAAACCCACCCACCCGGTGTTCGTGTCGTACAGCGTGACCTCACGCACGCCCATCAGCGAGACCGACTACAACCTGCACAAGTCGAACAGCACGTACTTCTCTGACCTGGACGTGGCGCGCACGGCGCTCGTCACGCGCATCTACAGCCCCGGTGCGGGCCTGCTCAGCAAGGAGCTGGACGCCGAGTTCGCGGCGGCCAGCCGCCGGGAAGGCAAGAAGCCGCCCGCGCGCAAGTCGCTGTACGTCGCGCTGGGGTCGGTGTACTGCAGCTTCAAGCGCGAGATCAAGCCGTTCGAGCTGTACGAGATGGAGTCCAAGGTCATCGCCTGGGACCAGAAGTGGATGTACGTGCTGACGTTTTTCGTGCGCCCCGCCACCCGCAAGGGCGGTCCGCGCACCCTCTTCGCGTCCGCCATTAGCAAGTATGTCGTCAAGAAGGGCCGCCTGACGATCGCGCCCGAGCGCGTCCTGCGTGCGAGCGGCTTTCTCCCGCCCCGTCCTGACGGTGCGGCGTCCGATGCGTCTGCCACGCTGGTCGAGTCGACGGATGTGTCTGGTGCGGCGACCCCCGCTGGTGAGGGCATCACGGCCACGGCTTCGGGGGTGGATGGATCGTTGGTGCGCCAAGTCTTGAAGATGGAGGATGGTGATATTCCCGAGAAGGAGAAGCTGGAAGCGGAGAAGAAGGTGAATTCTGACTCGTGGGATGCGCAGGAGTGGACCTGGGAGAAGATCGAGGAGGAGAGACTTCGTGGGCTGAAGTTGGTCGAGGGGTATGCTAATCTGGATACTAGTCTGATTGAGGAGTGGGAGCGGTAGATGTGGCTGCATGCGTGATACCAGGTAATGTATAGATAGATTCAAGATATACATAATGTGACATAGACCCTCGGATGTTTTAGAGTAGTATTTGATATGGTGGGGAGAACGGAGAACCAGCCCCGCAGTTATATTCTGAGCCTCTTCTGGATTAGGTACACCAAACGCCTTACATCAAACATCATCAACAGCATGAACTTGCACTGCTTCCATACCGAAATCAAAAACTCCAACTCCAAAACAGAGCAAAAAGGACCACCCACAATCACTCCGTCCAAAACAATTGCCAAACGCTAACGGCGCTCCTTTCTGATCTTCCAAGACTTGAATCCCGACCTATCGAATTCCTCAGTCCCGATTTTCGACATCTTGACAGATTCCGGGAAGAGCAGGTGGTCGAATTTGAGACAGCTCCAACCAGTAAAGGTGCTGTACACGCTTCCCTCGCAGTTCTTGTTGAAATAGACGTCCAAGTACACGCCCGGCGGGACTTCCGCGCCCAGGGCCAAGATCGGCTTGCTGGTGTCGAAGTTCGTGCAGTCGGAATGGTCCGTGGTGTCGCCCACGGTGTAAACCAGATTGCCGCATTTTGTGTCTGTGTATCCGGAGACGGACCATGGCTCGGCGGAGAGTGAGCGGGCCATGGCGATGGTCGCCGTGCTGGCGAGAGCGGTTAAGAGCAAGGGAAATTGCATGATTGCGAGGGTGGATGTGGATGAGTACGAGTTGTTCCGGTGAGGTTTTGCTTTGTGTCTGAGGCCGCGTAAGAAAGAAGACTCGAGCTCGGGGAGGCCCTGTTGCACTTTTATGTTCGAGGTTGGCGTGCATCAAGTGTTGAGACCTGGGCTCGAGGACCCGGCAGCTAATCGAATCCTCGTTGTGCATGATCTTTTGATCTATAGAGAGTCTTAGAAAGACAGTATCAGTTAGTTTCATCTTGAGCTGCTGAAAGAGTTGCTGAACAGTGAAAGGGTAATGCTGTCTCTTTCTGGGGATGCATCCAAATGACTGAGAGACGAGCGATTGCTTTGTATGTATATCAAGATGCACACTCATTATATGCACCAATACAGCGCATGGATATACTCAGATGGACGGTTCAGATCAATGACAGCGTTTTTTGATATGCATGGATACTGCATGTCAATGATCAAAGAGTGTCGTCAAGGGCATGGCAGTGTCTTTGAGGCCTGGTATAGATACCTTCCGTTTTGAGGCTTGAATAAGGTAAGTATCAATTAAGCTTATTGATTGCTAATACTAACTCAAGAGAGTGTATAAACTCTTCGTTGTGGCATGAAGGGTGTTTTGTGAAAGAAAGCGGCGTTACAAAGAATGTCTTTAGATCAATGCTCTCCCTGTCATTGTATAGAAGAACAACGACATGGAGGATGAGCGCATCGTTGCATGACGTAGCTGCCCATGTACATGTAATAGAAGTGACATTTCTTGCTAGATTATAGATCAGTTGGCGCAAAGATGTCTAGGTAGTGCTTTGAGAAGATACGTCGGGTCTTAACAATGGGGACTGGCAATATATCTTCGCTAACCATGCAAGACAAAGAAAGGCCTTCACCATTTTCTCCCTTCTCCTACTATCTCGCACAGATCATATTGTCCACGAGACAAATCTCCTCCAAGCACAGATTTAGACCTTAACTTTATTCCTTTTGCAGAGTGTAATTCCTCTGGCAAGAAATACTGTACGCGCCTTACCTAAATCTATCCGACTTTTTTTTTTTTTTTTTTTTCCCGAATGTTAACCCCGAAGATTGGGTTCATTGGACCACTTAGCTAATATGTAGATAGGCCTGAGGACTTACTTAATGATAGTTATAATCCGGTCGAAGGGTGTACTTTAAAGGATGTTAGATGGATGAAGGTTGCTTTAGGTGACGCGGAGCTGGAAGGGTTTGATAGGATAGGCGAGGATGATGAGTGGGAAAGAGTATATGAGCGTCCCCATGAGATTTGTTACTATATCTCAAGTTGGTCTAGAACCATCTTTCATTGAGTAAGACATAGCCAAGAGTGGAAACGGTTATTGTTTGCCCGTCCCATTCGTAGAAGAAACGTAGTCGATTCTCATAGTAGCACACTACATCCATTCTTCAGGCACATTTGGTCAGAATCAGGTGTCATCGCCTGGTATAGAAAGAACTTAGATACACTCATAGAAGACACGGTCAGAGAGTCTCACTAGTTAAGAACTTTTGCTGGTGAAATGTCCATCAACATTATGATGACCACGGACTGCTGATTTGAGGTGTTCTGCACTCCTCGATCACCCTCGCGACTCGTCATCGTACATGAGTGCCCGTAGAATGTGACGACCTTCTTCTCGATCCTCAGCCTTGTATATGCTTAGGCCATAGACCATGAGAAACCTGAATTCATTTCCAAATTTCGCCTTTATCCATGCCTTCTCGGCCTGTGTTGTAGTTCGAGACGATTGGGCTATTCTTACTACAGCTCGTATGGCTGTCTTTAACCTCGGAGTAGATGCTTGTAAGGCCGCAAATCTCTCACTCTCACTCTCAGGCCAGAAGACGAGGAGCGCATAGCGAGCAGACGCGTTAAAAGGCGACGGGCCAACCCGGGGGCCAACCGGGGGCCCACTGAGCCGGACTTCCCAGAACCTGACGCGGCCATACATAGGTTTGAAGTAGGCTACGGAGCGGCCATCGGAGCGGAGGGTAATAGAGCCAGAGGAAACCGAGGGATGCTTGGGAATCCCACAGTTGAGCTTATAGTCATCCTGGATAGGGCGTCCGATGAGATTGCAAAAAATGCTAGGGGCATGTAGCACGTTTCTCAAGCGGAGCGTTCCGTGCGACCTCGGACCGGTCTTGAACGGGGAAGTCTTGGTGGGGAGTTCGACACTTCCAATTCCGACTACTGGAATTATATTCCCAGACAAATCCTCTACGAAGGATTTGAAAGGGGTGTAATCGTCACCAAACCAAGAGCGATCTTTAGCGACACTAGTTCGGTTAGGTGTTTTCTTACCCAACGACCAACTGAGAACACTCCCTGAACATTCGAGTTGTTACACCAGATCCAGGAGGGAGAAGGAAGAGGGACCTGGTCTTTCGGCTGACATGACGATGTCATGGCGAGGCCAGGTACTCCGTACGTTGCAATCGGGTAGGTGGATGGATGAATCGTGGTACAGGCTCTAACTAACCAACGTGGTCGTGTTGTACCTGGAACTCTAAGGAGGTTAGGGGTAGATGACTAAGCAGGTCGATGGGTCTTCGGACAACTTTATCGGCGGCTTAATTTGGACAACAACCTCACTACGAGGTCCCACGATGTCAACTTCAACAGATTTCAGACATTGGACGCATGAAAGAAGACAGAATTCCATCTATGCGACAACCACATCCTGAGCTGGTTCTCACCAGTGTGTCTCGGTCAACAACCATCGCGAACCTTCCGGTCAAGCTAAGCAGGCCTAAGCTCCACCAGCGAGAAAGGCTTAACCTTGGAAGGTGGCCTTAGTGTCGGCGTGATTGGTACTCCGCTTCGCGTTATCAGCGCCCATATTGGCGCCACCGCCCCTCTCGCTGCTCGCCATCCAACTGTCTCATTGTTCGATTAGTCTTGTTTCCATGTCGGCTATCTCGCCCCCCGGCGTTATCATCAAAGCCTACAGAGTAATCTCGCCTGACGTTGCATCGGTCCATTTAGCACTCGACTAGTCAGAACTCCATCCATAATCCAACGAGGAGACATGTAACCCTTCCCCTGTCACGCGAGCAAGTCGCGGCGTCGCTGTTATCTGGGTGGGAGGCTGCTATTTGCATCAAGCGAGGTCAGCCAAGAACAGGATGTCTTCCTCTTTTCGTGAGCGCGCATTACACCGCGAATTCCGACGCAATCCGGAATGTCTTATTGCGTGAGAAATGCCCTCCCAGCCCCAATGACGGGGGACAGAGATGGGGACAAACACGGGTCCACGTTCAAGCAACATGTCTTGTCCCAAGATGGAGCGATCTCCGGACGGAGTACATCTAAGCGCCCGTACCCAAACTTCCATCCCCAAACATACGGGGTAGCATTGACGTTGTCAGCGTTTCGGGTTCCATCGCCCGTAGCGAACAAAGGATAGAGAATAGTAGTTCTCCTGGATCCAATAATCGTCCAGAATGAGATAGAGACGGACGGGCCCCTCAGTGCCTGTGCCGGATTTGAAACTCTGTTATAGGAGCGGAAGGATACCGTCGGACCATCATCTGATGGCTGGCAAATGAAGTGCAGCGAGAAGAGGCCAATCCCACCGTGTCAAGCTCAGTGAAGCATTTCTTAGCGCCACTTCCTTCTTCTAGTTGCACGCTAGAACCAGGAGGATGAGCGATAACATGACCTCCTCCGAGTAGTTAGATACGGAGGTCACTTCAACAAGCCATATACAATACAACCCTGGTTTGGACATGAGCTCCGGGTCTAACGTGCTGGTCTGGACCCAGTCTCCTATCAGAACCACAAGTGGGCCGTGATAGCGTGCGATCAGAGATAGTCCGTCCCTCGAGAGATCTTTTTTATTCTGCCTTGCCCCTCCTGTTGGCCTCTTTTTCTCATCACCATACACCAGCCCATTTTTGCCTCTACCGCGTCGTGGTTTCTGTCGCAACCATGAGCGACCCAGTGGACCCCTCCGATCAGGTGTATATCGCCCAGGCACATGCTAACAAGGCTTCGCTCGAGGCCCCTCTGCCTGAGAAGGAGACCGCAATTATTTCCACCGCGCCTTCAGTGCACGATGACGGTCACGAGTATCCCACTGATGAGGAATTGCGGACTCTGCGTCGGGTGGCTGGAAAGGTGCAATGGACTGCATATACCATCGCCTTTGTGGAATTGTGTGAACGCTTTTCTTATTATGGAACCACCGCTGTTTGTATGCAATGTTTCGCTGCGATTTTGATCGATCCCGTCGTTAACAGATCTAGTTGTCAATTTTATTCAGCAACCTCTCCCGGAGGGCCATCCTACAGGCGCTGGGTACTCAGGCCAATCTGGAGCTCTGGGCATGGGACAGAGAGCTTCTACCGGACTGACCACCTGTAAGTGATCCCATACCTCTGCCATCCCTCCCATCGACTGACTCCCCAGTCAACACATTCTGGTGCTATTTGATGCCAATCCTAGGCGCCTGGGTCGCCGATGAGTTCTGGGGACGACTCACGACCATCCAAGTATCGATCGGCTTTGCCATGGTTGGACATATCATTCTCATCATATCCGCTCTTCCCCCCGTTATTGCAAACCCGCACGGTGCACTGGGCTGTTTCGCCGTCGGTCTAGTGATCTTTGGGATCGGTGTCGGTGGTTTCAAGTATGGACTCATTCCAGCAGGAATTGTTCAATGCCCTAACATCGCGACAGATCGAACATTGCCCCTTTGATTGCCGAACAGCACAAGGAGACCCGGATGTTCGTTCAGACCGACCCCAAAACGGGAGAGCGGGTCATCGTCGATCCAAACCAAACCGTCACCCGTATTTTCCTCTACTTTTACTTTATGATTAATGTTGGATCCCTAATAGGCTCGATTGCCATGGTGTATGCCGAGAAGTACGTCGGATTCTGGCTTGCCTTCCTTCTGCCGACCATCATGTTCGCCTTGTGTCCGCTCGTGATCTTCCTCTGTCGCAACAAGTATGAGGTTACACCTCCGACTGGATCTGTCGCCGCCAAAGCATTCAAGCTTTGGTCGTTGGCTTTGCACGGCAGATGGTCTTGGAACCCGGTTACATTGTGAGTTCTGTACGTGGGTTGCCCTCAGCGACGAACTAATCGCCGTACAGTGTGAAGAACTGCCGGTCCGACGACTTCTGGGAAAGCGTCAAGCCGAGCAAAATGCAGAACCGACCGGAGTGGATGACCTTTGACGACCAGTGGGTGGACGAGGTGCGACGAGCCGTCAAGGCCTGCGCCGTCTTCCTTTGGTACCCGGTTTATTGTACGTCTTTCTACGCCCACCTTCCCGTCTTTCCTCTGACAGGCCAATTCAGGGCTGGCGTACGGCCAAATGACCAACAACCTCACTTCGCAGGCCGCCACCATGCAGCTGCACGGCGTGCCGAACGACATCATCAACAACCTCGACCCTTTGGCCCTCATCATTTTTCATTCCGATCATGGACCAGTTCTTCTACCCGGGTCTCCGTCGGCTTGGGATCAACTTCACCCCGCTGAAGAGAATCTGGGTCGGGTACCTGATCGCCTCTGGGGCCATGGTCTCTGCCACGGTGATCCAATATTACATTTACAAGACGAGCCCCTGTGGCGACCACCCCAGCAGCTGTGATGAGGCCGCGCCTCTCAATGTCTGGATCCAGGCGGTGCCCTATGTGCTAATTGCCTTTTCGGAGATCTTCGCCTCCATCACTGGTTACGAGTATGCCTATACGAAAGCGCCGAAGAACATGAAGAGTTTGGGTAGGTTCATTCAATGTTCATTCGACCTGTTATGTACTGCAGGAGCTAATATGTGGTAGTACAATCGCTCTTCCTCTTTATGAACGCAATCTCCTCCGCCATCCAACAGGCCCTGACGTCGTTGTCGGCGGACCCTCTTCTCTTGTGGAACTACGGGTTCGTGGCTGTTCTGGCCTTTGTCGGTGGAAACCTCTTCTACCTTGCCCACTACAAGCTGGACAAACAGGAGGACGAGCTCAACAAGCTGGAGGCGTCGACGTACTTGGGCCGTCATCCGCAGCCGCGGAATGAGAAGACGGATCCTGAGCAGTAGAGTTGGAGGTGGTATTTGCCGGGTGGATGAACTGTATGATTTACGGGAACGCATAGTATCTGAATGACAGACACTCGTCCACAGCTGAGGAGTCGAACCATAACAAAGCACATCATTAATTGTATGCAGAGAAGAGAGTCTGTAGGGATAGTAACATAAGTATACACGGGGAATGGCAGCAGACACTGTACCCTGCCACCCGACACATGCCGGAAGAAGGTAAAATAAGATGAAAACGCCATTCACCAAGCAAAATGCACACCAAAACAGAAGCACAGGTACTTTTCATACCCAGGACTATCAAAGCCAGCATGATGACCCATTCCACCACCGTCTATAGTATATCCACCGCGCACACATCTACTGCTTCTTCTCGCTCTCCGCCTCCTTCTCCGCAGCAGGAGCATCCTTCTCCGCAGCCCCGTGCTTGCCCTGGTCGTGATGATCATACAGCGACACATGCTTCTTCTTCAGACGCTCCTCCTCAGCGGCAACCATATCCTTCCACAGATCGCCGCCCTGGTTCTCCTCCACGGCGGGCGTAGCCTGCACGTTCTGCGCCTGCGGCGCCCCATCAACCGGCTTCGGCGCATCCAGGATGCCCTTCCCCTTCTTCTGGTCGGAGATCTCAAACGCCGCCGACGCCACCAGCACGGCGAGCGTCAAGCCCTGCGCATACACACGCGCCTGGACGATCTTCTGCTGGCCGGACAGGTACGGGTTGCGGCCGACAAGCACAAACGACCCGATCATGGAGGCGACCCATGTGGCGCCGACGATCTTGTACTTCTCGCGGCGCGCCCAGATCAGCGCCCGGTCGATGAACGACATCCCCGCCACCTCCGAGTGCCGCAGCCGCTGCTCGCGGTCCTCGTACCACTGCAGCTGCTGGTTGCGCTCCGCCTCGAACGCCCGCGACGAGCTGTCCGCCGCCACAATCCCCACAAACGTCCCCGTCGACGTCACCAGGAACGCCTTCATTGGGAGCGTCAGGTTGCGGATCGTGTGGTAGCGTCGTGCCGCCGCCATCACGCCGGCCAGTCCGCCTACCAGCCCCAGCATTCCGCCGATCGTGCCGCCTTTGACTACCTGTCTGGGGGCATGTTAGCTGGTTGGTATTCTCTTGGGAGTGTCGGGGGTCCGGAACATACCGGTAGTGGGCGTCTTCTTCTTCCTTGGTGAGGAGCTTCATTGTGAATTGGAATTAGGGGTTTTATTAAATTTTATGAAACAGGTGAAACGAGATGCGTGAGATGGAGAGGCAATGGAGAAGGGAGAGGGAAGGAGGCTATAAGAAAAAGCAGAGATAGCAAAGCCCGGTGACGTACGATATGCGGGAATCCCGCCTCGGGCTGCATCGGCCCACGCTCGGTCATGGCCGTAATAGGCTAGGGATGCTGAGTCAGCAACAGCTCTCGCACGAGATGTTGAGTCAGCGGATTACATCATCTACAGGCGTTTGCATTCCCAAAGGAGAAAAGGCTTCCGATTGATATGGTTTGATGCCTGCATATACTAAGTACTGTCCCGACTAAACATGGCCAAATAAAACAACAGGAGAAAATATGCATCGGTCCTTCCCAAGTATCCCATCCCAGATGAAGTCGAGTTGATAAAGCATAAAAAAAAGTGACAAAGAGCGTGTCTATTTGCGCGATCCCTTCTGCGCTGCAATCTGTCGCGCCCGCATGCGTCGGAATCGATCTTCTCCGCTGGCACCCAACGGACGGGCGAATTTGCTCTCCTGCACGACAGTCGGTCGAGGAACCACGGTGTAGCTGGTATGAGTCATGTCTGCGCGCGCACGGTTGGCCAGACGAGGCGGAAGCAGTTCTCGAGCCCGAGCTTCCGCCGCTGTGACCTGTGCCGATGCCGCGGGGCGTGTAGCAAGTTTCCTAGGAAAGTCAGATGAAGCGTAAAGCAACGATAGAGTAGGACATACCGAGGATCGAATTCGGCCTCTTGGTAGACCCGCTTGGAATAGTCATCACTGCGCTGGAGAATCGGGCGCGTCCACTCGGCAAGAAGACGCTCTGCCATGCGCTTGATGCCGGGCTCGGGGCGCTTGCTCCTGGTGTAGAACACAATCACCTTACCGATACCGCTGGCGATCAGGGCCTCCTTGTTGATCGGGAGCTTGGATAACGAGGTCATGAGATCCCGCTGGATATTGTATGCCGGCAGCGAGCCATCATCCAGTGGCTCCAGGAAGAACTTGACGGCTTCAAGCAGGTTGATTTCCGGATCCACCAAGCTGTTCACATATTGGTTCCGGTTGAGCAACGAGACCACTTCTGGCAGCATCTTGAGCTTGTGCATGGCGGGCTTGCCTTCCCGGCGGTTGATCGCATCCATCTGAGCCGCATGGGTCATGCGCTTGCGCATATCTTCGATCTCGGCATCGGCCATTTGTTCCAAATCCTATGTTTTATTAGCGCAAGTCCTCGTATCCACAGGCAGAGCAACACATACAATTCCATCCGCCTTGCGGAACCGTCTCTTCGTGGGTTTCTTCAGAGCTTCATCCATAGCACGGTCAAGCGCCCGACGACGACCTAGAATCTTGTCAGTCCGAGTCCCACCACAGAACGCCTGCAGATCACATACGCGTTTCAGGATCCAGCAATTCCTCATCTTCTGGCGTCGCCTCTCTTCTCTTCTTGCGATCCTTCTTGCGCGACCGACCCTCGTCATCACTACCCGCATCCTCCAATTCTCTCATGCGCCGGCTCTTCTTCTCCCGTCTGCCTTCACGCTTCCGTTGCGATCGCTCGCCATCGGCTTCATCACCCGTGCGCTTGCGCTTATGCCGACCAATCAACTTCAAGTTATCCTCGTCAATAGCCAACTGAGGCCGATCCTCGATATCGACGTTCTCGGGATCGAAGTCTTCGAACTGCGCTTCGTCAACTTCCGACAATATGGATTCATCGTCTGACTCTCCATCGCCTTTCTCTTCATCTTCGTTTCCTTCAGCGGCTTGTTCGTCGTCATTTGCGGCTGGGGATTGAGATTCGGCCGCCACGGCGGGCGTCTCCCCTTGTCCTTCGTCTTCGTCCCCGGCGCCAGGAGTCGGGGCCTGAGCCGGCTCTTCAGACTGGTCGGCCTCCACGTGGGGGTCTGCGACGGTGTCCGGTTTCGGTTCGGGGCTGGCAGACATTGTGTGTGATGAGAAGAATCCTTAGTAGATGTGGTGTAAGAGGGAGTGATCGGAGCTCAGACGCTCCACGCTCTACGCTTGGCGTGAAGCGATTTCAAAGAACCGAGCGGAAACAATGGTGTTATATGATGGAAATGAAGACGCGACGGCTTGTAGATGGCGACTGTAAGGAGTAAAGGGTGGGATTTGAGATTGTGAGAGAGATGGATGGGGAGGCAGGTAGACAGAGTGACGAGGTCGTGGTCGTCCAGAGAAATTCCGCCTCCGCGGTGGTCTGTGCTCGGCAGAATAATCTCCTTCCATTCATCATCCGCTCATCCATCCATCATTCTTACTCCAACTCCCTTCTGTCACCACCTTCTGTTACTCTCTCATTCCCTTGCACTTCACATCCACAATGTTCGCTCCCGGTGAGTTGTCCTCCCCTTCTCCAGGCGTCTCTCAAGACCCCGATCTAATGCCATCCAGGCCAGGAACAGCTCTCCCGCGAGGAAATCAAGGTAATACTACCTTCGCCCGACAATCTTCCGATCCAATTTCTCGAACCACTACGATCGCTATTACGAGCACTGCTAACTGTCGCAGGCTGGTGAGGCTCAGGCCAACCAGACCGTCAACATGGCCATCGCCGGCGGTATCCTTCTTTACCTCTGTACGACACCGATTCCACCCAACGGAGTCCTCCTATACTGACTGGATCAGCTCCCTTCGCCGTCGATTTCGTCAAGAAGTTCCTTTAAATCGCTACATTACGCCGACATCCCGATGGAATACATCAGACGGTGTCATGTCTCTTCTCACACCTCGCCATGAGGGCAGTTGTATTATTATTGTACATGCGAAGGCTCGGATAGAAAGGGAAAAATAAGACGCAATGTGGTTTTAATTTATATTTTGGTTCAAGGAGTCAACCGAGGCAAAAATACTCATGCAAAATACCGGCTCCAAAAACTCCTTGCTCCCAACGTCAACCATAAGATAAAGATCCCCCAAGGTTGAAGACTATATGCAGAAGATCCGTTAATGATCCAACCCGCCTTGGAGCTTCTCGGCTTCTTCGAAATCCTTCTTCACCGCTACCAGCTCCTTTTGCAGGTGCTGGATCTGGGCATGGTAGTCATCCAGGATCTAGACCATATTAGCATCAACCGTGCATAAATTGGGGCCGTAAGCATGAAACGTACCTTCTTAGCAGCCTTCATCGTGGTCTCGTCCAGCTCATCCTCGGCCTGCGCCGCGGCGCTCGGTCCAGCCCGCTCAATCTCCAACTGTAGGCGTTTCGACTGCTCCCGGATCGCAAGCATTCGAGCCCAGATCTCCTCCGCGCGACCATTCAACGACGGATCGAAGACAGAACGCTCCAGTTGAGCAAGCTTCTTCTTCAATTCCTCTTCTGCATCGTCCATCGCATAACCCCGGTTCCGCAGGACCTGCGTCTTGGCGGCGAGAGCCAAACAGCGCTTGCTCAGCACCAGATGCTTGCGGCGACAATCGGCAATCTTGACCGAGATCTTCAGGTCATGGCGAGATAGCAAGTCGGACAGACAGTTGTTGATCTCGTGGAGGCGAGTCTGCATCATCGTGAGGAAGTCCTTCTGGCGCTGCGCTCGCTTGCCCAGCTCCCAGAATCCCTTCACCAAGACGGGCACGTAGCCTGGGCCCGGCCTCTTCCGCAGCGCGTCCTCCCATTTAGTTTCGTCGTCTTCGGGTCCGGGTTGATAGAACGGAGCGTTGTCCTCGCCGACGTTGTTGTACAGGTACGTGCGGAATGGAGAGGCGCGGTTCGCAGCATCCCACTTATCCTTGACGATTTGCATCTGCATCGGGACCGTTCGGTGCACTAATTTCGTCAGCTGCGCTCTCACCCAGGTACGCGGTCAGCGACGGCGCCCAGTAAAGGAAAGTCTTACCTCCAGTGACGGCACGACCAGGGGACCAAAGACTCGATCCCGGCTGCTGCGTCGTGGTCTGGCCCAGTTGCGGCTGTTGTTGAGCCTGCTGCTGTTGTTGCTGACCTCCGAGGAGGGATCCCCCAAAGAGACTCTGTTGCTGCTGCGGTTGCTGCGGTTGAGTCTGACCCAGTCCACCAAAGAGGCCCCCACCCTGCTGTTGCGTCGTTTGTTGCTGTCCACCACCTAAGGTGCTTCCGAAAAGGCCTCCGCCTTGAGGTTTCTGCTGTCCCAAGGTACCCCCAAACAGCCCACCACCCGTCTGTTGCTGTTGAGGCTGTTGCTGTGTCTGCGTCTGGCCGAGCCCACCGCCGAAAAGACCCCCGCCGGTCTGGGGTTTCTGCTGGGTTGTCGATCCGAAGAGACCACCGGTTTGCGGCTGATTCTGCGTCGTAGTCGTTGTGCTGCCGAAAAGCCCGCCGGTCTGCTGGGGCTGCGACGTCGCGGTGGAAGAACCGAACAGTCCACCACCCGTCGAGCCCTGCTGGTTCTGCGTGGAGCCGAATAAGCCCCCTCCACTCTGCTGGTTGCCGGAGGTATTGGAGCCAAAGAGACCACCGCCGCTGGTGCCGCCGCCAAAGGGGCTGGGTTTATTTGCGGTCGAGCCAAACAGGCCGCCGGACTGCGATTGGTTTCCAAATAGAGACATGGCGAAGAGAAGCGGTGTGAGATTGGCGCAGGGAGGAGGGAATCGAGGTGTACGGAGGAGGATGAAGAAAACGCAATGTTATTCTTCAATCGCAACGGAGGTCGCGAAAATTAGGAGTAGAAGCTCCCGCCGGACGTGTCGGGGGAAAGGAGCCGTCGAACCGTCGATCTAGAAACCAAGCAGATCTAGTGGTTCATTATGGGACAGCAGGGTCTTGGGAGGATGTCACTGTTTGTCTGTGATCCGGGTGTTGAACAATAATGGAAGCTCCTGCAGTGACTTTGTTTTTCGCCGGCTCGTCACGTGAGAGCTCCAGCTCCACAACATTCCTTAGAGCATCTCTCCCACTTCCTCTCTCAACTTCACGAGATTACAGACAATCAACATGGAGGCAATTCCCTCGCTTGATGATGTATGAGCGAATTGACTGGTGCATTGTCACTCTAGACCGAAGCCTCATTGTAGAGGGTCTCGTTTCGATTGCAACCGTGTCACTTATTCAGTACCTCTTGAGATTTCTATACATCGATAATCTTGAGCTTGTATCGACGGGATTTGTGACCTGCTCTAGCTTTGCCGAAAACATGGTCCACTTGCTACATTGCATAACATACGTACTTCATGTTCCATTCGATTTGTGGTGGTAGTTGCAACAGGGAATACGTGCGGTAACTGGTAAAAACATCTGGACACAGCCTGTCGTGCCCTGACTGCCTTCTTTTCATCTTACTAAGGTGTAGTTCGACTCTAGCTGTATAAGTAGTCTATGCTTGATTGTTTTTTCGCTTCGAATTAGAGTAGATAATGGAGTTAATTAATATCAGGGTCGGTATAGGCGGTCACCTGACAAGTCCCATTTGACCACCATCTTACTCCGTACACTCTCCAAAACTCCCCTCCTTCACTGCCATCGCATCGGCTCGTGAAATTAGACTTAATAACAGACAGTCCTCTATCTCCTTCTTTGATTAGAGTCTTGGTCGTCGCGACAATGTCCGATACCCAAATAAAGTGCTGTGGGACCGATTGCGATAATGAAGCTGGGACCCTACAATGCCCGACGTGTCTGAAGCTGGGTGTCAAAGGCAGTTACTTTTGCTCTCAAGACTGTTTCAAGAAGAATTGGGTAGATCACATCCGCGCAGACACCACTCATCGCTGAGCAACTCATTCTGATTATCGCCAGACCGCACACAAGGCAATGATGCACAAAACACAAAAGAGTAACCACCTCTTCCGGGTGGCATACGTAAGCTCGCTAATCACGACACAGCGAGTGGACTTTATAATCCCTTTCCAACATACCCCTTCACGGGCTCTGTCAGACCTGTATACCCACTCTCCCCCCGACGATCTGTCCCCAAGACGATCAGGCATCCCGATTGGGCCGAAACGGGCATTCCAAGGCGTGAGATGCGCTTGAGCAGATCGAAATGGGAGCTCTTGGATGCCAAAGGTCAAGAGGCCATGCGCAAGGTGTGCCGGTTGGCTCGAGAAGTCCTTGACATAACCGCTGCAGCGGTGAAGCCCGGCGTGACCACGGATTACTTGGACGAGGTCTGCCACAACGCTTGCATCGAGCGAGAGGTGAGTGGGAGTCACTTTCTGAAACATGTCCAGCCGTTCACTAAAAATTGAGCAGTCATATCCTTCTCCACTCAACTACAGCCACTTTCCCAAGTCGATATGTACATCTGCGAATGAGGTTGTCTGCCACGGCATCCCTGATCAACGAGTGCTTCTCGATGGCGACATTCTCAACCTGGACGTTTCCCTGTACCACGGCGGATATCATGCCGACCTGAACGAGACCTACTACGTTGGGGACAAGGCCAAAGCGGATCCGGACTCGGTCCGACTGGTCGAAACGACACGGCAGGCCTTGGACATGGCCATTGAGATAGTCAAACCGGGGGTCCCAATTCGAGAGTTTGGCAAGATCATCGAGAAGCATGCAGCGTCGAGGGGGCTTGTCGTCATTAAGACTTGGGGCGGCCACGGGATCAACTCGGAATTCCATCCTCCACCGTGGATCCCCCACTACGCGAAGAACAAGGCTGTGGGCACATGCAAGCCGGGGATGACATTCACGATTGAACCGATCCTGACTTTGGGCGCCAACCGAGAAAAATACTGGCCAGATGACTGGACAAATGTGACGGTGGACGGCAAGCGGACGGCACAATTCGGTGCGTAGACCGTTCAGGGGCAGTTGCAGACCCCAGATACTAACTTGGATTGGTAGAGCATACTCTGCTTGTCACAGAAACAGGCGTTGAGGTCTTGACGGCCAGACTAGAGAACTCTCCAGGGGGCCCAATCCCCATCCCGGAGGTTGCAAACGGAGATGCAAATGGGAAGGAAGAATAAGGATGAGGGTCAATCTTTTGTCCGCAGATCTACGGACTCGTGCTTTTGGAGCTGGCCAAATTATCAAAGGGCCAAAGAAAAGAGACCGGCCGTAGTCTACGACACTTAAGCACTACTAGATGGCGCCGACCTAAGTGCGCATGGCAGAGAAGTCCCAGACCTTCCCGCTGGGTCTTGTGCTGGATGAGCTATGAGAAGATGTGGGTGCTGTCAACCCTGCAGACAAGATCAGGACTGGAGAGTTCTCCAGGAACCGAGGCTTATAGGCAGTTTACGGGCTTCGGCGATTTAAGGGAAGTCGTTGAACGTAGTTGCTAGACTATGCGCACAAAGAGATGGGCTAAGCAGCTCACAGCACGTATACTACTGCCTATGTACTGCCTAAAGTGGCGTCCTGAAGAGAAAGTCTAAAAGAACCTACAATACATCTACTGTCGAGGGGATCTATCGCCTTGTGTTTCTCGTGTACTCTCTGTTCATTCCTCGTCTACTGCAGCATGGACTGGTAGCGCCGGTTCTGTGCAACAATCGTCATTCATCACAGTCCTCTGCGTTTCACCTCGTCTTCTGTTTCTCTGTCCATATCTCCCATGTCTCACTTGCAATCAAATCGACGCCACATCAACAGGCATCCTCATTTCAAGACCACCAGAGCATCCTCGGACTCCCAGACATCCCCCAACAACACCCTCATTGACCTGCACACACAAAAATGCGATTATCCACTTCATTGTTGCTCGCGCTCTGTTCGCGCCTTGTCCTCGCCACCCGACTGATCGAGTCCAAAGCCCTCAGCCTCTGTTCCAACCATGCAGGCATCACCTCCACCCGCTTCAGCGTCGTTTTCACCCCCCAGAACCAGTCTCTTGCGTTGAGCTTTGATGGCATCTCCTCGCTGTCCGGCAGGGTAACCGCCGAACTGATCCTCACCGTCTATGGTTACACCGCGCTGCGACGGGTGCTGGATCCCTGCAATATGGGTCTGGAGGGACTCTGTCCGCTGCATGCGGGCGCCTTTCCAGTGATGACCACCACGATCAAGCTGCCGCAATCGGTCGTGAACCAAATCCCAGGTCACTCCTCCCACGCGATTGGACTCCTCCATCTCTGACAGCTTCTCAGGAATTGCATACACAGTCCCCGATCTCGACGCCTCGGTCCGCGTCTTCATCAACTCGACAGAGACCGGCAACAGCCTCAGCTGCATCGAGGCGGCGCTCTCCAACGGCAAGACCGTCTACCAGCCAGGCGTGGGCTGGACCACCGCCGTGATCTCCGGGCTGGGCGTGGCGGTATCGGCCGTGACCTCGGGCATGGGACACTCCAAGACGGCCACCCATATCGCGACAAACGTGCTGGCGCTCTTCGGGTTCATGCAGTCCCAGGCGATGTTCGGGATGACCGCGGTGCATATGCCGCCGATTGTGCAGTCGTGGACGCAGAACTTCCAATGGAGCATGGGCATCATCCGCGTCGGCTTCCTCGAGACCCTCGCCACATGGTACCAGCGCTCGACCGGCGGCGTGCCGTCGACCGTGCTGGCGAACCTCTCCCGCACATCGATCCACGTCCGCAAAAGGGATGCGCCGACTAGTATAGCGCTGCTGAAACGAGCCGCCTACACCAGCGGAAGCCGCAACCCCACCGTCGTCCGCGGCATCCAGCGCGTCGGGTTCCGCGCGCACATCGAGCTCACCAACATCTTCCTGACGGGCCTGGCCTTCTTCATCGCCTTTGTCATCATCGTCATGCTGCTGGTCGCACTGTGCAGGGTGGTCGTGTCCGTGCTCGCAAAATCAGGCAAGATCCGCACGGACCGGTTCAAGGACGTGGACTGGTCGCAGTCCGCAAAGGGCATCCTGTTCCGGCTCGTCTTCATCGGCTTCCCGCAGATGTGCGTCCTGTGTCTGTGGGAGCTGACGCAGAACGACTCGCCCGCCGAGATGCTCCTCGCGGCGGTCATGCTGTTGAGCTGCGCGGTGGTGGTGGGCTTCGCGGTGCAGCAGGTCGTCACGCGCGCGCGCCAGTCGGTCACTGCAAGCAACAACCCAGCGTACCTGCTGTACTCGGACGCCGGTTGCCTCGCGAAATGGGGCATTCTGTACACGCAGTACCGCGCAACGGCCTACCTGTTTATCGGCGTCGTGCTCGCGCACACCGTCACCAAGAGCCTCTTCATCAGTCTGAGCCAGCCGGCGCCGGTGGTGCAGACCGTGGCGCTGTTGATCATCGAGGCGAGCATGCTGGTCGTCGCGGGCATCGTGCGGCCGTGGATGAACCGCAAGACGAACGTGTGCTGCATCGCCATCGCCGTCGTCAACCTGCTGAACGCCGTCTTCCTGCTGATCTTCTCCGCCGTCTTCGACCAGCCGCCCATCATCTCCGGCGTCATGGGCGTCGTCTTCTTCGTCTACAACGCCGCTTGCACCCTCATCCTCCTCCTCGTGGTGCTCGTGGCTTCCGCCTACGCCCTCGCGTCAAAGAACCCCGATACCCGCTACCAGCCCATGCGCGACGACCGCGGGTCTTTCCTGCGCTCGTGCAGCAACGTTCAATTGACGACTGAGCTGGACGCTCTCGGTGTCACCGCCCGCGGCGACGTCAAGGCAGCCTATCCCGTCGCCCGCGTAGACGGTCGACCGGATTCGTTCACCAAGAGCGAGCCACAACTTCCGCCTCGTCCACAGGACGAGATGCTGCCACCGTTGCCTTCGTCATCAGACCTGTCGGTGCCACTATTCCCCAGCGAAACCGGACTGAGCCCGCTCAGCGCGTTAAGCCAGGACGCTCGCGCACGTCGGTCGCCGTCCATTCTCCGCGGCGACAGTCCGGCGACGGTCAACTCGCGCACCGCGCTGGCGGACACGCGGCAGCAGAACAGCGCGAGCCCATGGCAGCGGGGCGCGGGCTACGAGTAGCAGATATAATGAATAATGTAATTTAGGAAGAATTGCATAGTTGATGTTGTAAGAACATAGGGACCTATTCTGTAGAGCGGAAGGATAGTAGAATGCCTCAGGCAAACGCTGACTAACAACTAGCCAATCACACGCCCCCAAAAACCATTGCAGGACCTCGTCGGAACCTCATTCGGTTCAGCCATCACCATCACCTCCACGCCTACTACACCACCCCCCGTCGTCTCCTCTCGTCGTCTACCGACCACCCAGCACGATGTCGCGCCGCGAACCTCAGTACGTGCCCAATTGACCCATTGCGAGCTTGGTGTGCCGCGTCCATTGCAGCCTCCTACCTACGGTCCCGAGGAAGCACATGGGAGTGCCTGCACAGGGCTGCACAGGACAATGGACCAGACAAACACCCAGAATCCGCATTGCTGACCAGACCAGGTTCAACCAGCAAGTCCTCGTGGACACCACGCCCATGCCGGCGGACATCCCGCGCGTGACCGAGATTGGCGCGACGTCGGCGCCGCTGACCAGCGCGGCGTACTTCATCGGCGACCGGTGCAAGGCCTTCAACGACGACTTTATGAAGTGCAAGGCCGAGTCGAACGGCCGCGGCGAGTTCGACTGTCTCAAGGAGGGGCGGAAGGTGACGCGGTGTGCGGCGTCTGTGTACGTTCACCCTTTTCCATTTCCATCGCCCCGGAGCTGGAGCTTTCCACGGTAGGGGAACAGGGCGCAGGGCTAACGACACCAGCATCAAAGATATCAACGCCAACTGCCTGAAACAATTCACCGCCCACTGGGAGTGTCTCGAGAACAACAACCACCACCTGTGGGAGTGCCGGAAGCAGGAGATGGAGCTGAACAACTGTGTTTTTGAGAAGCTGGTATTTCTATTTCCCTTTCTCTGGCTCCGAATTCGTTGGGCGGATTGTGTACTGACTGCTTCTGCAGGGCCTCAAGAAGACCATCCCCGGCGCCCCCGAGAACCAGACGCCCGTGCATCTGCGCCCCAAGCAGACCTTTGCGCAGTACCCGGGTCCTCAGTGGTAGATGCGGCCGTGCTCGAAAACGGAAGGGCTTTGTTTGTGTTTGTCAGTTTGTACGTGTATATACATTAGCATGGAATCGATGTTCTCATTATGCAGTCTGGTTCTTCGGTTATTGCACGAGTAGAATGATTAGTATATGCTACTCTACCTCTACCCAACACCAACAGCGTATGCATGACAAAGGAGACGTGACGAGCGACATGACAAAAAAAAATCTAATATATACGAAGAATCAAATCATCCGAATCACGGGAAAATGTACACCTTCGGAACCCGTCGAAGGCCCTTCAACTTGGCCAGCCGTGTCTTCACCTCGGCCCATCCCACCTTGAGCTTCTCCTCCAGCCGGCGGTCGCCGCGCACCCGCATCCAGATCAGCAGCATGCTCAGCACCGCCAGGTCCCAGATGATCTGCCGGAACGTCACCCACACCAGCCACTTGAGCCACGCCCACAGGCTGGACCGCCGCCGGTGCGCCAGCGCGCGCGCCTCCATCTGCTCCCGCACCGCCGCAATCTCCGCCGTCATCTTGGTCAAGGCCTGCTCGACCCGTCGCCGCCACCGCCGGTTGTCCCCGTCGGACGGGTGGTGCGACGACGACGATGGGGGCGGAGGATGTCGGGCTGGGTCGTGCGGTCGTCGCCCGCGCGATACGTCGTCGTCGGCGGCGGAGGCGGAGGCGGAGGCGGCATCGCGCTCCTGCTCGTACGACCGGTTCTCGTGGTCTTCGTCGTCGTCGTAAAGGGTGTCCTGAGCCTCGGCATACTCCTCATCCTCGTCTTCCTCCAGCTCCTCATCCACCGCCTCGTCGTCGCCCAGCTCCGACCGGTGCCGCTGGTACATCTCGTCCGGCTGGCTGACGGGGCTGAGTACGCGCAGCCGCGAGTCGCCGCGCCCGCCGCCCGCCGCGACGGCCACCATGTGCTCATAGTCGGCGGTGGACGAGCGGGCCAGACGGCCGCCGATGCTGGCGTAGGGGTAGGTTTGCTGGGAGAGCGGCGGCACGCCGACGGGGCGCAGCGGACTGGAGCCGGAGGAGGTAGAGGAGGTGTTGGATTTGATCTGGTCCCAGACGAACTCCAGCTCGGCGACGAGTTCGCGGGCCTCGGGGGTTTGCGACGCATAGCGGTGCATGGTCTCGATGAGCGTGGAGATGTAGCGGCGTTTGGCTTCGGTGCGGGAGAGGCCGCTCTGCGCGTACCATGCGTCCCTGCGAGTAGTTATCGTGTTAGAGGAAGTTCGGAGGAAATAATGGCATCCCAGCTTACCACTTCTCGCACTCCGCGTACACGTCGGCCGTGTTCCCGACCGGTCGGTCCATCACCCCCTCCACATCCCCCTCTGCACTGTATCAGCGACTATTCATGCTATCCGCGAGTCTGCGGCAGACGTACCCATGCTCTGTTTGTAGAGGCCATAGAGTTTGAGGCGCTCCGACGCCGGAGGGCGGGCGGTGCCGGTGCGCGGGGATGCGTTTTGACGGTGTTGAGAGCGTGGACAAAGACGCCGATCTGGGGAGGTTAGGTAGGCAGATCAATGAGTCGGCTGCGACGACTTACCCCAGAGTCCGACCTGGCGAGATCAGAAGAAGCCTAGAGTGGCGCGTGCTTCATCCGAAGATGGGACCCTCATCGATGTCTCGCTCTCAACCGGCCGATCAGATGCTGAGATATGGCGAGCGAACATTCAAGGACCGGTCGAATGCAGATGGACGAGAGGATTATATGCGAGGGAATGGCTGCGATGGAAAGGGGCGAAGGGAGGCGAGGGAGGGACTCGGAAGCTTCCCCAGATTCGGCCTTGTTGGGGCAATCGTCCAGGTAAGGTGTAATTGGAGAGAGGGGCGGATAGACAGACGACAGGAAGAGGATTAAGAAGAGTATTAGCTTATGGATGATATTGGACGACTGCGTAATGGAGTGGGAAGTAGTGTGGTGGCAGTCGTGAAGTAGTGAAGTGGAGGATAGCGGAGAGCGATGAACCGCGGCTCTCGGAGGTCTCCTGAGGTTCCTGCGTCCCCTGTGATCAGCCATGTGGTATAGTGACTATACCATATTATAATACTACATTATGCATTATATTGAAATATATATTCTAGGTAATCAATGGCGTCAAGATAATTCCTATGTACTACTCAATATACAGCAATATACACTCCATCACAATTACACGACTATTTCTTCATCTCCACCACATCATCCCCCGTCTCGGGATCCCCCACGGCCTTCCCCGTCATCACCCCCGTCAGATCCATCTCGTCGCTCGACACGGGGGGCCCGGTGAAATGCTTCCGCGCATACACCACATACCACGTCACGCTGATCGCCGCGAACCCGGCAAACACCACACTGGCGTAGTTCATCGACTCCGCGGTGACCGGCAGCGACACGGGCATGCAGAACAGCGCCACCGCCAGCACGATCCAGCACACCGTCAGGATGTTGATCGCGTAGCCAAAGCGCCCCAGCGAAAAGCTCGACTCGCGCACCGCCTGCCGCCGCCGCAGCACGTTGATAAAAATCGGCACTCCGTACGACGTGCTCAGGCAGATGGTCGCCACCCCCGTGAACGAGTTGAACGCCGCCGTCGACCCAAAGTAGATCAGCCCCAGCAGGCAGTCCACCACTGTCGAGAGTATCACCGCCCACACCGGCACATCCAGCCGCGTGTTGACCTTGCGCCAGAGCCGGAAGCCCGGGATGGCCCCGTCGCGCGCAAAGGCGTAGGTGCATCGGCTGGCGGCCGTCAGCGCGCCGATGCCCGCAAACATCAGAATGCCCAGGATCAGGAACAGCAGGCCGAAGCCGCCGCCGGCCGAGCCCGTTGCCGTCTTGAAGATGAGCCCGATGGGCTGCCCGCTCGCGACGCTCAGCAGCGTCTTCACGTTCGGCAGCACGAACAGGATCGGGATCAGGTACACCAGCCCGGTCACCCCGGCGGCGACCACGGACAGCACGATGGCCTTGGGCACCTCGCGGTGCGGGTTCTGCACCTCCTCACACATGGCGGCCACCATGCCGTATCCGGTCAGCGTGTAGGCGGCCTGCAGCAATCCGACGAAAAAGGCCCATCCGGACGGCCTGCGATAGTCAGCGACGGATCTGTATGGGAACGGATGGGACTGACCAGCCGCTTTGGGATGCATCGTAGTGGCCAAAGACAAAGGCGGCGTCGCGCCGCTCGTCGGCCATGGTCAGGAGGGTGACGAGGATGATGATGACGCTGGCGGCGGTCCAGTAGATGCAGACCTTGTTGATCAAATCCAGCCACTTGGAGCAGAAGATGTTGACGAGGGCGCAGAACAGAATGACGGCCCAGAACATGAGGATGGTCTGCCAGGCGTTGGCGACAAAGTCCTCGTTCCACAGGGAAATGGCACTGAGAATCAATTGGCCGCCGGAGAAGGTGATACTCAGGGTCACGGTCCAATTGCCCACGAGGGTCAACCAGCCGTCGATGAAGGACATCATAGGGGCCCATTCCTTAGTAGACAGCATAGCGCTCCAGTAGTAGACTCCGCCGGCGGTTGGGTATACGGCGCAGATCTCGGCGAGGGAGGCGGCGATAGCGATGGAGATAAGGGTGACCAGGACCCAACCCCAGATGATACTGACGGATTGGCCGTCGGTCAGGGTGATGTAGAGGGTGGTGCTGAGGCCGAAGGGGGCAGCCATGATGGCGAAGGAGCTGAGCGGTTAGTCGGGGCCACGGCAAGAGGGAGGGGAATACGAACAGACCGAGAATGCTGAGCATGCTCAGATTTCGGGGGAGTTCACTTTTGTAGCCCATACGGGCCAACGCCTCGTCGGCGTTGGCGTCGGAGGACGGACGCATGGTGGTTGCGGGTAGGGGGTGGTCAGAGAGCACTACTGCATATCTGGGAGGGAGAGGGAGAGTAGAATAGGAGAGGAGAGTCGAAGAAATATGTACGAGACGAGAGAAGAGAGGAGAGGAGAGTAGAAGTAGGGAAGAGGAAGAGGGGAAGAGGTGAGGCTTGAGACAGCTTATCACGAGGCCGCAACCCTAACGTCGGCTTCCTTTGCGTTCGTATCTAACTAACTTAACTATGTAACTCCAATGCGATCCCCGCATGATAACATAAGATAATCCTCGGCGGTCTCGGAGCGCGCTGATAACCTTCCTCCCCCTTATCACCCAATTATCTAATGCGCCGGGCTATCAGACGCGGGAATGCTCCACGACGACCCAGTCCGACCCCGGATTCTGTCCGACTCTGCGGAATCTTCTAACCGCCAGACAATCCTACAGTGTGTATATGTACTATAATGCGGAGAATGCGCTTCTGTTCTGCAGGGTTTCAACCGCCACCATGAGCTCATCAGCCAAGACTCTAGCTCTGTCAGGAGGCCAGGGGGTCGGCGGTATTAAGCCTTTGCACATGCAGGGCATCAGTGCAACCAAAGCATCGCTGTCCCTGTACCGTGGACCACACACGAGTCCAACCAGATGTCATTCGAATGGATTCATACTTCCTTATCCATACGTCCAGAATGTTCCGGGCGCTCCGTGTGATAGCTGACCATGCAGCTCCTCAAAGCCAGATCCGAGCAGATCGATCGTGTAACATGTCCAACGAACAACATCCTGGAGTCCCACTATGAAGCCCTCTTACTAACCAAATGCATCTCCCCTTACTCTTACTCCAGCCATTCCAAGTCTCCCTAGACATCCCCCGTCCCAAGGAATCAGGCTGTAAGGGATTCTACAATTAATCAGGAAACTCACAGACTCGCCGATTCCCAGTCCTCTCTGGTCACTCTCGGGGAGAATGTCCTTCGACCTGTCGTTCATGTCCATGCAGGACTAACAGTACAGTTATCTACCGACACACATCACGATCTGAACCATTCATTTATTCAATTCCTCACATACAACATTGTCACAAAAGTGACGGCTGCCACATCAACTGACCTCTCTCCATCCTAATTGCCACGCGGTCGATGGAGAAAGACAGGATGAGCGCCAAGTGGAAGGAAGAGCAGCGACCGGGGAGGGAGTGCACGACAAAGAGAGGGGAAACACGGCATGGGAGGGATCAGAGGGTATGTATGTATGTATGTATGTATGTATGGCCGTTGAGGGATATGTCACATATCCAAGCGTGGTGAAGCACTGGGAAATCGGGGGTATCAAACAAACAGGGCAGGGTGTGCATAAAAAGGCTGACAATCGTCTCTCATTCAACAAGAACAGTTTTTCACTTGGGGAATGCATTTTCTTTTTGCTTTTGCGAATTTCTAGTGTACGGGGGGTCCGGTCGTTCGGGGCGAAAGTAGGCACCCGAAATGTTCTTTCATGACAGGTTGTCCGGCCGGGAGGTCATAACAAGGAATCAATGGCGGCGAGGGGGGGCGGAGGAGAGGATGGCAAAGAGAACGCAAGGTGAACAAGTAAACAACGCATTGGGTGGTCATCAGGGTGGGACAATCTGGGCATCAACCCAGGCCTGCCACCTGGCAGTCACCCTCCCACCGCCACTTGGGCTTTTTATATCGCTCGTACGCCCCGGCTCTGAAAACTCGACGCCTTGGCCTGGAGAAGAACTCGAAGAAAGCGACCAAAATTGACACCACCAGGTCCAATGCTGAGTCGTGAACCAGCCCGCTCGCGGCAACTCCAGTCGTGAAACCAGGCCCCAGAAGGACCACGGATCAACCTCGAAAAATGGGAAAGGAAAGAAAACCAGAAGGGAAGTGGGAGAAGAAGCAGAAGAACAAACGCCCAGTCATGCAGTCGTGAATCCAGATAAATCGTTACATGAAGATGATGCAGTTATACCGGCAGGAGTACGCCGAGAGTCCAGCAGACCACCCATTCAGGGGCTAAGGACGGCGCATATATCGTCAGTCCCGTCCAGCCCGAACCCGGCCATGTCAACGGAATGCAAAGAGCCCGGTCCCTTTCCGAGGGAGATGTCGGACGAGGCATAATCATGCTTCAGCCGCTCGTGCGGCCCAAAGAAAGGCCGCGTCTCCTCGTTGGGGGTATTCCCGTCCCCAGCCACCCAGGGTCCATGTTGCCAGAAGCGGGTGTTGGCCTGTTGGTCACCAAAGAGATCGTGGTGGTCATGCTGGGTTTCTGGCCCGTGGCTCGTGAAGTCGTTCGGAGACTGGAATCGCAGATGCGACCGGCTGAAACTGGACGACGGTGAGTCTGCATGCAGAGGAAAGTCCAAGCCCGATAGAGGCAGGTCCTCGACCGTCGTGATATCGATGGTCGGGTTCTCTGTCTGCTGAGCTAACGCCGATGCTAGTCGGAGGTTGGAGGCCGAGCTTTGACGGCTGTGACTGGCCGACCGCTCGATGGCCCGCTGGACAAAGCTGCCGCAGGTCTTCAGAATCTTCTCCTGGTCCTCGGGCGAGAGGCCGGCGAAGTAG